CTGGATCACAGCAGATGTTGGAGAAAAATATATCTGGTATTTAAAACATGGTTTGAACCCCAGATAGGAATTGACAGGAGAGAGAGCCACACAAACAAAGGCATGAGGCAGAAATGTTCTGTCCCCTTTTCTTGCTCTCAGCCACCCAGGCCCCACCCTGTTGCATTTCTCTGGAAAATGCTCTCCTCAGTGAAACATTGTTCTGCTCTCCATCCCGCTTTTTCATCTGCCTTATCAATACTTACTCATCCCCTAGGCTCTGTTTTCTGCTAAGAACTTGATCAAGTAATCAATGCTATATGTTAATAGCTGTTAGTGTATACATATAAAATACACATTACATGCTCATTTCACTAATACAAAACAGTTGTAGGTCTGACACTGCATTAAAAAGAACCCACATCTGTGAAGACATTGATTTTTATGTTTCTTATTACTCTCAATGAAAGTTTGTCATGAAAAGGTTTAGAACCAGAAACACATTTATTCTGTTTTCTGTCGTTTCTACTATAAAAAAAATGAGAATTCTAGAACCTTTGATGACGCTCTTTGACATGGACACTTAGCAAGCTCAGAGTTAAATTTTGAGTCATAGAACTACAAATGACTTAGCTAAAAATAATTTGTTTTTGCTTACTTTCTCTGTTGTCTTATTCAGTCAGTATCTATTTGTCGAGTGCCTACTGTGTGCTAGGCTTCTCTTCTGGCTGGGGATGCAGCTGTGAGTAAGGTGGAATTCTCTGCCTTATGGAGCTAACATTCTAATAGGAGGAAAGACGAAAGTAGGGGAATTGAGAAAATGTCAGGTTCTGAATTTCTTATGCTTGATTTGGTCTTTTTAATTGATTTTGGGCAATTGTACTGTGCTTTAATTGCAGGCAGTCTCAAATTCTCTTTGAAAGTTGTTAGGGTACAAATGAAATGAAATGAAATGCATATTTGCATGTTATCATTGGTGTCTGCAGATCTTGGAATGTTTGGTGAAGCAATGGTTTGGGAGGGTCAGCAAATACTGTGAGGCATTGTAAATTCACTTCCACCTTGAACTTCAACAGGCAGCTTATCAGCATCTTAGCTGATCCCAAGCAAATGATACTTTCAAATGTAAATTTCCATGGTCACCTATTTTGTTAAAATGCTGTGCATATTTTATCCATTCTTAAGGAATTTTATGTCACTTAATTTATGGATTATTTCTAATTGTGATTTATAGTTCTTAACTTCTCCTAAGTTAATATTATCTGAATTTTGTTGGACTCATGTTCTACCATGAAATATAGAACATGTAAGCAAGTTTTTATGGAACATTTTATATTTGGTATGTGTATCACACATTCTGACATAATCAATTTTATCATCTTAAATTGTCTTGGCATTACTATCCTACTATTTGGGAAACCATTTATTTTTGAGTTCCTGAATATGTAATATAAGTATATGTGATTCACATACACATATGAATATACAAATAACAGAAAAGATAGATTTAGAGCTTATGAATAACATTTGTTTTAAGACTTTGAGGATAAGCATCTGAAAATCACATGTATGATATCCAGGAGAGTCCTCTATTTGTCAATCAAAAAATACTTGTGACACACCCCTGCAGGATCCCATGAGGCGAGGCACTATAGGCTGTTGAAATGTAGAATATTTCCCTGACTTGGGAGGAATTTGGGAAAGATGAGGCATATGCATGAGAAACAGCAGAGTCTAGTAGAAATGAGAATTCAATTATAAGCAATCAAAGCTAGCTTTCCCTGAGGACTTACTGTATAACATCTTCTGAGTTGTGAGTTGCCTGCTTTAATATAGTGAATAATTTGATCCTCAGAATAATTGATGGAATAGACATTATTTTTCTTTTTATTATTTTGTTTACATACTATAGCATAAAAATATTCAATTATTTGGCCAAAGTTGAACTGTCAGGAAATGGTAGACATAGGGTTGAAACCTGCATTTAACCACAGAGTTTTATTTTCCCATTGGGGATATTATGGGTATTTAAGGACTTAGATAAAGAGAGAACTTTTGCAACTTGTTTGTGGAGTAGTTTGTAGAAATGTTGACGAGCTACTATAATTTTGAAAGAAACAGTGTTTGATGGTATAAAAACCTTAAAGGAACCAAGGATCACACAATATCCCATACCACATGGGCCAGGCAATTTAGAGAGTCCAGACAGGGGTAGTGACATTTCAATAAGCACTTAAAAATGCATATATAGTTACAAATAAATGCGTGAAAAAGGTTGAAGAACACGCACCAAACATTTAATGCTGATTCGCTCCGTGGTAGGACTTGGGCAGGGGTACGGCTGAGGGGTGGGAGATTTAAGGGGATCCTTTGTTGCTTATTTCATGTTCTTTAAAAAAAAGTTAAAATTATAAGTGACTTTAAAATTTAAACGTCATTTTTTTTCTGTTTATTTTTATATTTAAATAATTACTGAAAATGTAATAAACACTGTTGGTACAAAGATTCAATACTAAAAACATTTTAAAATAAAACCTAAACTATGAAAATCAAGGTAGAAAAAGCTTTAAAACTTGTTTTTTCTTGTTTTGGAATCACAGGTAATCCCCAGACTAAATTTCTTCCTTCTGTTGAAATAACTTTCTAGGCCTAAAATGGAGCTGCTCTTGCCCAGGGGGCCACATCAGCAAACGGAAACTTAGATAATTCTTGTGTCCCCGTAAATGCTCTGCTTGACCAGAAACGCAGTACATTTAGTCAGCCAATTTCCAAACCCCAAGCCAACTGTGGGCTCTGTAGTTATTTCCTTGTTCCTTCTCACCCTAAACAAGGTTGACTATGTGCCTCCAGCTAATCAGATATTTTCTATTTTTCTCTTTCTTGTTCTTTACTCTTTACGCTATAAAAGCTTCCCGCCTTCCGCCCCATTTTGCTGTTCTCCGAAAAGAGACTGTCCACTTCATTGCGTTAAATAAAGTTTGTTTGTATCACCTAAATTGTCTTTTTGAATTATTTTTTAATCTTTCTTCCTGTCCTTTCTTTCTTTCTTTCTTTTTGTAGTGTTCTTTTCACCAAGGGCCCTGTAGGGCAAAAGTTAAACCTAAAGAATTTATAAAATCTTGTTTGATGCCAGAAATGCACAACAATTTTATACTCTCCTTCCTGATAAATACACATGGATTCCTTTCTTTCCTAGTCTTTAAGTAAAGTTGTCATTAGAGGAAGATATTTCATATTTATTCTACAGTTTTAAATAATCTTCAAACAGTATATTTTCTCTCAATTTCAGGGACATAATAAAATAGTTCATTTAATGTCCACAACAGCCATATTAATGTATTTTACAGAGAGGGTATTTGTAGTTATCCTTGGTGTCCTCTTCATATTATCATCTTTATCCACCATATTGAATTAGTTGCAAATATCTAGATTTTACTTCCAAATCATCCATTTCCGCTGCCATTATCCTTATTCACGGCTTCGTTCTTCTCACCTAAATTCATAATCTATTTACCAAATTTGTTTCTATACCCTCTGATATGATTTAACGGTTTCGAATTATAGTCAGAGCTGCTTCGCTCAATCTTTGTTTTCTTTGCTGGGATTTGACTAGGAAGCAGCCATTAACTCTAGGTGGCCTGAATTCCTGATTGGAACTCAGTTGTGACAACACTCTGATGTCTTCCACATACGTATTGTTAATGAAGTGGAGGCTCTTGACTTGGCCTTGCCAAATTCAATTGTTATCTCTTTAAGAATGCGTCAGATTTATTTTAAAACCTGACTAACGTTTCCCCTCTACATTTTTAAAAAAATGAGGTAAAGAGCTCAAAGTGATTCTGATTGTTTGGTGTAATCTAGATCCTTACTCTAGTGTGAAATATGCTATAGGACCCCCTGAATACTCAACGTTAGCAATAAAACAGAGAAACGCAGACAGAGAATTGACAGAGAGCCCCTAGGATACAGACTTTAATCCATATCGGACACTAGAATGTGACAGAACTAATTTGTATTCTAGGAATATGTAATCATATATTTATAGAGCAGTTATTAGCTTGATAAATCTCTTAGACCTTGTCTATTGTTAGCAATAATTTGTCGAATAGACTCTGATTTTAAAAATCTGAATAACTGAGACAAGCATTCAAGTTTTTTCTTTGAGGAAAAATTGTTGAAAAGTATATTTATCATGTAATAAGGATTTAATTTCTGTACATACATGATTGAATAGATTTTGAATAGTATTACATTTTCAGGTAATGGACTCTGTGGTCACATTATTCATACTAGAAGGCAATTAGTATTTTTAGCAAATGTTAAAAAGTAATATGAGCCTGAAATCATTCTGTATCAACCTCATATATTGGATTCAAGACAATTTCATGTGTAACTTAAAACAACGTGATATAAAATTATACTGTGATGTTTAAATTTGACTGGACTGTAGTTTTCCTCAGTAAGCTTTATCTTTTTAAAAAATAAATATGTAAACTTTATGCATAAATATAATTTAAAATGTCTGCTATTACTACCTCAACTGATTTAAAAAATCCTTTGAAAATGTGTTAACAACTTAAAATATTACTAAAACCTAAAGTATATCATTTTAAGCCATTAGTATTTAGCTTAAGTATGGGTGACGTTCAAATTAATTACGTTCTTATTTTCAGTAAAACAAAACCCATACACAGTCTTGACAAATGTTGGCTTCATAACTGCATTTAATCCTTTTGGAATTGATAGCACCAATTTAGCATGTTTAAGGTTATAATAGACAATGCATTTCTGTGACAGCATAGGTAGAAATAAAGCCGGCAAGTAAATCTTATGTATTCTCTGTTTTTTGAACGACTATCAAATTCCCATGACTTTTCCTTTCGAAATAAAAGCAAAATCAAGGCATCTTCTAAATAGTATTATAACTTCAGGCAAACTACTATGATATTGTTAGCTTTAAAAAAAAAAAGTTTAAAAAATATTGCCCTACCAGTTAATATATTAAGATACATCTTACAGACCTTTTCAATCCTTGGTTTGAAGACTCCAAAAAGGTGATGGATTTCAGATGAGCAGTTCCTCTTCCCAGGGAGCAGAGGTTGGCCTTGCCTGTTCATTAAAGACTGCTTGGTCCGTGGTCACTTTGAGGCAACTGTGGCCTCAGACTCTCATCTGGCCTCTTACTCCACTCAACTATATTTGGTAACTGATCTCACGTTTCAGCAGACTGCCACGATCAGGAATTCCAGCAGCGGGCTGGGAAGCTACCCTGGGCCTGAGGGCTGGGTTCTTAGAAATTAAAGGCACTTAGTATAGAGAGAACTATATTTATGGATCTAATAAACATAGGATTAACACATGTTCCTCTACACTCTGACCTTGTGGCTGGAAAACACCACCTGTCTTCTTAACGTATTTTTAATCAATTAAAAGTACAGTATGTGATTCTAAGGAGAAAAAGTGACACTCATAAGGAATGCTCTTCTTCCTATAATCTCCTGCTCTGTGCATTTAACTTTTAGTCATAAGGTAGATTATCCTAAAATAGTAAATCCAGTAACTACTTAAAAATTTAGCCACCTGTCAAATTGAATGTGGAGTCCCACTGTTCTCTTACTTCAGGTTGTTAATTAAAAATTATTATATGACTATGATGTGTATTAAAGACATAGTCCATAGTAGGGTGAAATAGACATGTGCATACAGGGACTGAATCTTGTTTTTATTTTTGAGGAAGATTAGCCCTGAGCTAACTACTGCCAGTCCTCCTCTTTTTGCTGAGGAAGCCTAGCCCTGAGCTAACATCCATGCCCATCTTCCTCTACTTTATATGTGAGATGCCCACCACAGCATGGTGTGCCAAGCGGTGCGATGTCTGCACCCGAGATCTGGGCTGGCGAACCCAGATCCACTGAGAAGTGGAATGTGCGCACTTAACCACTGCGCCACCCGCTGGCCCCTGGGGGACTGAATCTTATATACATTGGAACACTGAATTTTTAGCCCAATACCTAGCGCATCATGAGAATCCAACAAATATTTGCTGAAAAAATAAACAAATGATGAATGACTATTGTTTAGGACAAGTACGAACCCTCTGACAGTTGTAAAAGATGTTTCACAACCATTTTATTACTTATCCTGTAGCATCTCATTGTAACATACTGTAATATTTTGAATTTCCAAATAACAAATAGAGGCAGTAAGAAGAGAAAGCTTTTCTGTTCTCAGGCCAGGTCACAGAGCCAAATCAAAGAAGCAGAAAATAATCACACAAAACCTCCTAGTGAATTCGGAGACGAAGTGCTGAGTCTGCCTTAGTCTGGATAGTACCAGGAGAGTCCATCCAGTTTCCTATCTAAAGAAGCTTTTTTCTCTAATGGTGGAACACTTCTAAAGGTCTACTTTTATACTTTTCTTTACAAGCAAAACTGGTCCTTTATAAATGGTCCTTCTTGAAACCGGACACTTTCGTGGGCTGTTTCAGCTATTATATTCATTAATAAGCGTTTTAAAATTTATACTTATGGAGAAAAAAACCCCTCCGGATGATGAAACACATGTGTTTATATCTTTTTCTTACCAGAACCCCATAAGATAATAGCAAAAACCCAAAAGGATGCAAATTGGGAGAGAAGACAGTAGAAGATTCTAGAAATGGACAAAATTGTTGGAAAATGGTTAATATAAAGATGAGCGGTCTAACTAAATTAGAAATCTTAAATGCCTGCAGAAGGAGATGCTGATGAGAAGCAAGTGATTTGCCCCATAGAGTCACAGAAAGGCTCAGGAGTTGGACACACTAGTTCCTCCTTGAAAATAATTTTGATTGGCAACTCTGGATACTTCTGAGAGGGAGCCAGGAGCTGAAAACAAGGAATTGGTTCAAAGAATCCCTAAGGAGCAGTTAGACCATACTGTCCTATTTCCACTTCAGGTAGCCAGGAGACAACCCCTTTCCATGTCTGGATGATGGGAGGTTTATTCTCTGGAAAATTTAAAACAGACAGTCTCCAGTACCAGGGATGCAGAACACAGACAATGGAAAAGATGAGGCACTAGAAGAAATTTCCGGGATTGGGTCAGAGAAGAGAACAGAGACTTCAATTATATCTAGAGTTATATTTCTAAAAAACAGTAATGACGGGAATATGGAAAAATAGTAATATTTGATACTTCTTGGTATTGTGACTCTCTGTTACATTAATACCTGTATTTTCTGTTTGAAAAATGTCATAGTCAAAAATTAAACAAAAACCTCTGTTGTGTCCTAAGGCAAATGGAATGTGGAAGAGATTATGAGAAACAAAATGTTATAACCTCTTCATGATATCACCTTAGTTACGGAAAGAATTGTTGAAATTAACTGAGAAAGTGGTTAAAAATGCCATATATACAATGACTATATTAATAATCTCATTAGTATTAATAATTTTAAGATAAATGGATGCTAACCTTATGACCCAACCTTCACCTCAATGTTTTAACAGGTTTTATTGCTGTATTAATAGTAAATTATGCAGGAGCCACTAGGTTTTTTTTTCCTCTAGACCAGACTGCATCCAGGCAATAACTTTTGTAAATCCCAGGTTCATTTTACAACCCCACCTAAAGTGTGTGCTGAAGACGTGCACACTCATGTTAACATTTTTCTCTCATTAAAACATTAATAAGAAAGATAAATATTTTTGCAGTTGCTAGAAAGAGAAGAGATGGGCATGCAACCCCATAAATGTTCACTGCACAGAATAATAAAAATAATCGTAATGAGTTATTGATAAATTAGTCACTCATCCTTTTTTGTTCTAGAGTCATTCACAAATGAATAAAAATACATTTACCCTTCCTTTTTCCAGGAGGTATAGCCAAGTTTTACTATGTTTAGAGTTCCTTTGTAACAGGAGAAAATTCACACCTTTTTGTAGAAATAAAAAGTTGTAAGTTGCAGGTGTAAAACTCAAAGTGACGTTGATTTGTAGGTATCATTGAAATAGCACTGTTGGATTATCTGCAGGGAGATGGAGGATGGTGCTTCCAGGGGAAGATGCTGGTTCTGGCCTGGGAGAAAGTAGGGTTCTCCGAACCAGGCAGGATGGAGGGGCGGTGGGTTCTGTGAGTGGCCATGACACTCATGCAGGGTGCCAGGGCACTGAGCATTAAGCATCATGGCCATGGGAGCTGCAGTGAAAGAGGCAGCTGCTTCTACTTCCTAATGGGCCATGGAGGCTAAAACAAATCTCATAGTGAATCTCAGTGTTGAGCCTGTTGGTTTACTGACCAGAGGGAGGCCTCTCCCACATTTTCTTGGAATGCCTGGTCCCAAATCCTGCTATAACACCAGGAAAGTGATGATGCTGTATGAAGAAAAAAGAAATTGAAAAAAAAAGAGAGAGATAGCTTGTGGTCCTGAAAGAGGCCTCAAAGCTAGACATGATTTTATTCAAGAAGATAAAGAAATGAGGCTTTTTTGGTGTATTGTGAGCAGTGCAGCAAACCATGATTGTTTTAAAAATATTACAAGACTCTGAAGCAGATGTTCGTTTTCCTTAGGAAAGATGGTTGACCAAGGCTCTCTAAGTTATTATAATGAGGTTCAACTGATATTAAGGATGAGGATAGTGCATAGGCAGTAATACAATCTGTCAAGCACTTTCATATTTACCCCCAGAGCCCATTTTTGTGTGCACCTGAGGTTGGGAAGTGGGGTCAGTGGCCCCTTAAATGGGTCTCAGTTCAACTTCCAATTGCTTACTTCTTCTTGTAAAAGTTCCTGTTCTTTTGAAGTGCTTGCCTTTGAGCCACTCATCCTCCTTCCACTTTTTTTCAATTAAGACTTTGGGTCTAGTTGGACTCTTGATTCTCTTCACTCCAAGTGCTTCCAATATCCTAGGGGATGTCAGCATCTCTTTGTTTATTTACTCCACACCCTGGCATATTAGTTCTTTGATCTGCTTATCTCTACTGATCTTTATCTCCCTCCTTCTTCCCACAGATTACATAAATGGACCAGCTCCAACTCTTAACAACAAATAACAAATTATTGAAAAAAATTAATATCTTAAAACTATAAGCATTTATTATTTCACACAGTTTCTGTGTGCCAGGAGTCCAGTAGTGTCTTAGCTGGGTGACTCCGAATCAGGGTATCATGGGGTTGCGGTCAAGATATTGCCCACGGCTTCTCTTGTCTGAAAGCACCACTGGGTCAGGAGGATCTGCTTTCAAGGTGGCTCACCCATGGGCCTGGCAAGTTAGTGCTGCTGTTGGCAGGAGCCATGTAGACTTTTTCATATCATTGCTTGAGTCTCCTTACTTCATGGCAGCTGGTTCTTCTAGAGTGAGTGACTCAAGAAAGAGTAGGGTGCAAGCCACAATGTCTTTTATGACCTAGCCTTGGAGGTCACATTCCATCTTTTCTGCAATATCGCTTGGTTACACAAGTCAGCACTATTCCATATGGGAGGGGACTCCACAGGGGCATGAGGACCAATCGGCAAGATCATTGGTGGTTATTTTGGAAGCTGTCTACCACAGCTTTATTCCATTAGCTGCTCTTGGACATGCTCCCATAGACACACTTGGGCATGCTCCATTTTCAAAATTGCAAATTCACGCTTCTCATTATTTAACTGTAAACTTTCATTCTCTAGATCTCTCACTCCGTGACTACACTGACTTTTCTTTTTCACTGAGACTTCCAGGCTGAGGATCACTCTATTTCATACTTTCTATCAGTTGACCTTACAGTTTCAGGTTAATTAAGAACAGAGTATATTTTGGTGAAGAGTATATTTTGGAAGGTTTACAAACTTCCTTTTAGACGATGAGGACTCTGGTTGTTCAGAGTCCTCAAACAATAGGTAAACAAACAATAGGTAACAACAATAGGTAAAGTAAACAATAGGTAAAGTAAAGGTAATCAAAGGTTCTTTGATAATAGGGATGTGAATAGGAGTGTGCAGACTTGCTCATTCACCCTTCTTTCATCTTTTCTCCCCCTGGTGGCCCAGGAAATTCTGAAAATCCTCTGACTCTGAAGGAGCTGGCCTACTTACCCCTTTTCTGAATGTTTTACTTCTTCCTTTTTCTAGCATGTTCTACCACCAAACAAGGATCATGGGGCAACATATAAAATAGTAACTGAGAAATCTGATCAAGAAACAAACGAAAAATAGAGGCATAAAATGATTGTGGAATTGTTGTAATGAGCCACTTATTGACCCATCTGGTGATCCTGAGAACAAGTGTCCTTCAAACCACCGCCAGTTTTCCTACTTCTTCCTCTTTGTAGTTTCCTTGGCTGCACATCACGGAATCAGGTATGCCCCAAAGACTTGTTTGGTTAAACTGGTTATGTCCATCCACAAGTAGCAGTAGACTTCAGATTTGTCTCTCATGAGTTGTATTTTAGGAACCGTGGTTAAATTTGCTGTATATGTGGAGCCCCAGCCCATGGGTGGTCTTTTGATCACATGCTTCTGCTACTTGGAATGTTTGCCAGTTTGTGTATGTGCAAACATACAAACAAAAAGGAAGAGGGAAAGATAATTTTATCCCAATAGTAATAAAACTAGAGTTGAAATTGCCTGAGAGTAGATTCCATAATCCATGTTTATATATGGGTATTTTGGCACACTTAGGTATTATGACACTTGATCAGAAATAATCTCATTTTTAATTTGGCTTATAAGATCCAAGCATAAAAAAGTTTTATTCTTCTGGGCTTAAACATCAGTAACATTAATTTCAAAACTAGGTTTTATTGAATTTAAGCAAAATAAATTTAATATTTCTTTACGAAGAATAACATGAATATGAAATTGAATAAAGAGAGAAAAGTACAGATGGGTGTTTTGAATAATAATATAAAATCTGAAAAGTTATTATAAATAGAAGTCAAACAGTATATTAAAAGAAGAATACAGTATGGAAAATCGGGTTTTATCCAAGTTATAAAGGTTGGCTTAATTAACATCCAAAGATCTAACACTTAACTCACCACATTAATAAGTCAAAAGAGAAAAGCTATATGGCTATTTCTATAGATTATGAATGAGTCTATGATCAAAATTTAACATCCACTCTCAATTAAAAAAACTTTGGTGGAATGGGAAGAAAATAGTTCTACCTTAACACGCTATATTAAGGTATATTAAAGTATATGTGCATGTGTGTGCATGCATATTCATACACACATTTATTCACACACACATACGATGCAATACATAGTAATAAAAGACAAAACATCATGGAATACTAAGAACTAATATGCAGGTCTTAACCTCTACTGAAGAACAGAAGGGAATGGAATAATGGAATAGATGGAACACTACAGGAGGAACTGATTTTGTAACATAAATAATTCTCCATGAAAATAATCCACGAATGTCATATAATTTCAATTAAAACAACTTTTTTTTGTGCAACTAGAAAAATTGATATAGGGTTTGTCCAGAGGAATTAACCTGACAAAGATCCAGGAAGATTATGAGAAAAGGAATGGTACTGAAGGAAAGTAGCACTTCAAGACTGCTGGAGTGCCCACAAATTCCTGACAGATGAAAAATAAGGAATGGAATAATGGATTAAATGGAATGGCATATATTATTCTTGTATAGGAAGAACATTACATCAATATGGCAGCATAAATTAAATAACTACACATATCTCGGTTTATTTCTTGGCCTTTTTCAATTCCACTGATCTGCCTCTGATTACAGTCTAAAGAACTGGATTCCTATTTCACTTCATTCAGCAAAGGAAAAGTTCTTTAGGCTCACACAAATTCCAAAAAAGAAAAAAAGGATGTGGAATGAGTAGATAAGTATGCACTTAAGAGACCATATTCAGCATAGGATAGGATAAAAATAGAATACCAAACAGTGTGTGTACCTTCATCATATGTATGTGTATGCATAGTTATATTTATATATCTATAATTTCTCTCTCTTTCCTGGCATATGAATGAAAAATTTTAAAGTTTTCCTGGAAGGTAACAGTGGCTAATCTTGGAGAACAAATGCTCTCTGACTGGGGTTGTGAATGGGGCTGGGTGGAAGGCTTTACCCAATGTACATGTTGTATTATTACTTTTAAAAATAGCATCTGAGGGAAAAAATGGCATCAGAGATTATCTTGAATACCAGTATTTTTGCTCTGTATACTTTTCCTTGTTAATAATAATTGTTTAAATGTACTTTCAAATATGGTATAGCAAGAAGTGACATGGAAAAGCTATCCCAAATATACTGTTAAGTGAAACGAGCACATTGTATACTAGTTATTATATCTGGAAGGTAAGATTAAAGGAAACTTTTTTTTCTTTTTTGTATTTGAAATTCGTGTGTGCTTTCATTATGCTTACCATCAAAAAAAAAAAAAAAAAAAAATGAAGGCAAGAAAGAAATTAACCTCACAATGAGCCTAAAGTATTTTCATCTTTTAAAATCCTTTCTTGACTGATGAAGCTACTAAAGAGTAAAATTTTTGAAGTCCTTTGAGTATAAAATAGAGAATAATCAAATAAAGAAATTTTGAATTCAGTATGTTTCAATTTGGAGAATTAAAAATAAACTTCATCGATTTTAAATATATTAAACAAGACTTCCTATGCTGTGAGTCAGCCTTGCCGGCTGATTTGCAAATCGTCAGATCCATTTTCAAGTGGACCATATTCTGCCCATATGGACATTCATCTTGATCTGGCTAACTTTAAAATGTCATATCCTTTGGCCTACTCTATCTTAGATCCGCTCTGAGGACACAGTCCTAACTACAGGGAAACCTTTACATAAAGGCATGTTTAATTCCATATTGGTCCTAATGGCAACTAAAATACAACTCATTGAATGGCTTAGTTAATTCATGGACTTTTGAGGCGGCCATAGAAAGTGATTTTTCTGAAGTGTTTATATTAGCATAGAAGCTCACTATATTATGCTGAGGGAAATAGGAAGGAAACCAATGGTTTTTACAGGTTGAATATAACTTAAAAAATCTTAAGAATCTTTGCATGGCTGAAAGTTTTAATGGTTTAAATTAAGTTGGCTTGATATCTTAAAAAAATATGAAGACTTCACTAAACTGTATGAGGCCATTTGGGTTTTTTTCCTCCACTGGAAAGGAAAGGCAAATATACCAAAATAATCGGATATTTAAAAATGGCTTTGAGACTTATCTGAATCGAAACTCAGCCTTTTGCTTCTCTTAAAGTTTGCATTTGATATGCCTCGCGGAGGTCCCTAGTGAGGGGATATCAAACTTGCACGTGGAGTGGTCGCTGCCCGAGAACTAGGGACAGCTGTATATCAGTTTCAGAAGCTGCTTACCAAAGAGAGCCTCATGTGGAAGAATGTGGCCGTCACTCCCTGGGAAAACGGAAAGGAAGGAAGAATACGACAAAGGAGGAAACCAGCTGTTGGACCCAAGAAGGATTTAAACTTTGAAACAACGCCAATCAACTGAAGACAGTTGCTGTGCCACACAAAATCCTGAGGTCTGTCCATCGTCTCCTTCTGTTCGACCAGCAATTTGCTCAGCTATTGCTATTTTGGGAAGGAATTTCCACAGAGCTGGCATATCTTCAGCCCCCGAGGTTTCCTCTGATTGACTGATCAACAGGTGTTGAAAAAGCCTGTGGCAGAAATATCGCAGACCCAGTGCGCTCATCTGACTTCTGTAACTGTGACTGTAGTTTCATTTGAGTGTATGGTTTCTTAACCAAGGAACCTTTCTGCCGGAGAAAAACTTAAGAGATTATTTACAACCTTTATAGGTAATCGCTTTTGCATAGACACAGCATATGCATTTGTTAATACCATGTTTATTTGTAATTTATAAGTTGAATATTATACTAATGATTACACAACTGAAACCTAAATGAATATGATATAGAATGGACTTCTCAAAGAATGTTGTTGATGTTATAATCCTAAAAAATATTAAACTATCTTGACTTAATTTTGTCTCACTGCCGTATCGTCAGAAAAGCTGTTAGAATAATGGTCATATGAGTATTAGAGAAAAAACAAAGAAAGAAAAGAAAAGCACATATAAAGTGTTAGTTTGTCAAACACTTAAGGAGTATAATGTTACCCTATTTTTATACTAAATTTCATTTTTTGATTTTTTCTTTATAATTTATCCACAGTGAAAGAAACACGTGCGTATGAATTATTCCCATCATATTCAGAGTAAAAACCAAAGTGCTTATTTTGGTCTCTGGAGTTATCCATAACCTGCCTCCTCACGTTATCTTTGTGACTTTATATTCCCCGACTCTCACCCTGGTCCTTCGGCTTCGGCCTCACAGACCTTTCTGCTGTTCCTTGAACCATGGGGCTCATTCTACTTCAGGGCTTTGCTGTCCCTCTGTCAGGCACGGTACCTCCCAAGGAACAGGATGGGGGGACCCCTCGCTTCCCTCAGATCTTTAGTCAAAAGTCTCTTCCTTACTGCTGCTTTCCCTGTCTATAGCCTATCTAAAATGTAATCTTTCTCTATCAATATTTTATATTCCCTCTTCCTTGTGTATTTTTTCTCTTACAGGTTATCTTTATCTAACACAGTGTTCTTTTTACTTCTTTTATTATTTATATTCCCCACTAGAATGTAAGCTCTGAAGAACAAGGTTTTATATTTTGTTGTCTTTTCTATCATCAGTGTATAAAATGTGCCTGGGACATAGTAGATCCTCGATAAATACATGTTTAGTGGATGCCTAGAAAGGGATGCCTAGAAAAACATGATGTTTGAATGCAACTGGTTTGATCCTACTGTTGCCACTCAACCCAAAGCTTTTAAACTTGCATCTGCCTCATAACTCAGGGAGGGACATGCTATCCAGTGCTCCAGTCAGGGTTCCCAGTATTTCCTGAAGAGAATAATAAAATAATGATAATAATAATAATAATACCTGCATCCAGTTGCTTTGTACTTGGCCTCTTTATAAAAACTAATTTATTTAATCCTTTAAAAACTCTGTGAGTTAGGTCATATTATCTGCATTTTACAGATGAAAAATTGAGCCTAGTTAACTAACTTATCCACTATATTGAGGCTGATATGTGATGGCATTGATATTAGATAGATCATTTGAATCAAAATATTTACTTGTCACCATGAAGCTATGTCACCATGAAACACCGTGAAGCTATGGTGTTTGGGAGTCTAAAAAGAGATGAAATATGAATAGGCTGATCTAATCTGAAAGCAATGAAGAAATATTAATGGGCTTTAAACCAGGGAGTGACACGATTAGGTTGACATGTTAGGGAAATTACATTGGCAGTAGAGTGGAAAATGGAACAGAGAGAACAGGCTGGAGTCAGGAAGCGAATAGCTCATTGCAATAGACCAGGTGACAAAACATGAAGCGCATTCTAGTCAGTGGAAGATGTGATAGAAAAGAGAAGACAGAGTTTAGAAATGTCATGAGCTAGAATTCACTGAGGGTTGAGGGAAGCGAGGAACCAACAGTGGCTTCTAGGTTTCTTATTTGAGAAGTTAGAGAGATGTAATGGTGCCACTAATCCTCATTAGGAAAGTAGGAAGAAAATGAGATTTGCAAGAAAATCGTGTAGCTAAAATCAAGGGAGGAGGTGCCCTTTCCAAAGGAGACTGATATAAAACCTCAAATATTGCCAAGAGGTCAATAAGTCAAGGACTAAACAGCATTGTTTGGTTTTGGCCATTGACAGATCATCACTGGTGATGTTTGGCAGAACTGCAGAGCAGATTCTGGGCTAAAAGTAGACCTGATCAATCATCTGTAGGAATCTGAGTGGACGAAGTAGAGATGATGAATGTATACCCCCACGAGATACCATACTGAAAAGGAAGAGATGAGATGGGGCAGGGGCTCAATCTTATCATTGTTTTAAAGATGGAAGTGACTTGATTCTTTTAATGGAATGGATGGTAAATGCCAGTTGTAATGGATTCCTGTTGCTGCTGTAACAAATTGTCACAAACTTAGTGGCTTAAAACACACAAATTTGGGGCTGGCCCCGTGGCCGAGTGGTTGAGTTCGCGCGCTCCGCTGCAGGCGGCCCAGTGTTTCGTTGGTTTGAATCCTGGGCGCGGACATGGCACTGCTCATCAAACCACGCTGAGGCAGCGTCCCACATGCCACAACTGGAAAGACCCACAACGAAGAATATACAACTATGTACTGAGGGGCTTTGGGGAGAAAAAAGGAAAAAAATAAAACATTTAAAAAAAAACACACACACAAATTTGTTCTCTTACAATTCTGGAAATCAACAGTCCAAAATCAAGATATTAGCAGGGTGGCATTACTTCTATAGGCGTTAAGGGGAAAACCCATTTCCTTGCTTTTTCCATCATCTATAGGGAGCCTGCAATCCTTGGCTTGTGGCGCCATCCTCTATCTATAAGCCACCAGCATAACATCTTCTCTCCCCTCTAACCTCCACCCTGTTTCTTCTAAGGATTCTTGAGACTGTATTTGGCCCATCCTGGATAATCTCTCCATCTCAAAATCCTTAATCACATATGGAAATTTCCTTTTGCCATGTAAGGTAACATTCACAGGTTCTAGGGATTAAGGGACATGTTTGGGGCCATTTAGTTGTCTAGTACTGTCCACTGTCTGCCCCCAAATATTCACATCTATTTCATGTTTCTATTTCACATTCAGCCCATTCCAAAGTTCCTCAAAGCTTCTAGGCATAACAGTATCAACTTAAGTCCAAAATCTTACCTAAATCACATCAGCTCAATAGACCCGAATCTCATCATCTAAATTATTTAAATCAGGTATGGTTGAGACTTTGGGTCTGAACCATCCTGAGGCAAAATTCCTCTTCGCTGTGAATGTTTGAAGCTAGAAAACAAGTTATCTTCTCCCAAAATACAACGGTGGGATAGGAATAGGGTACCAGGTCTAGACATCCCTGTTCAAAAAGGAAGAATATGGAAAGAAAAAAGTTGTCACTGGTCCCAAGAAATTTCAAAATCCAACAAGGCAAACTCCATTAGATTTCAAGGCCTGAGAATAATCCTTCGTGGCTCTGGGCTCTGCTGTCTGGGCTTGAGGCTCTCCCCTTGGAGTCATCCTTCCTTTTTCATGAAAGGTAGCCCATGTTTGCAGCTAAGTAGTTTAACAGATTGTTTCATGCTTTGAAAATTTTGGGAGTTTTACAGCCTTCTTTCATTTCTCTCTGTCCCTTTCAGTCCAAGCTGGCAGTGTTTTTACTGATACAACTTCCTTAGATACCTTTTGGATCTCCTGAGTAGTCAAGGGATTCACTCCATTGGACAAGAGGCTCATCCATATGTCTTTCCTAAAAATCCTGTTGATATTCCTGACTTTTGCTGAGAAGTCTGAAGGGATCCACAGGCCACATGCCTAATTTCTTCACGAGCCCTCTGTGTAATGGATTACTCTTACCTTTTGATCTTTTTGAGGTGTTAGCACAAGATTCTTCAGCCATATTCTTGGCTTGCTCATCAGAGTATGCCTTCCTGACAGTGAATTTCCTAATTTTAGCATCTCTTGCAATCTGGATAGGCTGAGAATTTCCCATATCATCAAGTTCTGGTTCGTTTTTGCTTAACAGTTCTTCTCTTTTATAAGGAGAAGAACTTGTGATTACACGAGTCCATCTAGAAAATCCAGGGTAATTTCTCCATCTCAAGATTCCCAGCTTAATCACATCTGCACAGTTCTTTTTGCTCTGTAAGGTGACATATTCACAGGTTGGAGGATTAGAACATGGACATCTTTGGGGGACCATTTTTCAGCCTATCACACCAATAGACAGGGAGTGGTTAACGATACAGGAAATTAAAGGATAATGGGGTGAGATTCTTGAGGAAGCTGGAGGAAATCAAATCCAGATGAAAGGGGGTTAGTTGTTTTGTGTATAAAGCACCACACAGTCTTCTTAGACTAAAAGTAAGAATATAGATGAAGGTGTCAGACAGTTCAAGGATTCTCTTTGAAACAGCAGATGTTGTATATGCTGAGAGGACTTGAAGAAATCAGTAAAATGTTGCAGAGTTTTAAGGGCCAATGTGAAAAAAAAAAAGGGAATTGTGGTCATAAACAATGAATTTGAGGTGACAAATATTAGACAATTTCTCTCAATGTCCTGGCGCAGGAAAATGCTGGTTTGATTGATCCAGGTTATCAAATTGCAGGTAGAGAGGAAAGCCAGTGCAGGAAGCAGTCGAGGGTGTTAATGAGAGAAAGGTTGGGTGAATGCTCATGGAGTTGATTGAGCCTGGGGAGGCAATAACATGAGGCTCCCAAGGAGTCTGAGAAATTGGGAGAAAAGGGAGGGTTCTGAAAAGTGAAAATGGAGTTTATGATTCTCAAGTTTCTGAATGAAGTCCGGGTTGGGGCCATGAGAATAAATTGTTAAAGTGGAAGAGAACCAGATATGAATTTGGAGTAGAATTTTCTTATGTGTATTGTGTATGCACTTTGGGGTGGAAAGTAGGAAGAGTGGAGTTAACATCTAAGGAATCCCTACCTGATAAATCTACATCATTAAAAGACAAAACAACAAGAGACTCTCGTTTACAATACGAACTTGTAGGGCCCATTTCCGTAACAATCAAAAGAAAAATCACAATTAAATCACACGTGCTTTGTGGGAGGAGCACTAACACTGTAGCATTTAAAGTACTTCTCTGAGATAATTTAATAGATACAGAGAACAGCGTGCTGAGAAAAGGATATTTGAAGTTAGAGCAAATTTCAAAATTTTGGTTACCATTTACTAGCTGGAGGACCGTGGACAAATAATTTAACCTCTCTAGGTCTTATTTACCTCACTCATAAAACGTCAACAATTATAGTATGTACCTTATGGGACTTTTGTAATGATTAAATCTGATAATACATATTAAGGGCTCAGCATATTGCTTAGCCATAAAAAAGCTCAGTAAATGCTTTGACAATAAAGCCTAATTTTCTGCTGCTAGCAAACGTGTTCCTATGAGACATAGCTCCAGTAAGTATCAGATACTAGCAAAAAACTGACAGAAGATGAATTTACGACTTAATCACAGGTCATGTTTCAGATTCTTTTGTTTTTTTCCTCAATGTCATCACCATTGACAAACACAGAATTGTTAAAAAAGAAAAAAAACTAACAGAAGTGAGCAATGCCTCCACCTTTTAAAAATGACTTGATATTCTGGCTTCTGAGAAGAAAGCTTTTTCTGGGCTCTTCCCATTGTGGACAAGTCACCATTTCCTTTTTTTGAGCATACAACTGCTGGCTTCCAATTCTCTCCATTTACTACCCAACTCCACCGTTGGGGCCCACACGACCACCCTGAATCTCAGCACTTCTGCACGTGGGATTAAGTGCCTGGAGCCCTAAAAGGCAAAAATCGACTGCGATTGAAACGCAAACTGCAAACATTAACAGGTGCCATGACAAAAACAAAGAGCACGTTCCCCCTTAACTTAAATTCTTTGTGGTGTATGACTGGCGTTACAAATGTTCACACTAGACAGTAACAGTATTTGAAATTTTTCATAAAGATGAATTTCTTATGACAGAAACTCGAAGTCCATATCCCCTTCTTCTCTCTTTTTACATGCCCCAGCACCAGCCCTGGAAAAGAATAACGCCACACCTCACTGTGGAACTTCGCAGTCCACGGTGTCCTGCATTTAATCTCTCAGCCTCTGCATTTTCTTCCTTCTCTCTTGTTTAGATTCCCCTATTTCTCTGCCTATATTCCTTTTATACTCTATTTACATCCACGTCCCAAAGATCGCATTATTACCTTTGCTGTACTACCCCCTTGAAATTCTCAGTGTGAACGGAGGGATGGGCTGACCTACCGACCGAGATCAGTATTCTGAGGCGAGAAAACGAAACCGAAAAGGCTCCAGGATGCGGAAAAAGAAACGACTCACGCCCTCGCTGTGAAAGACCGGCTGAGACGGCTCTGAGCGGCCGGTCCAACGCTGGGTGCAGAGTTCCCCGGAGCCTCCACTCCGGCTCGGCGCCCTCTCCTCCACTCCTTCCCCGAGGGGCGCGCCTGTCTGCTGCTCCTCCGGCGGAGCTGCAGGTCTGGGTCCCTGGGGCCAGACATGGGGCTGGGGAGATCAGGTGAGATGTGTCCCTGGAGAGGGGCCCGGACTGGAGCTGTCCCGCCGGAATTATAGGTCTTGTACAACATCTGGACGGACAGGACGGGGAGGAGGCGGGGAACTGGGGGCATCCAATGGGCTCCTAAAGACCCCGGGAAGCACGGCGTGGGGAGATGCAGAAGAAAGGGACCCCCGTGAGGAGCGCGCAGGTCTGAGGTCTGAAGGAGAAGGGCGAGTGCTCAGGGGTTTAAGGGGTCCTCTTCAAAGAAAGGATGGTAGGGATCTGAGGTATTGAGGAGAAACTGAAAGGATGTCAGATCTGAGCCAACCAGTAAAACCTAGACGTTGACAGCAGCAAGCAGCTTCCTCTTGCTGTACTGGTCTTAGACCTTTTAATCATGGAAATCGCTTTTATAATTTCTCTGGAAAGGTCCTTCCTTCTCTCTCTCGCTTCTCTTTTGTTTACAAATTCATAATTATTTATAAATTCGTAATTATTTTCCTAAGGTTTTTCCTTATCAGAGAAACTAACCTTATCTGTGACAGGGCCTTGAGAATGGTGAAAGCGCCTAACAACCTCTAGAACGAACCGGAAAGGAGATTACCAGGCAAAAGCAATTTCTTTAAAGGCAGAATTAGAAGTCCAAGCAATAACATTGTCATAATACAAATCTTCATGGTTTTGAGTAACCTTCTGAAAGCAGTAGCATGTCATTCAATGAATCTACGGTTTGCAGTTTGAAATTTAGTAGAAGAAAATAGGTACTAAAATAATTGAGGGTGGGTTTCAGTTTCCAAGGCCCTGCCCCTCACCTTATATCCAAAAGAAATTGGGAATAGTTTGGTGTGTATCCTTCATGGTATTCTACTCAGAAACAAGTTTGTGTGTCTATAGCTTCTTTGTCTGTCTGTCTGTCTGTCTGTCTATTATCCACCCATCCATCAATCTTCTTCCATCTGTCCACCTCTAGATCTATACATTTTAAAAACATATTTGGCTGTCATGCTGGTGTGCAATAGCTTTTCTCACTCAATGGTTTTTTGGCACACCTCCGTCTCGTTTAGTAATTGCTGTGTGATGTCTCCTTGTATGATGTATCAAAACTGATTAGTTTTATTTTAAGCAGAAGAGAAGGACATAAAACGAAAAATAAATGGTCGCCTCCGCTACTTTGCCCCCATAATCTCACAGTTTTAGTTCTCCTGAAAGTTACTACCATAAAGATGTACTTTTAACTTTATTTCTTCATTTGCCAACTTTAGACAAGCGTCTACTAACTTACTGCTGCGAAAAAAACACCCACCCACTCTGTCTTCCAGTATGGGCTATGTATTTCTTTTCCTGGTTGGCTTTATGACTTTAAGTACTGTATCTGTGTCAGATACCTTCCCACTGCTACAGTGATGGGGGGTTAATTCTCTCCCTTTCTGGCTGCTGCATAGGCAGTCACTTCCTGCCCTGTAAGATTGGAGGCCTGGTGGTTGTTTTACTGTCATAACCCTTTTTCAGGCCACCTCACAGCTTATTTGAGAATACGAGTCTCTAAGTAAAGTATTCAGCTTCTGATTTCATTTGCTCTGGTTAGTTCCCTCTGCCCATAACTACGTCCAGAGATCTTATTTTGCATCCTTAATTCCCATGCATCTCTCTCAAATTAGTGGAGTTTATCTCAAATTCATTTGAAATGATAGTCTTGTCTGGGAAGACAACATCTTCATCCGATCTCTACACTAAGGCTAAATCCTTTGGTTTAACTAGGAACTCTATGAGCGAGGTTTTTTCCCCCCCAATCTTATCACTTTTTATTTGGGATACAGAATTAGTTGCCTTGAGAGACCCCAAATTTCTTGGCTCTCTTCCTTCTAACTCTGCTTTCAAACCAGCCAGTTCTTTCCTACGGTATTTTTCTTTCCCTTTCTTCTTTGGTAACAGCTCCCTAAAAACAGTCAATAAAAGGCAGCAAACACTGATTATCTTTTCCAGTTACTTTGCCTAGAGCATCAAGACTTGGTTGGCGTGTGTTCAAAGCTGTTCGATCGGCTTCCTAATTTTGCAAGAGATAGTTTTTGGCAGATATTTTCTTTGAATCACATGGTTTCCAGCTTTTGAGTCTGAGATGCCTGGTTTCTCACTGCCTGTTACCTGTCCGCTAGGCCCAAGATCCATACGTGTTTCCATGATTTTGTAATCCATGTCTTCATCTCTTTCAATGTCTCTGAAATGAGGATGCATATACAAATCTATGGTGTGTTGTAGTTTAATTGTCAGTATTAAAATTTAGTGGTACATAAAATAATGGTACATCTTGTAATTCATGACGTCTTAGATTCAGACTATAGTACTGTACAATTATGTAATGGCAGCACCCTACTTCTGTACCAATTTCTGTATTCGTTAAGGAAATACTAACTTCTGTAACAATTAGAACCTCTAAATTTCGGTGGCATAACACAATAGAAATTTACTTCGTGCTCTTCTAAGAGTCCAAAGCAGATTTTCCTAGTAAGTGGGCAGCCCTTAATAGTATTTCAGCAACCTGACTCCTTTCTGTATCATGGTTCCACCATCCCCTTGAGTCTTAATATTCTCTGCACTTAGCTTTTTAGAAGAGAAATAACAATAGAGAAGGCATACCTACTCCTCAAAAGCTGCCATAGCTTTCACTCAAATTCCATTGGTAAGAACTAATTTTAGGGCCTCCTCTAGATGTAAAAGGATCTGGAAAATCTAGTCATTGGCTAGACAGCTACTTCTTAGTAACAATTCTAAATTATGGAAGGGGGAACCTGACTTTTGGTGGACAGTTGTCTTTGACTCAATGCCCAAAACATTTTTTTATTTTTACTTCAATCATAATCTAAATAAAGTCCTCACATTGCAATTGATGGATAAGTATTGTAAGTGTTTTTAAATCTGTAGGTTTCTTCTCCTCTTTCCTTCTCTCTGTCTCTCTCAGTTCTTGTAATTAGAGGCATGATCAATTTTTTTTCCCCCAAGAGTTCTTATAGATGGAGTTTGGTTCAATTCAGAGAGGGATAATGTTTTGCTGTGTCTATTTTTGTGATGTTAGTATCCATTGATGCTCAATGTCTAAATCCATTTATTCATCAGGCATCTCAAAATGAGGATAATATAAATCCCTCATTCCTTCTTGATATATATATATATTTGAACTGGGTTACTTCTATAAAGACAAACTTTCCCTCATATAATATATGCTTAATCAGGGATACAATTTGTATGGGAAATATGAGATCAGTGTTTGATTCTTTTTTAATTTTTTTGTTTTGGTGAGGAAGATTGGCTCTGAGCTAACATCTCTTGCCAGTCTTCTTTTTGCTTGAGGAGGATTGTCCCTGAGCTAACATCTGTGCCAGTCTTCCTCTATTTTGTATGTGGGCTGCTGCCACAGCATGGCTGATGAGTGGTGAGTAGGCCTGTGCCCATGGATCTGAACCCGTGAACCCTGGGCCGCCAAAGTGGAGCATGCGAACTTAACTGCTATGCCACTGGGCCAGCCCCTCTTTTCTTTTCTTTTCTTTGCTGTCTCAAATTATCTAATATTCAGGTACCCTGCACAGGGCCTTACATAAATATTTGTTGGATTAATAATTAAGTTATGACCAACTGTGGTGTTTAAATTATGACATTCCATAGTCCCTTATATTTACACAGCATTATTCCATGGCTTCTCACCATTTCATGGGATGAAGCAGAGGAGGTAGGGCATCAGATTTTATTGTTCTGTTTTACAAAAAGTAAACAGAAACTTTTCTTTTTGCTACAAAAGTAATAAAGTTTGGGAAGAACACAAATGGTATCTTCGGCTTCCCTGTCCTTTAAAAATACATGGCTTTATAATAATAATAATCAAAATTATAGTCTTTGGGAGGACTTCACAGAGAAGTAAAAATACAATGATGTACACCTGAAATATATATAACCTTGTACACCAGTGGTAGCTCAATAAAATGAATGAATAAATAAAAATAAAAACCCCAAAGTCTACAGTGAGGTAGTATAATACATATACAGCATAGCATAGCATCAAAAATGTGAAGTGCTGGATTCTTTAAATCTTTGTTTTTTTGATTTATCATTCATCTTAGTCTGCTAGAGCTGCCATAACAAAATATTATAGACTATGTGGCTTAGAACAACAGAAATGTATCACAGTTTTGTACCTCACAGTTATGGAGGCTTGAGAAGTGCGAGGTCAAGGTTCCAGCTCATCTGGTTTCTGGTGAGGGTTTTCTTCCTGGCCTTGCTTGCTGTGTCCTCATATGGCAGAGAGAGAGAGAGTGAGCTTTCTGCTATCTTTTCTTCTAAGGTCACTAATCCTGTCATAAGGACCCCACCCTTGTGACCTCATCTAACCCTTGTTATCTCCCATAAGCCCCATCTCCAAATACCATCATATTGGGGGTCAGCACTTCAACATAGGAATTTGGGAGGACATAGCATTCAGTCTATAACATCCTCCTTGGATGCTCTCTCTGGACTCCCCATTGTAAAAAAAATGATGGAAAGAGCTTACTTATTCCTTGTCCCGCCATTCTTCTCTCTTTATACTTCCCAAATTGGTTAGTTATATCAGTATTTTTGTTTTGTGGGGGCCTGAAATTGGCCACCCCAAGATATGTCTCTTTGACCTTATCTCTAGAAACTCTTAATCAATGGGGAAGGCAAGGACTTAAATCTGCATTTGTTTATTGTGCTTGTCTGGTAACCTCCTGTATCTGACTCCCCCCACCCCCAACATCCTCCTTTGTCTTTAGCTGGATATGATATTTGGGGTGGTGGTTTCAGCCATTTTGGCGAGTTGCTCAGCCTGAGCAGCTCCCATGTATACATTGACAAAGAGAAATGGCAAGCAATAGGATATATTTGAGTACATGAGGAAGCCATTTGGTGTAAACCTAATTTGGCCTGACTTTGTTTTTTCCAAAAGGGCCTGACTGTGGCCATTGAGCACACACTGTATATCTGCTTTTAAACATTTGTTATGGCAAGAACAAATGACCTTAAGATAAAGGTGCAACCTCCCCCCCACATTGGCATTTCCTTAAGGATAAGCATCTTTCCTTAGGCTAGGAACTGATTGCTGCACTCACCTTTGACCACCTAGCTCACCTGTGACCACCCAGCTCCAGACAATAGACCTGCCACCCTGCTGTCTTCACCAAGACAGCAGACCTGTCTGCTGTTTCCATCAATTGCTGTGCCGACAGAGCAGTCTCGCGACTATTGTAAAAGGGACATTTCAATCCTATGTGAAACATCCTGTTTGGGGGTATATAACCACTCTGTGCACCCCACTTCTTTGGTGCCCTTTCTTCCTTCGGGAAGAAAGACCCCGGGCCATGGTCCTCATAAAGGTTTGTTTAATTTTCTCCTGCTATTCTGTCTCATGTGAATTTAATTCGTTCTCCAGCCAGACGAACCCAGAGAGGATAGAGGAAATGTCTTCCTCCCTACAGTTTCATCAAAGTTTAAACTATTTACACCGTGTTCTCTGAATAAATTAAGTTCATTGTTATTTGTCAATATGTTGAGTCTAAAAATTAAAAAAAACAACAAACAACACTTACAACTTTATAACTATATACATATTATATACATATTATAACTATATACATAACTATATACATATTATTCATATTAGTCAAATTTTGTGATTAGACCCAAATAGTAGGAAATGTATCCTAAATCATCAGAACTTGCTTATTTAGACTTTCCAAAGTATTAAAGAACACTAAAGACATTGGCCATGTGTCAGAGCATTCAGCGTCAATCATGATGATAAAAGAACTTACTTTAGTCATTCCAACTCTGTCCAGGTACTCTTTAAGCAATTTAAGATTGACACATTTTATCTTGACAGTAACTTCAGGATAGTAATAGTATCCAGATTTGCAGATGAAGGAACTGAAACAGAGAGAGAGGAAACAACTTCCCTCAGGTCGCGCAACTTGTTGGTTGGAGAATTAGGAATTTAAGCCAGGCATCCTGGCTTCAGTTCAGAGCTCAAGCTTTCATTTGCCTTACTATACTGCTTCTTTCATTTCCATTCCTTTGTAGCTAAAATGTCTCTTTGGCAGATTTTAGATTTTCTCTTTAGCTTTGTGTACTGAAATTTTACCAGGATGTGTCTAGGTGTGAGTTTCTCTTTTTTCATCAAACTTGCTTTGTTTTCGGAGAACCTTTTTAATGCAGGGACTCATATCTTTCTTTAGCCCTGGGTCAATCTTCTTAAATTACATTTTCTCCTATTATGTTTTTGATTGCTTTTACCACTCTTTCTGGTATCCTAGTTAATTCCTCTTGAATTTCCTGCTAAATAGATTATAGACTTTGATCTGTCCTTCATGTGTCTTAATGCTTCTCTTATTTCCACTTCATTGTCTTTTCCTCTGTATTCCGGGAGATTTCTGGACTCTATCTTTCACTTACCAACTTTGGATTCTATTTTATTGTTCAGCATACTAATTTATGTTTTATCTGCAATCAAACTTTTAATTTTCAAGAGCATTTGCTTGTTCTTGTATTTTTTGTTTTCAATAGCAGCATACTCTTGTTTCTTAGAGTCAATATCTTTTTGATCCCCTATGAGAATACTAGCTGGAATTTTTAGAGTTCTCTTCTGGCCTCTAAATCTTTTCTGTTTTCTTAGGAGATAGGTATTTTTTAGTCTGTTTATTCATTTTGCTTTTCTTCTTCTTTTTTTTTTGCTGAGGAAGATTAGCCCTGAGCTAACATCTGTGCCAGTCTTCCTCTACACCATATGTAGGTTGCTGCCACAGCGTGGCTGATGAGTGGTGTAGGTCCACGCCTGGGTTCTGAACCCGTGAACCCAGGCCGCTGAAACAGAGCGTGCCCAACTTAACCACTACACCACCAGGCCAGACTCGGCTTTTCTTCATTTTTGATGTTTATTTTCTGTCTGATGATCCTTACTTTACAGTCATATTATAAATAAAAAATGCAATGGCTAGTGAAAAGGCTGATTTGAATTTCCGTAACCTGTGTCTCCCTTAAATAGGAGTGAAGGTTAATCATGGATTCTTAAGTGTGTGTTTAGGGTGGAATATTTTAGGGAAACTCTCCTGTAGATTATGTGTTTAGGACCCCATATCCTTACACGTAATTTAAAAATCAGCAGAAATGAATTATCTGAAAAATAATTTATATAAATTTCTATAATGGATATCTTTGAGCATGACTAATCAAGAAGAAATAATGATGTATTCATACACTTCACTTATATTAGAATCACCACGAATTTAACAACCACAAATGGGCCATATTGATGTTTTGGATATCATAGGTAACTTTATAGCAGATGTCATAATATTTTGGAATGATGAACAACTCTTGGGTTAAATCCGAATAAAACAAAGAATAATCTTCTTTGATGTACACAGGATTGTATAAACTCCATTATATCATATATGATGTACATATGAATACATTTTCTGAAATTTCAATAAAATCTTGGGAGGAAAGGGAAGCAACATCCCACCATGTCTTTTTCTTTTTTTGAGGAAGATTACTGCTGAACTAACATCTGCCTCCAAGCCTCCTCTTTTTTTTTTTTGGCTGAGGAAGATTGGCCTTGAGCTAACATCTGTGCCCATCTTCCTCTATTTTATAAGTGGGCTGCCTGCCACAGCATGGCTTGACAAGCCGTGCCTAGGTCTGTGCCTGGGATCCGAACTGGCAAACCCCAGGCTGCCGAAGTGGAGTGTACGAACTTAACTGCTACGCCAGAGGCTGGCCCCCCTTCATCCCACCATCTTGAACTAAATGTCTTTGTCTGTTATCTCTTCTCCCCTGGGTCTTCAGTGTCTCCACAGGCTGCCCAAACCTAAAACGTCATCAAGTCTTTTCCATCTTAAAAAGACCTGCGTGGATTTTGTACTCATCTGTAGCTACATTTCTGTTTCTATACTTTTCTAAAGGAACAAACTTCTTGAAAAAGTAGATTGTGTTTACCATCTCTGCCTTCTTTTTGCTTTCCCCTTCAAATGTCTCTCTTTACTGTCACTTTTGTTCTCCATGCAGCCATCCTGCAGAGAACAGCCAGTCATCTTTGAAAATGTCAATCAGATCACGTGAGTCCCCTGTTCACCGTGCAGTGACCTCTGATTATACTCGGAATGAAATTCCTACTCCATATCCTTCCTGATGAGACATCCCTGGCCCAGCTCTCCAACCCAGCTCTCCGACTCATGTCACTCGATTGGTTTCCCTCTGCTCCAGTTACAGCAGACTTCTGTCGTTTCCTAGAGCATACCAAGCCTTTTGCCTACTTAGGCACTTTGCGCTTTGAGTTTCTTCCTGAAACCCTCTTTCCATGGCTCTTTGCATGGCTCTTTGCATGGCTCCCCTGTTTTCTCCTTCAGGTCTCACCTTAAATGTCACTTCCCTCGACACATCTTTTTCAACAGTCCATCTAATTCTTTATAGCTCTCTTATTTTTTTCATGGCATTTAATACAATTTTTAAATATGTAAATTTTTGTTTATTTTTTCCCACTCCCTGAGTGCAGAGACTACTTCATTTTTTGTGGCACTGTATCCCTATCATCAATCACAGTGTCTGGCACATAGCACGTGCTCAATAAATAGTTGTTGAATAAATGCATTCTGCTTTCTGTCCCCTCCATTTCACAGAGAATGTACTTGCTTTGGCTATAAATTCCTTGCTACTCACCAATTCCGTGGCAATTTTGAGTCCTAATGCTATATCATTTGTTAGCGATGTTTGCCACTATCATTTTGAATACTCTTTCCATTCTGTAATACACTTGGGCTTAGTTTTCTGCTTCCTATTCTATTCTCAATGACCCATCCTCCTCCACTTGTCCCTTAAATATTAGTGTCCTGAGGGGGGGAAGAGCTTGGCGCAGATTGAAGAACCAGGGGGAGAACAGAATGGCTACTGTGAAGTGAGGAAGTGAGTTCTCCCAGAAGCAGATCTCAAGATGAGGGTTTGAGTGCAAATAGTTTATTTTGGGAGTGATCAGGAGTGGTCAAGAACTTACCAGGAGTTGCTAGTAAGCAGTTGGAGAAATAGATGGCAAAGAGAAGGCAGCCAATAACAGTTTTGTCATGAAGCAAGTTTCACAGTGGATAAGTAATGCTTAGTCCTGCTAGGAAACTTTAGAAGCCAATGTAGAATATGCATCTCACAATGTGACTCCACATTGTATACGTGGAATTCCATCAGTGATTCTTTGAGTGTGCAACTGTGAGTAATTTATTCCCTATGCTTTTTATCTGGGAAGGCAAGCCCATATCCAGAGTATGTGTCAAGCCCAATAAGGATGAATTGCTTCCTTCTTCAGCATGGAAGGGATCTGATGGAGTCAACTTGTTACCAAATGGCTGATTGGTCTCCCCGAAGGGTAGTGCCATATTGATGGCTCTGCACAGGTCTCTGCTGCTGATGTTCAGGTCATGGGTCTGCTATTCAGCAATGGGAGTAGCTAAATCAGCTTTGTGGAAGGGTGCCCATGCTGTTGGGAAACTGCATAGCCTCCATCATTGCCACCATGACTACTCTGTTTTTTGGCCCATCGTGCAAGCTCCAGGAGGTAGCAGATGGAGATTGGCTGGTATCTACTGGATGTATTATTCTGTCCATCGAGTTGTTTAGGCTCCTAAGTAATGGATGATCTCCTATGCATGTGGACTTGAGGCACAAATATCTGCACAGCTTGTGCCTACTTTCATAGGTTGAGCCACAGACTTCTCCCTGAGACGTTTTTTATTCAATTTTTCAACCTTGCTTCCTCCAGGCCCCTAACCAAGCAGCTGAATTATTTGCTGCTGCTCAAGAGTCCCTGTATATCTTTACCTCCAACAGCTCTCCACACATCCAGTTGATGACCACAAGTGCTGCCAGAGCCCTCTCACTGGGAGGATTTCCCCTCACCACTGTCTGTGAGAGTTCCCCCTGTTTGGGCAGGTAATACAACAACAGTTCATTTTGGTCTACCACACATATTGAGCTGACAAACCAAGAACCAGGCCCTGACTTTTTCTCTTCTCCACTGTCAGCTAGCTGCAGGGGACCCTATATGAGGCCAGAGGTGTGAACTGAGAGAGAGACATCAGAACAACAGAGGTATGTGACATGTGGTCCCTGTTGTGTAACCCACTTATGCCCACCAGGTCTGTTTGGCCATGATCTTTAATGTATCATTTCCATCCTTCAGTGGATACTGCTGCACCTGCATGATTTAGTGATTTGAAAGGTCTTAGGGCATTCAGCTTCTGATGGGCATCTCTGATTGCATAGTCACTTGACATGCCATGGTAAAAACTCAGTTGCTATTAGGGCTAGCAGAATACCAAAAGAGTAAGAGGCAAAACCTTCCTCCTTTGTCCTATTACCTGACTCCCCTCACCTTCCCCAAACTTCCCTGCAGCTCTTCATCATCATTCCAACTTTTCCTTTAAAAATCAAAGGCCAGAACATACTTACTGATGCTTCTAGTCTGATGATGGCACTCCTGCTCGACGCTCCCATAGCTTTGTGTGCTAATCAGTCAGACTGTTCAGTGTATTATACTGTAGTGGTTGATTTGCTTCTCTGTAAAGCCCATGCATTTTTACTTAGTTTGCAACAAATACGATACTTGGTGAAAAGTAGATGTTCCATAAATATGTGAAGGAGAATGACCTGCATGAGTAAGGAACCAAGCCCAAACCCTGCCTCTGTGGATTCTTCCCCAACCACCCCAGCCTACAGTGATTTCTTCTGTCTCTTATCTCCACCACTTTCCTCGATTATCTTTAGTACTCAAATGAATCACATGTTTGTATTTCTAGCCTTGAAACCTGCCCTCCTTTCAGCCTTCTCTGTCCCAAGCCCTGTCATTCATCCTATTGCCCTAGCTAGGATCCTTGACACCCACAACACTCCTCTCCCTGTGCATATGGAATCTATTACCAAGTCATGCCAAATTTACCTTCAAAATGCCCTTCCAAGAAATCCACATCTCTCTGGTTCTAAGTATCGTCATATTAACTCAAACCACCATCATCTTCTCCAGGACAATTTCGGTAGCTTCCCCTACACTCTTCCCCATCCAATCTACTCTCTGTATGGAAGCCGGAGTAATGTTTTCTAAATGCAAGTATAATCAAGTTACAACCAAGTTAAAACCCATCAATGGCTTATCTTTGCCTTTTAGATGAAGACAAAACACCATAACATTCCTTAAAAGACTCTGCATGGGTAGCCTCTTATTTCTCTGATACAATCTTATCTGATACAACCTTACTCCTCACTCTCTCTGCTCCAGCCACAGTGCTTTTCTGAATCTAGTACTTCCCACACTGTCCTCTGTCACAGGGCCTTTGCCCATGCTGTTCTCTTTGCCAAGAATACTTTTTACTGCCTTTTTTAGACAAATTAATTATAAGGGGTACTGATTCTTTAGACCTCAGCTCAAACATTAATTCTTTAGGGAACTATTAGATTAGTTCCCTAAACTATTAGGGAAAAATTAGATTGTTTGCTAGATTGTTTGCTCTGTGAAGGTTGTTACCATACCTGCTTTTGCTCATTCTCTTTGTTGTAGGAATAAATGCCGTTATTATTTTTCTTCTTTTATTCCAGGGGTGCCATTTGCATCGTCTTAGAGGTGTCACAATAAAAGACATTCGCCGTATTTAATAATTTTCAGTTTTATTCTATGACCCAAGCAGCAGCAACAATGGGTAATTTTCAATCTTTGATATTTATAGTTTATAAAACAACAGTCTTTTAAGATAGATTCAATAGTATTAAAAATAATTGGATTGTCATTTCTCCTTACCCTAATAATAACTAGATTATATATCTATTAAAAAAGTATTGATGATTCAAAATAATCTTCTTTTCCTAGGATTAGAAGATCATGTAATATTTTTCAGGAAAATGGCAAAGTTAATTTTGAGTGAAATGCCAAAAGCCAAGTAAGTACTGTCGAAATAAAAACTAGAGAGCTGTGAAATTTTATGCTCTGTGTAGCTACAAATCAATATACTGATATACAAATAAAGGATCATTTAACATGCTCATTTGGAGTAGCTTGTTGATGGTGGGAAAACATTCTTTTCCTTGCAGTTGTCAATCGCTGTCATTGACCAGACTGTTTCCGAAATCAGTCACATTTGTGGAGCAGGAAGATGTATCTCGTATATCTGTATCCAGAATAACAGCCTTCAGAATCAACTATTCCCCCTCTTCAAATCTTGTTTCTGTCATTTAGCACTGAACAAATGGCTTTCCTTCTTTGAGGTTAATTTTCCTTATTATAAATTAGTAATTGTACTATCTCTTTATGAAGGACAGCTGTAACGGCAAAATGAAATTATATTTGAAAGGCATAGCAGACTGCCTGGTGTGAAATAAGTACTCAGTAAATAGTAGCAGTTGATGAGAGCCACCACCACAACAATAGCAACAATGTCTTCATGGAAGCTGTGTAATCTGTAATCTTTATTTTAACTGTTTTTTATTTTAGATATTCCAGTTTATTAAATGATTTTGTTGAATCTAATTTTTTTGTGATTGATGGCGATTCCTTGCTTGTCACATGCCTATGTGATAAATCGTTCAAGCAGGGACAGGATCTCCACTTCTTCTACCTCGTTGAATGTTATCTTGTGGATCTTATGAGTAATGGAGGACAATTTGCCATAGTTTTCTTCAAGGTAACGTACGGTGGTAGATTTTTTTTTTTTATTAGTTAAAACTTGACTTTTTTTCAGAGCAGTTTTAGGTTCACAGCAAACTTAAGAGGAAAGTACAGAGATCTCCCATGTATTGATTGCCCATACACATGCGTAGCCTTACCCATTGTCAACATTCCTCACTAGGGTGGTAGATTTGTTCCAGTTGATGAACCTACAGTGTGACATCATAATTACCTAGAGTCCATAGTTTACATTTGGGTTCACTCTTGTTGTTGTACCTTCTATGAGTTTGGACAAATGTATAATGACATGTGTCTAGCATTACGCATACAGAGTAGGGTCACTGCCCTAAAAGTCCTCTGTTCTTTTCCCATTCATCTCCTCCCCACCCCCTGCTCCCTTGGCAACCATTGATCTTTTTATTTTCTCCGTAAGTTTGACTTTTCCAGAATGTCATATAGTTGGAATCATACAGGATATAGCCTTTTCAGATTGGCCTCTTTCACTTAGTAAAATGCATTTAAGGTTTCTCCGTGTCTTTCATGGTTCGATAGCTTATTTCTTTTTAGTGCTGAATAATATTCCATTGTCTGAAGGTACCACAGTTTATATATCCGTTCACCTACTGAAGGACATCTTGGTTGCTTCCACATTTTGGCAATCATGAATAAACCTGCTGTAAACATCTGTGTGCGGGTTTTTGTGTGGACATAAGTTTTCAACTCCTTTGGGTAAATATCAAGAAGCTTGATTGCTGAATCGTGTGGCAAGAGTATTTTTGTTTTGTGAAAAGCCACCAAACTGTCTTCTGAAGTGGCTGTACTATTTTGCATTCCCATCAGCAAAGAGAATTACCATTGCTTGATATCTTCACCAGCTTTTGGCGTTGTCAGTGTTTCGCATTTTGGCTTTTCTAATAGGTGTGTAGTAGTATCTTGTCATTTTAATTTGCAGTTCCCTGATGACATAACAGTGTGAAGCGTCTTTTCATATATTTACTTTGTATATTATCTTTGATGATTTATCTGTTAAGGTCTTTGGCTCATTTTTTGTTTTTTTTTTATTGAGCTGTTTTTCTTATTTTTGAATTTTAAGTGTTCTTTGTGGGCCGGCCCCGTGGCCAAGTGCTTAAGTTCGTGCTCTCCGCTTTGGCGGCCCAGGGTTTGGCTGGTTCGGATCCTGGGCGCGGACATGGCACTGCTCATCAAGCCATGCTGAGGCCGTGTCCCACATAGCACAACCAGAAGGACCTACAACTAGAGTATACAACTATGTACTGGGGGAGCTTTGGGGAGAAGAAGAAGAGAAGAAAAAGAAGATTGGCACCAGATGTTGGCTCAGGTGCCAATCTTTAAAAAAAAAAAAACGTTCTTTGTATATTTTGGATAACAGTCCTTTATCAGGTGTCTTTTGCAAATCCTTTCTCCCATTCTGTGGCTTGTCTCTCATTCTCTTGACATTGTCTTTCACAGAGCAGAAGTTTTTAATTTTAATGAAGTCTGGCTGATCAATTATTATTTCATGGATTATGCCTTTGGTGTTGTATGTAAAAAGTCATTGCCATACCCAAGTTTGTCTGATTTCTCCCATGTTATCTTCCAGGAGTTTTATAGTTTTGCATTCTATATTTAGGTCTGGGATCCATTTTGAGTTAATTTTTGTGAAGGGCATAAGGTCTATGTCTAGAGATTCTTTTTTTGCTTGTGGATGTCCAGTTGTTCCAGCACCATTTGTTGAAAAGACTATTTTGCTCCATTGTATTGCCTTTGCTCCTTTGTCAAAAATCGGTTGACCATATTTATAGGGGTCTATTTCTGGGCTCTCTATTCTTTTCTATTAATCTATTTGTCTGTTCTTTTCCCAGTAACCCACTGTTGTGATAACTGTAGCTTTATAGTATTTTTTTGAAGTCAGGTGGTGTTAGTTCTTCAATTTTGTTCCTCTCCATCAATATTGTGTTGGCTAGTCTGGGTCTTTTGTCTCTACATATAAACTTTAGAATCAGTTAGTTGATATCTACAAAATAATTTGCTAGGATTTTGATTGGGATCGTTTTGAATCTAAAGATAAAGTTGAAAAGAACTGACATCTTGACAATACTGAGTCTTCATGTCCACAAACATGTCATGTCTCTCCATTTATTTAGTTCTTTGATTTTGTTCACCAGAGCTTTGTAGTTTTCCTCATATAGATCTTATACATATTTTGTTAGATTCATACATAAGTATTTGATTTTTTTAGGTGTTAATGTAAATGGTTTTGTGTTTTAAATTTCAGATTCCACTATTTCTCTGCTGGTATATAGTGATTCAGTTGACTTTGTACCTTAACCTTATATTCTGCAAACTTGCTATAATTTCTTATTATTCCAGGAGTTTTTTTTGCTGATTTTTTTGGATTTTCTATATGAACGATCATGTCATCTGCAAACAAAGACAGTTTTATTCTTCCTTTCAAATCTATATACCTTTTATTTCCTTTTCTTGTCTGACGCATTAGCTAGAACTTCCAGTATAATGTTGAAAAAAAGTGATGAGTGGGACATGCTGTCCTTGTACCTGATCTTAGTGGGAAAGCTTCAAGTTTCTCACCCTTAAGTATGATGTTAGCTCTAGGTTTTATGTAGATAGTTTTTATCAAGTTGAGGAAGTTCTCCTCCATCCCTGGTCTACTGAGAGTTTTTATCATGAGTGAATGTTGGATTTTGTCAAATGCTTTCTCTGCATCTATTGATATGATCATGTGATTTTTCTTCTTTACTCTGTTGATGTGATGGATTGCATCAATTGATTTTCAGATGTTGAACAACCCTTGCTTACCTGGGATAAATTTCACTTGGTCATGGTGTATAATTCTTTTTATACATTGTTGGATTCAACTTGCAAATAATTTGTTGAAGATTGTTGCACCTATGTTTATGAGAGATATTGATCTGTAGTTTTCTTTTCTTGAAATGTCTTTGCCTGTTTTGGTATTAGGGTAATGCTGGCCTCATAGACTCAGTTAGGAAGTATTCTCTCTCCTTCTGTCCTCTGAAAGAGATTTTAGAGAACTGGTATAATTTCTTTCTTAAATGTGTGATAGAATTCATCAGTGAACTCATCTGGGCCTGGTGCTTTCTTTTTTGGGGGGTTATTAATCCTAGATTCAATTTCTTTAATAGATATAGATCTATTCAGGTTATTTCTTTTTGTTTGAGTCTTGGCAGATTGTCTTTCAAGAGATTGGTCCATTTCATCTTGGTTATCACATTGGTGGGCATAGAGTTGTTCATAGTATTCCTTTATTATCCTTTTAGTGTCTATGGATCTGTAGTGATGTCCCTCTTTCATTTCTGATATCAGTAATTTGTGTCCTCTCTTTTTTTTAGTTAACTTGGCTGGAGGCTTATTGACTTCATTGATCTTTTCAAAGAACCAGCTTTTGACTTTGTTGATTTTCTTAATTAATAATTTACTGCTTTCAACTTCATTGATTTCTTCTCTAATTTTTATTATTTCTTTTCTTCTGCTTACTTTGAATTTACTTTGCTTTTCTCTTTCTAGTTTCCTAAAGTAGAAACTGGGATTATTGATTTTAGATCTTTCTTCTTTTCTAATATGTACATTCAATGCTATAAATATCTCTAAGTACTACTTTCACTGCATCTTACAAATTTGGATGTTATATTTTAACTTTCATTTAGTTCAAAACATTTTTAAACTTCTCATGAGATATCTTCTTTGACTCGTTATTTAAAAGTATGCTGTTTAATCTCTACGTATTTTGGGATTTTCTATTTATCTTTCTGTTATTGATTTCCAGTTTAATTGTGGTCTGAGAGCAGACATTGTATAATTTCTAGATTGATGTCTTTTTAATTCTGTGAAAACTAAAACTGAAAGATCTTAACTTACTTTAAAGGCTACTTTATTTAAAATAAAGCATGTCATTATAGAAAATAAAGATGAGCTACAGAAAAATGTAACTTATAATCTTAGTACTCAGAAAGAAGCATTCTTTAGTTTTCAACATTTTATTATAAAAATTTGCAAATATAAAATAGTTGAAAGATTGTGCAGCAAATATCCGTATCCCCACCATCCAAACTCTATGATTATATTTTATTATATTTGCTTCATATTTATCTATAAATTTATCTATGCTTCTATTCTTCCATCAATCCTTTTTCTTTTTTGGGGGGGTGGGGCACATTTCAAAGTAAATTGCAGAGAGGAGCTACATTATCTGTAAATATTTCAGCATTTGTGTCATTAACTAGCGTTCAATATGTATTTATAGTATTTTTTGAGGTAAAATTTACATGAAATGAAATGCACGAATCTTGAATGTACCATTCAGTGAGTTTTGGCATATGCCTGTGTAGCCCAAACTCTTGTCAAGCTATAGAACATGACTATCACTACAACATATTCTCTCATGCCTCTGCGCAGTCTATCCTCACTCCATTCCCTGGAAGCAAACACTGTTTAGATATCTTCCTACCACATATTAGTTTTGCCTGTTCTAGAATTTTTAATATGTGGATTTTTACGGTACGAACTCTTTGCGTAAGGCTTCTTTCATTCAGCATGATACTTTTGAGGTTCATCCATTTTTTTCCGTGTATCAGTCCTTTGTTCCTTTTATCAGTGCTGAGTAATGTTCTTTTATATAAATGTCTACAGTTAGTTTGTTTATCCATTCTCTTGTTGAAGGACACTTGGATTCTTTCCATATTTTGCCTATTAGGAATAAAACTACTAAGCATATTTACTTGCAAATCTTTGGGCATAAGTTTTTATTTTCCTTGTGCATATATCTACGTTTGAAATTGTTATGTCATAAAGCAGTTATATGTTTAGTTTTATTTAAAAAACAACTGTCAAAACTTTTCCCAAAGTGGCTGTGCTACTGTACGGTCCATCCAACGAGCGAGAGTTCTGGTGCTTGTTCTACTTGCAAACCTTTGTATTTAGTTAGTCTAGGCATTCTGGTTGGGTGTGTAATGTTATGTCATTGTAGTTTTAGTTTGCATTTACCTTATAGTTAATGATGTTGGCCCTTTTTCAAGTGTTTATTGTCCATCTGTATATCTTCACTTGTGAAATGTTTGCTCAAATCTTTTGACCATTTTTAATCGAATTCCTTATAGTTTTATTATTGAGTTGTAGGAGTTCTTAATATTTTCTGGATCCAAGCCCTTGTCACGTATATTGTTGCAAATATGTTCTCTTAGTCTGTGGATTGCCACCTCATTTTCTTAATGTTATCTTTGGGTGACCAGACTTATTTATTTTGATGAAATCTAACTTATTGTTCTGTAATAATTATTGTTCCTGCATCCTGCTTAAAAGATCATGGCCTACCTCTTAATCATAAAGATATTATCTTATATTTAGTTCAAAAATGTAAAGTTTTAGTTTTTGCATTTGGTTCTATGATATAATTTTGAGTTAATTTTTTTGGTGTGTGGTTGAGTTAGAGATTGAGGTTCAGTTATTCTGGCATCAGTTGTTGAGAAGATATTTCTTCCTTCAGTGGATTGCTTTGTTATTTTGTCAAAAATCAAATGACTGTATCTTTGTGAGTCCATTTCTGGGCTCTTCATTCTATTTCATCAAAGAATTTAACATTATTTTTTACCAATACCACAATGTCCTAATCATTGTATCTTTATAGTAAGTCTTGAAATCAATTCTGTTCTTTTTTGTTCAGTTTTGACTATTCTAGATTTTATGTACTTCCATATGAATTTCAGAATCAGCTTGCTGATTTCTATTTTAAAAAAAGCTTGATGGGATTATAATTTATATTCATATAGTCTGTAGGTCATTATAGAGTCTTTCAATTTCTGAACATGGTATATATCTCCATTTATTTAGATCTTCTCTAATTTCTCTCATTAATATTTTGTGGTTTTTAGCATGAGGGTCTTTCACGTCATTTGTTAAATATATTTATAAATATTTCATGTTTTTATGTTGTTATAAATTGAATTTTTAAAAATAATTTTCAATTTTTTTGCTGTTAGTATATAGAAATATAATTGATTTTTATATATTGATTCAGTATCCCTCAGTATTGCTACAAGAACTTACTAATTTTATTCACTCCTTTGTATGTTCCGTATGATTTCCCACATCTTCAGTAAACAAATATATTTTTATTTCTTCTTTTTCAATTTTTTATCTTTATTTCTTTTTTTTTGCCTTATTGTACTGTCTGGTACCTCCAGTAAAAGTTGAAGTAGAATGAGTGGGCATTTGTACTTTGTTCTTGATATTAAAGGGAAAGTGTTCATTATTTCACCATTATGTATTGTGTTAACTGTAGTCTTTTTGTAGATACCCTTTTTTAGATTGAGGTAATTCCCTTCTATTGCTAGTTTTCTGAGAGTTTTTATCATAAACACTTGTTAAATTTTTTAAAATGCTATTTCTACATATATTGAAGTTATTGTTGCTTTTTCTCCTTTATTTTCTTAATTTGGTGGTTACATTGACTGTTTTTTGAGTGTTAATTCAACCTTTTATTCCTAGGAAAATCCTACGTGGTCATATGTTTTTTTAATACATGGCTGCATTTGATTTCCTAATATTTTGTTGGTTTTTTGGTACATATATTCCTGGGGGACATCAGTCTGTAATTTTGTTTTTTTAATAATGTTTTTGTTAAGTTTTGGTATCAGTGTGATGCTGGCCTAATAAAATGTGTTGGGAAATCTTTCCTCCTCCTGTATTTTCTGAAAGAGTCTTTCTAAGATTGGTATTTATTCCTTAGAAGAATTTGATGAGATTTGATAAAATTTCCTGTGAAACTATCTGGGTCTGGAATTTTCTTTGTGTGAAGATTTCTGATAACAAACTCAATTTCTTTAATAGATATAGGGCCATTTAAAATTTTTGTTTTACCTTGTGTCAGTTTTGTTAACGGTATACGTCAAGGAATTTGTTCATCTTATCTGAGTTGTCTAACATGTTGGCGTAAAGTTGTTTACAATATTCTTCTATTTTCCTTTTAATGTTTGAAGACTTTTGGTGATATCCTGTTTTTCATTCTTTATATTGCTAATTTGTGTCTTCTGTCTTATCTTCTTGATTCATCTACTTAGAAGTTTATCAATTTTGTTGATATTTGCAAAGACTCAGTTTTGGCTTTGTTGTTTTCTCCATTGCTTGCCTTTTTAAAAAAATTTTTATTTATTTCTACTCATCTTTATTATTTCTTTCTCTTGGAGATTTTTTTTTTTAACTCTCTTTCCCCCCCTAGCTTCTTAAATTGGAACCTTAAGTCAAAACCTTTATTTTTTTCTACTATGAACATTTAAAATTTCCTTCCAGGCATTGCTTTAGCTGCACACCACAAATTTGCATCTAATGGTTTTTTCTTTACAATTTAATTAGAAATATTTTCTAATACTTCTTGTGATTCTTCTTTGACAGTGGATTTGTTAGAAGTGTGTTATTTCAATTTCTAAATACTTGTTTTCTTCTAGTATGTTATTGTTATTGCTATCTAATATAATTCCATTGTGGTCAGAAAAAATATTTCTGTTAATTTCAGTTATTTGAGAATATTGGGACTTGTTTTGTGGTCCAATATATGGTCTATTTTGATGAATGTACCATGTGTTTTTGAAAAGAATATATATTCTAATGTTCTTAGGTATATTGTCCTGGAAATGTCATTAAGTCAAAGTAGTTGATAGCTAAAATTTATTTTTATTTGCAATGATGGATGTTTATTTTAAGGACAGCTAGGAACATGAGGAAGGATGGGAAATTTTATCAATAGTCTTTTTACTCTCTAGATTCCCATCCTGAAATTTGAGGAAGCACTTCAGACTTCAAAACTAAGCAGGGATTTTACTTAGAGCCCAGTAGAATGGCAACCTCAACAGAGGCACTGTGCTTCTTGTTATTTGCTTTATGGTAAACATTCCCAACAAGGTAATATATCTGACTTAGAAAAATTAAAATTTTAATTAAAATCTGACTTTTAAAAATTACAATTTGAATGGATTCCAATTTTAAGAAATCGCAATCCAAATACGGAGTTTCCCCATCCTGTTCCCCAGAAGCCATTGTTGTTTTACTTGTAAGAAATCTGGTGCACATCTGTTCGATCTTTATTTGTAGGGTTTTTTTTTTTTTTTGATTGGTATGTTTTAACGTTATTAAAGGTATAAGCAGTGTTCTAACTGATGTATACAAGAAAGTCAGGAGTCTTCTGTAATTGACAATCTAGACCACTTCACTGAAAAATAGAAATTTTGATGCTGATTAAAGACTTGGAGACATGTTACTTGAAACGCTACATTTTATCTACCAATAGTGATCCACATTAGCTTCCTAATTCAGATAAAGTATATCCATTCTCTTGCAACTTTAAATCCCTTTGAACTTGGAAAATAACGAATTGGAAGGTGAGAAATGAAATTGATAGGTACTCTAAGTAGTGTTTGCCTGCTTAAATATAGAAGACGAATCTGTTTAAATCCAAATTTTGACCTATGGCATAGACCTATGAAATGATAGTCAAGGATTAAGGACCTTGTCCTTGACTAGAATTCAGAGCAAAACAATTGGGCTATGCTGGGTTTGATACTGTATCCCTTTGTTCTTTAACAAAATTAACAACCACTAAATGAAGAATAATGTGCTTTTTTTCCTCACCACAGGAAGCTGAATGTGCATATTTTGATTTTCCTGAACTTCTTTCATTGAGAACTACTTTAATTCTCCATCTTCAACACAATACCAACATTGATGTTCTAACAGAGTTTTCTGGATGCTCATCACTAGACTGGAAATTATTCTTGGAAGAACATTATCCATATTTTCTGGTAGTTTCAGAGGAAGGCCTGAATGATGGACAAACGTCCTTTTTTAACTTCTTAATCATACAGTCTTGGGCAATGGGAGTCAATGTTGTGCTTTCATCAGGGCAAGAATGTGATATTCTCAGATTTCATGCATATATTATGCAAAGCACAGACAGAAACAAAAAGTTTTCTAAGGAGGTAATTTACATTAATAATTCTCATTGTTTTGTCCTGATTTTTAATTTTAACTCTCAAAATGACTTAACTCAATACTCTTTCCATCTTTTTATGGAACTTACCATAGTTAGGCTCAGAATAAGTAATACACTTAGTAATATAACAACAATAATGACAGACATTTGTTAATCACTTATGCTAGTTCCTTTCCATGAATTATCTCTTTTAGTTCTCAGAGTAATCTTATGAGATATGATATTATTACATCCGTTCATATTTATTTATGGCATTATCGTCTCATCTGTGAAAGAATACTTGCAGTATTGAAATAATTTGCTCAAGTTAAGTGCCTAATGAAAGATTGGCAGTGGATTTCAGCCAAGAAATATGACTCCAGCCTCTGTGTATTTAACCACAGAAGTATCCTGTCTCCCAGAAAGAAGAAAACTAGCACTGCATTTAACTGTAGGCCCATCTGTTTAGAGGTTCATGTGTTTAAGATAGGCATTGAAATGGTGGCTAACATGGAGGGCCTTTAATGAGATATGAGAAAGGTTGAAGAAGAAAGTAATGAGGTGATTTCATTTCTTAACATTGTCATCAAGTCTGTAGAATTTTCAAAGCATGTTAGAATTTCATATCCATGATATGCTCATTATTTTGGTATATCCAATGTAGGTTTATATAGGAATTACTGTATAAAACTTGGGAGTTAAAAATGCATTAATGATCTTATGAGTGAACCTAGTTTTCTTTTAACTTTAACATTTTAAAATGAATTCTGATATAGAAGTCATTTAATATTTTATCAAAAATTATCTTTCAATCTAATTCCTATTTTTTAATTGTAGCAAATTCCTGCCCTTTTGGAATTGTCACTCCACACTGTTTTCTGTTTGAGCTTGAAAAATCACTTTCTAAATGTGAAGTATGCTAATAAAAATCAATTAAAATTCATTGTGTTCTGGGGCCGGCGTTGTGGCACAGCCATTAAGTGTGCACATTCTGCTTTGGTGGCCCTGGGTTTGCAGGTTTGGATCCTGGGTGCAGACATGGCACCGCTTGGCAAACTGTGCTGTGGCAGACGTCCCACATATAAAGTAGAGGAAGGTGGGCACGGATGTTAGCTCAGGGCCAGTCTTCCTCAGCAAAAAGAGGAGGATTGGCAACAGATTTTAACTCGGGGCTAATCTTCCTCAAAAAAAAAAAAAAAATTGAAAAAAAAAATTCATCCTGTTTTGAGAAACACCCTTCATGTTAGTCGGAGACATGCAGATGGTTGTCATGCTTTTAGATTAGTTATTTGCTTTAGTTTCATTTCTATCATTAAAATCTTTCCCAGGTTTTTTTTTAGGACTTAGAATTTATTTTAATGTTGGGAGAAGGTACTGCTATAAGTTCTTCTCTATTTTGTCTGAGAAATACCAGACTCTGACTCTTAAAAATGTAGTAATAGTACCCTATTTGGTCTCTTATTAAGAATAACTTTTTTTTTTAATTGAGGATTTTATTTTCTGTAAAGTTATTTCCTAATTCATTGATTATAGTGGCTTCCTTAAAAAAGTTGTTTTACTCATCATTCTTTGGACTGGTTAAATCGGTCTCTGAATGAACATTGAAATTGCATTATATGTTGATAATTGTTGAGGCTGGTGATGGGTACATGGATGGAAGTCATACTATTTTCTGTACTTTTAAAAACTTCATAGTACTAAAACAACCCATTATATTCTTAAATAAAAATTCATTTGGTAAAGAAGACACATGCATGTTTACCAGAGGTTAAGCAAAATTGTCTTAAAGACACATGAGAGTGATTTTAGTTAGTGTACGTTGTAACCATATAGAACTCAAATATCTCATTTTTTTGTAGCTGAGAAAGATATTTCATTTAAGATTATGTGATTTTGTCTTTTGCAGAATGAAACAGTGATTCAAAGTGCGTATGAAAGCCTCATGCAACACTTGGAAGAAAGGAAGATTTTAGCGTTAGCATCTCACTTTAGACGTTTAAGATGGAAAGTTATGATGGAAGAGGTACTGAAATGTTTGTTTTTTAAGTAAATGTTTACTGGAATTTGATAAATGAGAAACAATTTTGAGTAGTCCAGACTAAAGGATACCTTATACTTCCTTAATACACACATACTATCTGAATCTCAGAATTCACGCTCTTAAGGTACCTCGAATTGATCAGATGGCATATGCAATTTAATCTTCATTTCTGGGAACTGAATTTTAAGACAGATTCTGGCAAAATGAAATTTGTAGCAATTACTGCAACAATGATTTGTTCTTTATTGTGTACTTTTCTAATTGACGAGGGCCCTAAGATATTATTTGCCATATAAAAAGTCAAAATGAGAACTTAGTTATACCTTAAATCTAATTTCCTCAATACCTCCTCAAACAATGCTTTATAATACTGTTTATCATGATAGATTGCTGTCTAAAAGCAACTTTTGTTTTTTCTGGATCCTCAAATGGAAAAAGATGATTTGCATAAGAAAATTTGGAAAAGAAAGAAAAGTTAGTATGGAATGGCCATAATTCCACTGCTTGGGTTCTATGTGGTTAGATTATACAATTCTTTTCTTTATGTTTTCCTCTATTAGGAACATTTTTGAGTAAAAATATCTTTCTAAATCATTTGACAATTGAAAAATTTTTCTCTTTTAACAGGCATGTCAGACTATATCTCTGCTTCAGCAGCTGTGGCTAGAAGCATTGGACATCAGGCGTGTTGTCTGTGTTACTTCATGTTCCTTAGCCTTGAGAATGTACCATCGTTTTTTAGGAAATAAAGAGAACACAGCCTCTGGTCGGGAAACTATCACTCATCAGGTGTGACTGGTATAATTTCATGGGGCCATGCCAGTGTTCTCTACTCTTGAAATACTTTTGGCTTCTCCTACCATTTTCTTCGTTTGGAATTTAGCTCCTCCCTCTCACTAATTTATATGTATTAAGTACTAAAAGAGGGAAAACTTAGAATCTTTATAAGAAAACATCGTTATATAATTTTATGTTTTTATTAGAAAATGATGTTCAGAAAGTATTCTCTGATGTTTCACTTAGAACTTATCCAGCCTAATTCTTCTCATTAGAGAATGTGAGGAAGAGGAAGAAAGGAGACAAATTTTGGTGGAAAACCCACTATGAACTTGTATTTCAGGCTCTTTCTGTACTTTTTGGTGTAGGTATTATTACCTTCTTCTGCCTATTCAGGATGCTGCGACGCTGAGACATTAACAACACACCTAATGTCACATGGTAAAAGGCAGCTTGGGTTTTTACCGATGGTTGGCCTTGTGATGGTTCCACTATATTTAACTGCCTTCTTAAAAGAGCATTTCTGCTATTGTGTTTTAGTGTCACCCAGGGTGGAGAGATCCTGAATTTTAAAAATTATTTTTGGCTCATAGGGCCCTTTAAGAATCTGTTGATAAACATGGATTTTCCCTCTATTAAATAGCATCGCTACTTGCGTGTGCACACACATACACACAGACACAGACACAGACAATTTTGCATGCTGTCTCAGTCTGGATATTGGTGTATTCCAGGTTACAAAAAACTCCATTCTAAAAAACAAAATGGTGACTTCACAGGGCTCAAGGAGTTAGTATTCTATGGGAGGGGATTGCCAATTTTAAAAATCTGTCAATGACAGCGGGTTGTCACTAAGTATGAACTTTGTGTATGGTAAGATGTTATGCAGTTTGGGTAGAGAGAAGAAATAGACACAGTATTTACCCAGTTGATAATGCATAGCTTGGAAGACAATTTTAATGTCTTTTTGAGATTGCTAGAAGAACTCCAGACGTATATCCAATTCACCCGCTCAACATTTCCATTTGATGTGTAGTAAACATCTCAAATTTAAGATGTCTGGAACCAAACTCCTCAAACCTGGTCCTTCCTTGGTCTTCCCCATCCCAATAAATGGCAGCACCATTCTTCTAATTTCTCGAGGAAAAGAAATCAAACGTACAAAAAGCTGGGAGTACCATGGAGAGTGGAGAACAGGAAAACTGCAGCGAGTTTTTTGTGCGTTCTCCTTTTTGATTGTTTCCTTTGTTTAGATTTGATTGAGATGCAGTTTTTTATTTAGTTGACTGAAAATGCATATTTTTTTTTTAAGATTGGCAACTGAGCTAACAACTGTTGCCACTCTTCTTTTTTTTTTTGCTTCTTCTTTTTCTCCCCAAGTCCCCCCAGTACATAGTTGTATATTTCAGTTGTGGGTCCTTGTAGTTGTGGCATGTGGGACACTGCCTCAGTGTGGCCTAATGAGCGGCGCCATGTCCACGCCCAGGATCCAAACTGGCGAAACCCTGGGCCGCTGAAGCGGAGCACGAGAACTTAACCACTAGGCCATGGGGCCGGCCCCTGAAAGTGCATATTTATTCATTGAATCAGCTAATATTTATTCAAGGTCTAAAGGTGCTAACTGACTGCTTTCAGATAACAGAGCTGGGATATTATGTAGACATAGCTAATAATAGGTAACACTTATTAAGGGCTTACCATGTGTTAAACACATTCTAGCTCTAGTACAGAGATGATCTCATTCAGTTTTCACAAAAACCCTATGAGAAACTATATTGTTACTTCTCCTGATTTTTACATGTTAGAGAACTGGCTCTTAAAATGTCTTGACTTTAATGAAAGACTTTAATGAAGTAATAAATGGCAAGTCTAAATTTGGAGCCATTCCCATTTCCAGAGCCAAGATTCTGAATTATTATGCAATAGTCTTTTAAGTTAGAGACACAGCACCACAGTATTTTTAATTAGCATATAATGTATTAGATTTTAGCTATGTAGGTGCCTTTAAAATTCTCTCTTTGAATAGTTTAGTTTTCTAAAAACTTGAAGATTAACTCTCAAAAATGCAGAACTTCAAACCTTTAAGTTCTAAGGGAACTCTAAAATATTCTGCATGATTCTCTGATTTTTAAGAGCATATTTAAATATTATGATTATCTTAATATTTTGACTTTATAATATGCTGAAGATATGCTGTGAGTTGCATGATGCAAGTGTAAATAACATAGAACCCAGGATTCTGGGAATAAAACTTGATTTCTTGTGTAAGCTTAAATTTGATTATCCCTCTTTCTCACACAGTTTCAGAGATGGATAAGGCCCACTACCTCATTTAATTCTCCTGCAATATTTGCTTAAATGCCTTTGGAGAAAACTTTTCATATGACAGCACATGATTTTTTTAATGGTTCTAATTTTAAAAAATGAATATATCAAGCAAAATATATATCAGAGAAAATAAATATATATACAAATACATCAGCGAAAATCAATCTCTGTAACTTCTATTTATTATTTCCAATTTTGCCCTTGGAGATATATTTTTATTTAAGTTCCTTAACCTTTCATATATTTGAAAATAATTTTGAAGTATCTACCACAGGAGGTTAAACATGACCATTTCCTTCCTCCATTTACATTTAACGTGCTTTTCGGATGTCTTCATCCTGGATTTCTCACCGTGAACATACTGTGGTTTTGTTGAGGTAACCGTGAATGCTCTAAATGGTAGAGCATTTTGTGTGGGGCTCCATAAATGCACAGGCCTCTGGGTCAGTGACATCCTTTGTTGTCAACTCGTTTAAAGTTTAACTTAACTAAAAATCCTAAGACATGTTTTATGTGAGCTGCTAAGGCAGGAGTTTTCCCTCTTTCTTACCCCACTTTTGTATAGATGCAGTTTATGTATGAAGAACAGGACTTTCTTAAAAATGTAGTCTGAGCAATTGGAGGATATGCAACTCCTCCTCAAGCAAACATGGCTGCCCACTTTGTGATGCTGCCTATTTGTGTGCTCTTTCCATAGCGTGCTGTTGCCTGGCTCACCTTGCTTATTTTATGCAGGTGAGCAGTAATTACCTACCGCTGCGGGAGGCAGAAGATTTGTGCAGACTGCATTGTCTCTGCATGGCTTTTCAGCTCCACTTACCTCTTTCTCAGAGAGCTTGTTCTCGAGTCATCATCTCTCCTTGGATTGAGAACGTCTGTACCTTCTTAAAAATGGTAACCGTACTTTATATTAGTTTATTTTTTGTTTTGGTACAAGAGATAAAGATCATGATCACCTTTAAAAATAGATTTATATTGGAATAATGCCGGATAAATCAATCAGGTCTTAGTTTCAACAACTTCCGTTTCTTCACAATATGTCTGTTCGAAGGAAGCGTGAAAGCCCTCCTCTTTTTTGTTCCTTCCTCTGATGAGATCATGTTTTTGTGTTATCAACCACAGGAAATTGGTTGAGATTGTGTGCTGTTCTTTAGAAGAGCTGGGAACCAACTTATGAATTTATTTTTTCTGTTTGTTATAAAAGTAGTGTATATTAAAGAAAAGTTGAAAATTGAAAAAAATAGATAACGTGTACTCCTAGTCCACTGCTCAGAGCAATGCTGTTAACTAAAATACTGTTAGTATTTTTTTTTCTATTCTTTTCTTTTAGGGCATAGATTTTTTGTGATTATTTCTTTTATGGCTGCAACCATAGTATATATACTATGTATTATTTTCTTTTAAAGGTATTTTGATTTTTTCCACAGTCCTGGTTGGCACAATTTTTGTGGCTATTAAACATTATTTGAGTGACTCTATTGTAGTTTATATAAGCACTCCCCTATAATGGGGCGTTAGGATAATTTTCAGGTTGTATGTTAAAAATGCTGCTGGTCTTGAGAGTTTTTATGTTTAAGGTTTTCCTTTTAATTTGGGGTAAAATATTTAGATTAGATTTCCTGAAATAGTAAATGGGATTATTGATCAAAAACGTGTTGAAAATTTGAGGCTCTTGATTCATATTGTCAAATTGTTGTCAAAGGCATTTTAAAACCAGTTTGCCAGGCAGCCCATTCACACATGTTTGATCAGCACATGTTCACTATACAAACACGTTTCCCCACTCTTCTTCCGTGAAGCCTCAGTTTGCAGGGAATTCAGGTATTGAATAGTTATAATAACCAGTAAAAGGATTAAAAATGTGCTAATGGATATAAAGAGAGAATTAAAGGATACTTTAGAAACTAATGATGAAAAGGCTTACCTAGCTGGATATGATGACTTCTTTGAAGAAGTGAAGAGAGGTGAAGCAGCCCAAGACTTGAAGGATGAGGATTGGTTGGCTAGAGGATCTGAGGTATGTTCAGGGTGACTAGGTAGGAGAAAAGAAGGTGAAGCTGAAGAGCTAGGTAGAAGGAAAATCATTTAGTACTCTTTGGCTCTGTCGAGGATTTAGGAAATGATAAGCATAATGAGAAATTATTGGAGGGTTTCAAGCTGTAATTGAATTTTTGCTTAAAAGTTCTTTTGGCTATAGTGTGTAAAGGGCATCATAGACATCTGAGTAGAGACAAGGAAACCACTTCAGTGATTGCACAAGTAATTGATGAGGGTAACATGGGGAAAGTTGGTAGCACTAAGCATAAATAGAAGTGGAGAATGCAAGAGTTATTTGGGCTGTGGAACAAACTGACAAGGTTAAGTAATTGATTACGAGGCATAAGGGAGAAGGAAGAGTCAAAGATAATTTCCAGATTTCTAGCTTGACCAACTTCGAATGCTGCCATTGGAAAAAGAACATTTTGGGGAGGAAAATAATGAATTTGCTAAATAGTGAGTTTGAGACAGTGGCAATGAGACTTCCAAAAGGAGGTATCTGTTGGGTAGTTTAGTTGTGTTTGGGGCTGGAAACAGATTAGCGACTCATTAGTCCATGGATAATACTGGACGCCATGCCAGTTCAGCATTTTTCTAGGGAAAGACCAGAGTAAAAAGAGAAAAGGTTTCGGTTCAGAGTCCTGAGATATTCCAGAGTATAGTGGTCAGGTGGAAGTGTAAGAACTAGAAAAAGATACTGAAAAGGAGCTGCTAAGTAGAAAAACTAGGAGAAGTGAATTATCTTAGAGGTCAGATGAATCAGGTATTTAAAAAAAGAAGTGGTTTATGGTATCAAATTCTGCAGATGATATGAGGATGTTGAGGACAGAAAATTCAGTGATTTTAATAACATGAAAGTCAAAGGTGATTGTTTTTACTATGAGCTGTTTTGGTAGAGTGGTGGGGTGCAAAAGTGGAATATTCAGCAATAAGTGGAAGGTTATAAAGTACAGTGTAGGTAACTTTTTTCTTGGAGTTGGTTTCAGTTCATTTTTAATCTTTATATTGCTAATAATGTTTTATTTTCAATTTTCAGAAAAAGTGGTGTGACTATTTCATTCTAAGAAATTTAAACCTTTTTGAAGGTTGGAATCTTAATTTAAATCATCTTTCTGACTTGTGTGATGAGCATTTGTTAAAGAATATTGCCTTTTACTATGAAACTGAAAATACTCAAGGTAGTACCTTAATATATATTAACATTATATCATTAATAAGAGGTAAACGGAAATTATTTAAAACCCTTCCAAGTTTTCCAATACAAACCACAGCAACATTTTTGTTTCTTGCAAACTTTTGTTTGTACATGTACATGCTTATTACATTTCCTGCCTTTTCTTCACTCAGTATTATTCAAAAAATTGAATTTGATGTTATAGTATAATATTGATGTATTTTTCATTTAAATGGCTGGATGACTTTTTGTAATGCTTACTTCAATTAATGTAATCCCATCACTATTTTTGGACATTTAAGGATTCATTGCATTTTTCCTAAAAACAAAGCTGCATTAAATATCTTGGTACATGTAAGTTTTGTTTTTCTTTGAATTATTTCCTTAGAATAAATTATCTTTTGTGGTTTTATATATTCAAAGAATAGTGAAACATTTTGAACATATTTTTCCTAAGTGAACATTACTGAAGTTTTTTTGAACTCTGAGATTTAATTCCCATAGTGGCAAGCATTGGAATAAACTGATTTTTGCATAAAATTTAGCAACCATTACTAGTTTTTCAAAAGTTTTCATCCTCTATGTATTCTGCAAACTGTCAAGAAAACTGTTTTTTTATTACTTAGTTTTAAAAATTGCCAGCTTATATATGGCATTTTGTTCATTATTTTAGGAAATAATTTTATATTCATCATTAGCATTATTTAGTAAGGAACAAGCATGTAATTGTTACAGACCACTACTAAATTTAAAGACAAAATGATTTTAAAAAACCACTGCCATAGTGTCATTGCTAATTTCCATGCTGGTGTACTGTTGTACTCACTCTAAGTTTCATTCACTATTTGATAATCTTTTTAGAATTCTGTGAATTTAGTCAAAAAAAGGGGTTTGTGTGTGTGCATGTGTATGACTTTTAATACTTTAATATGTTAATTATTATGCAGAGCTACATTTGAATTTGGGAGATTCCATTAAGAGAGATTACACACATCTGTGGAATTTTGTGTCACACCTGGTAAAAGAATTTGATGTTGGAAAGCCTTTTCCTCTGAGAACAACAGCAAGGCCTTTTCTTGGAAAGAAGCTATTACCAATCCAAGGTAATAAATCACCAGATTAAACTGGAATCAAAGCATCTTTATTCCTCAAAATTTTAAGAAGCCTGATTAATTTGATTCTTACAAGGATAAATAATTTTCTTTCACTATGCATTTTTGTTTACTTCCTAACTGAGGTATAAAATAGAGCCAATAGTGTGCTTAAAGCAAGCCAATATGAGGAGTAAAGCCTGATGAGATTTTACACGTATAGACATCTGTGTGATAACCACCGAGATCAAGATATAGAACGTTTCCAAAACCTCATGAGAAAGTTTTCTTTTTTTTTCCCCCTGCTTTTTTCTCCCCAAATCCCCCCAGTACATAGTTGTTTATTTTAGTTGCGAGTCCTTCTAGTTGTGGCATGTGGGATGCCACCTCAACACGGCCTAATGAGTGGTGGCATGTCCGCATCCAGGATCCGAACCCTGGGCCACCAAAGTGGAGCACGTGGATTTAACCACTCGGCCACGGGGCCAGCCCCAAGAGAAAGTTTTCTAATGCCACTTTGCAGTCCATCCTGTCTCCCTCCCTGACCTCTTTATAGTAAACCCTATTTTGTTGTTAATGCTATTGCTTAGCTTTGTCTGTTTGGAACTTCATTTGAATGGAATCATGTATTATATACCCTTTTTATCTGTTTTTTTCTCTCAATATAATGTATGAGAGATTCATGCCCATTGTTGTGTTTAACATATGTCAAAAAAGTTATTATTGTTGTGAAGTATCTCCTTGTATGAATATATCACACTTTATCCTCTTTGAGCATTTCCTAGTTATTGGCTTTTATGAGTAAAATTGTTTTGAATATTCTTCTACATAACTTTAGGTAGATAAATGCATTTATTTTGGGTATATACAAAGAAGTGCAGCTTTAGGAGCTACTACTATTGTCAAAACATTTTCTAAGGTGGTTGTACCAATTTAAACTCCTACCATCAATGTGGGCATTGGGGCAGTCTTGTGAACACTTGTTACCGTCAATCTTTTTAATTTTGGCCATTCTGATGGGTGGGTAGCTCCTTGTGACTTTAATTTGCATTTCCTTGATAAGCAATGAGATTGAGGGACTTTTCCTATACCACTGGTCGTTTGGATATCTTCTTTTGAGAAGTGCCTGCTTGAGTCTTTTGCCCATTTAAAATAATGTAAGTCATTAGTATTTCACATTTAAGACTATGATTCATCTTGAAATTATTTTTGTGTATGGCATGAGGAAGGGGTTATTTCTGCACTGTCTATTCTATTTCATTGGTCTATCTTTGAGCCTTGTTTATCCTTGTTTATTTGAATCAACGTGAAAACATTCTTAATTATTGTAGCTTTGTAAGAATCTTTGATTTTGATAGTATAAGTCTTCCAACTTTGTCCTTTTGAAGATTCTTTAGTTTATTCTGGGTCTTTTGCATTTCTATTTAAATTTTAGAATTGGCTTGTTAATTTCTACAATAATCTGCTGACATGTTGATTGTGTTTCAATTGAGTCTAAGATCCATTTGGAGGGTATACCAGTTAGAGTTCCACCAGAGAGATGGAACCAATAGGGTATAATATATTAAGAGATTTATTTCAGGGAATTGGCTTACATGATGACAGGGGCTTGCTGAGCAAGTCCAAAATCTGTAGGGCAGGTCTTAATGAAGGGCAGGCTGGAATTTTCAGGCATGAGCTAAAGCTGCAGTTCATGAAATTTGCTCTTCAGGGAAACTTCTGTTCTGCTCTTAAGGACTTTGAACTGATTAGATCAAGTCCACCTGGATTCTCTGGGATAATCTTTCTTACTTAAACTAAATCAGCTCCATGTACTGGACACTGATTCAGAACTTATACAGCCTACTGAGGAAGCCTGCCCCAGCTCTGCAAGGTATTGCAATCTAGCTGATGCTGTAACCGAGTCTTCAAAAGGGCATTTGGTCATTCTATTGAACTAGCTGCTTCAGTATGATGGGGAAAACAGTAAGCCCAGTGAATCCCATGAGCATGGGCCCATTGCATACTTCTTTTGCTATAAAGTGAGTTCCTTGATCAGGAGCAATGCTATGTCAAATACCATGATGGTGGCTAAGGCATTCTGTAAGCCCAAGGATGATAGTTTTGGCAGAAGCATTGCATGCAGGTAAATATCTATCCAGAGTAAGTGTCTATTCCAATAAGAACAGAGAATTCCCCTTCCATGATGGAAACAGTCCAATGTAACCAGCTACCTGCCACCAGGTAGTTAGCCAATCACCTGGGGAATGGTGCCGTACGAGAGACCATGCGTTGGTCTCTCCTCTTGGCGGATAGGGCATTCAGCAATGGCTGTAGCCAAGTGGTCTTGGTTACTGGAAGTCCATGTTGCTGAGTTCATGCATAACCCCCATCTCTGGCACCGTGGCCACTTTGTGAACAAACCCATTGGCTAATGACAGAGGTGCCTTGGGAAAGAAGTTGACTGGGATGCACAGAATGGGTCATTCTATCCACTTGATATATTTTTTTAAGATTTTATTTTTCTCCTCAAAGCCCCCCAGTACATAGTTGTATATTCTTAGTTGTGGGTCCTTCTAGTTTTGGCATGTGGGATGCTGCCTCAGCATGGTTTGATGAGTAGTGCCATGTCCGTGCCCAGGATTCGAACCAATGAAACACTGGGCTGCCTGCAGTGGAGCGCGTGAACTTAGCCACTTGGCCACGGGGCCAGCCCCTATCCACTTGATGTTTAAAATCCTCCTTTGCTGAGGTCACCCATTGGTGAGCACTCACGTGGGACACAAATATCTTAATATTTTTTGCCCAGTCAGAAAGGCCTATCTACATGCCTCTTCCATAGACCTCAAATTTCCCAATCAATCACATTCCTTCCAAATCCCTGACCATCCAGCCAAACCATCAGTCATAGCCCATGAGCCAGTATGGGTTTATACTTCTGGCCATTTCTCTTTCCAAGCAAAAGTAAAAAATATCTTCACTGCTCAAATTTTTGCCCCCAGGAGGGTTTCCCTTCACTACTATCCTTCAGGAATGTCTCAGAAAGGAACTGTAGTGCTACAGCTGTTCACTTTCAGGTGGTGCCTATACATTGTGCAGAACCAACTGTAAGCTAAGCCTGATTTTTCTGTTCCTCAGTCAACTGGATGTAGGGAACTAACTTGAGGCTATAGATCAGTCTGGGAGAGAGAAGGTGATGTAATAGGAGTAGGGTCATAGGCATTTCACCTACTCCCTTGTGTATCTTACTTGTAGCTTCAGTTCAGAACCAGTGTCAAGTAATTCCCTGAAAAGTCTGATTATTTCTCTTTCTCTTTGCACAGTTACCTTGGTAAATGGCTGTAGGTTCTTTTGGGGAAGACTATGAGAGAGTAACACTATAAGTGTTGGCAGTGTAGCAGGGCTCTTCCTCAAGAGGATTCAGCCTCCTCTTCAATCAAGGGTGTCTGGGTCTGTAAAGTGGCTCAGGTCTGGGAACTGATTGAGGAGTGATGGCTCTCTGTTTTGCTGACTCAAATTAGACTTCTGTTCACTCAGCCTAGAACTCTTCCACTCATGCAGATCAACTTAGAGGTTAGGAGACTGCCCATCTATTTCTTTTTGAGGAACACACCATGACTAACGAGCCAATGCCATAGGTCTCTGTGAATCAGATTATTCTGCTTTGACTCCACTGTCCATTATGGTACCCATGACTAGCTTGTCTTTGGTGACTGAGTGCTGCCAGTTGACCCTTGCTACCCTTGGATCCAATTATCCCCATTACATTTAGGGAGCCCAGTTTGATGATAAGCAGTTTCCATTGCAACTTCTGGCCTATGAGAAGAGTAACCACAGCTATTCAAAGATGCTGAGACTCCTCTCACAATTTTATTTCTCACAGTTGTGGTAAAAGTGTGTCCTCTGCACTATCATGGGAGGGTGAGCAGATATTATGTAATAAATATGTTCTAACATTCCAATCTCCCTAAGCCTTTGGATGCCTAGAGTCAGTCACATGTTCACTTGGAGTTTCAGAAACAGAAGATAGAAACAACATTAGGTAAGCAATATTCAAAAGATAGTGACTGAAAACTATCCTGAGTTGATGAAAGACATGAATACTTGGATTCTGGATGCACAGCAAATCTCACATAGGATACATACCCCTACCCTCAAGACTACTAGACACATCATAGTGCAACTGCACATACCAAAAATAAAGTCCTCCAAAGAATAAGAGAGAAAACAGTTACTAGAGAGGAACAAAAATTAGACTGTTAGCAGACTTCTAAAAAACAACAACAGAAGCAAGAATATAATGAAGCAGTGTCTTTTAAGCAATGAGACAAAATTCCAATCAGTCATTGAAGGATATTGTACCCAGAAAAAGTATAATTTAAGAAGAGAAGATAACTCAGATATTTTCGGATACACAATAACTGAATTAACTAGCATTACACACTCATTAAAGATATGTGTATAGAATATAATTCAGGAAGAAGGAAATTGTCCCAAAGGAATGTCAGAGATGCAAGAGAAATGCAAATGCAAATTTTGTATGCATCAATAGAAGAATATTGTCCCGAATTTAGTGATAGGGAAGGAGAAATACTATAATAATTTTTATTCATCAATAATTAGGAAGAAAATTGGATAAAATAATCTGTTAGTCTATCACCATATTCAGCACATAAGCCATAAATAGGAACTATGAAAATAAAAATTCAAGGAGACTGTGAAGAGTATTCTGTGATTAATTTTTTCCTATTTCTTTTGTCATTTTATTTTCATGGAGGCCTATGTGTAGGTGAACTCTGTGTGACTATTTTTTCAAGTGCTGCTATTTCTTTACTGTGACATAGGAATAAGCATTTAGAAATGGAAAACATATATGTCTGTCTGTCTATCAATTAATCTATCTGCAACCATCAATATACCTAGCTATCTATATGACTATGTACTCTTTCTTTATATTGTGTCTTGCTCCAAAATGTTTGGTGTGAGGACTATCTCACTGAGAAGAGCTAACTTGGTAACATTAATAAAATTCACGCAAAATATTATGTTTGCGCAATTTTGAAAGTAACGTTCAAAATTCTTATAGGATAGTTGTGTATTTCCTCCCAATTTAATTTTATGTTTGTTTTTAGATGTCTCCCTGGGAAAGATACCTAAAGTGGGTTTTATCCCAATGACATCTGCTATAATTGATAAATTTGTCGGAGATGTGATGAAGGATTTGCCTATTCTAAAGAGGTATAGAGTTAACAAAGTGCCTAATTTAGTTCTATAAACTCTAAAATACTTGTGGAATGAATGTCTCATCAGAATGTCTATGTATCATATGATGTCTGGATATAATAAATTAGATATAATAATGTGACTATAATATATGTTGGAGTGCATATAATATCTAACGTATCAATGTAATTTGAACATTACTATAAAAATCTATATAGTTTTGAACTTATAATAAAATTACTCCAGCTCTATAAGCTTTAATAAATAGTTGTTGATATTGATGGGACTGTTAGAGGAATGGTAGAAATTTGGGGTTCTTGTGTGTCTTAAAAACTACTGAGATTTCATAACCTACATCATAGCATAGAAATAGAAAAAGGAGTTATAAGATTTCTATATTGTTATAGGCTGATATTTATGTTCTATATTGTTATAGGATGAATATGTTAAGTTGTATTAGAGGGACCTAAACTTTTATATACATATAATATATAATTATATATATTTTATATATATATTTTTACAGTGATGCTCCAGCTGTTACTTCACTGCTTAAACAAAAGGAACGTGATGAACTTTTGCACTGGCATGCTCACAGACCCCTTAGTAATGACTACGACAAGACCAGGTGTCTTTTTTATGGTGAGTTCTGTGACCACAATAAAATAGAACTTATATGAATTGCCTTTTCTTCTCTTCATTGAACAGTGAAAAAGTATTATATTACAAACAAAAATTATATTTTAAATGAAATTAGTATATCTAGAATTGGAGAAGCACTTCAGGAAGTATATTATCTGAAAGCATCCCATTATATTGCCTAGTGGGCATGTGTAGGTATGCATGCGGATGTATCTATTATTTCAAATGGAGATTTATTCATCTTATAAGGAAGTACGTATACGTGGTATTGTTGCTAAAAATATCAGATGCTGTTATAAATGGGAAGGATAATTTATACTTGTAGGAATCTATCACTAGAAGTAAATATGCTGATACAACCCTAGTCTTCCTAGAAATTTCAGCTCTCTTCATACTACACAATTGTCTAGTTGGTTGTATGCTGATAAATACCAACATAACTGCCCACAGAAATTCAATAATGAGGAGGGGCTGAAACTGCAATAAAGAGGAGTCATGAAACCATAAAAAGAGGTCCTTAAAAAATGAATTAGGGGATCTTTTCTTCCTGGTTCATTCTGATCTTTAGTGTGTTTTTCTCCAACCCCATGTTTGTTTCCACCTTTCTCAGGACTAATAAAACTTCTTTTAGAAGAGTATAGAAACATGTAAAGTAAACGTGCCAATTGTCTAAATATATGAACCTACTTATATAACTGGCTACCAAGATTCTGCATGATGTATCTCTGGAATGGTTTGATTTGCGTCACGTATAGATATAGATACAAGAAAACAACAACAACAACAAGTGAACATAACTTCAGCTCATTTATATCTTTTATGTTTTTAAAGAGTGTTTCTTAGGTCTAGGATGAATCTAACCTCCCTTGCTGGAATTTTCTGTGTCATTTGAATTTCTGCATGGTGAAAGATAATTGGTAGTAATTTCTCTCAGTTATAAGCTCTTGAACCTTTGGTCATGGCTGGAGTAGTGGTTTTCCTTTTCAGGAATGCAAATAGTCAGAATATTCTATATCAGAGGTCAACAAACTTTTGCTTAAAGAGCCAGATAGGTAATATTTTGGGTGTTGCAAGTTGAGAGACAAAATTGAGGCCATGATGTAGGTACTTATATAACCATTTAAAATATAACAATTAAAAAATGTAAAAAATGTGCTTAGCTTGAAAAAAAAAAGAAAAGCAACCAGACAAATCCCAAATTCCCAAACAGGTGCTGGTCGGATTTGACTTTGCACGTCTTAGTGTGTTGATCTCTGTTCTAGATGAATACATTATTTGACTCTGTCTCTACCTGCCTCTTCCCCTCTTCTTCTGCCAAATGACAGAGGTGATGTCCAAGTGCTCTTGGAGTGGGACCTTAGCAGAGCTTTTTATCTTCTCTCTTCTTCAAATAAGATAAGGAATTATTTTGTTAGCATGTTATAATCTGACCTCATTAGCAAAGGTTATCGTACTAAATTACTGTTTGGAGTTAAAATGAAAAAAAAAGAATGTGTGGGTGAGATGGTGTAGGGAAGTAATGAGGACATTATATCAGTATTTAGTAATGTTTTAAAATACATTTTACATTTTAAGTCTTTCTATTTCAGAAAATTCTAGAGACCTACCTGTTTTTAATGTGAAAAAGAATCAGAGTTATCCGCAGTTTTATGGGAAATCATTAGAATCAGTCTCTTCAAAAGTCATTGTAACTCAAACTATCCAGCCAAAAGAGGACTCCTGGGGAGCCAAGAGTGAAATATCACAGGTAGATTCTATGTATTTTACCTAATTTTTGTTTTTACAGTGGTTTGCTTTTCTTAAATTGATGTTTCTTCATCTCTTTGGAGGTTTTCTCTATGTTTTTTTCCCTTATGTTTGCTTACAAATTAATTATTATTTTACTTAGTTGCCATTAGAAATTCTAGGAAAATTACACAAAATTTAGTATTTTATCCTCCATCTGATAATGAAAGATAGATTTATCTGATAATGAACCTAAGGCATGAAAGGATTAAGAGCTTGGATTTAGAAATGTTGAATTTAAGTTAAAAGAAACATTTGTTTATTATAATGAAAATCTTTTTTCGTACAGTTGGTAAATTAGGTCTAACATACTCATCAGCTTTGTTGTTTTGCCTGAATTTTGAAAACTGCCTAAATGTTTATAAATTATTTTAAGATCAGTCTTCTTCCTGTCTGGGTGGGCTTCCTCTGTTCCTATTTACTTCCTCTTTGAGGCAGTGTTCTTTCTGCCCTTCCCCTGGGCTTTACTTGTGGACATATATAAAATCCCTGTAATTTGAAAAAAAAAGTTTGAAAAAGATAATGTGGAAAAGGATCAGGTAATATAACTATGTTCATAACTGAAAAAGTGGTTAATTTTATGACTTTGCTTGTGAAGATACTACTTTGTGATCATTCTTTAATGGGATTTCATTAGACTTCAGTACAGCTCTCTTGGCCTCATGGCTGGGATTTAAGCAGAGGCATTGGTTTCAGTAAAACTCTTTCCCTGAGGGCAGCAGTGCTAAATATTTGAGAGAGCAGGAACCAAAGTAATGACCAAAGGCATTCATCACAGCTGCCTTACCTAATTGGAGTAGGTGTGGAAACGTTTTGGAAAATGCAACATAAAGGCCTCAGAGGAAAAACTCCAAATATGAAAACATTTCCCCTTCCCACTAATTTCAGGAAATTCTTAATGGAATTTCTTTTCCTTGCCAGACCCACAACTAACGAATTAGGCTGAAAATGACAGGACTCCAAGGGAATGCATGTCAGTCAAAGAGAGTTTCTGCACAAAGCTTTTCAAGATGACATTGAAAAGTCATCCCTAAGTACACTCCAGGTTTCTTAGCACTGCTATCAGGTCTGTCTCCTAGAACCGTTTCAAAGGTCCATCCAGCCACCTTCCTAGCACACCTGCTTTTGGTTGTAGAGGCTCCACCTCAGCCTGCAGACCTCACCTGCTTGCAGCTGAGAGTGGTCAGTTGGGCACTCCAGGGTGGAGGTCTGGGCTTTACTTTTTTCCCTTTTTTTAGCAGGGGAAGAGTGGCTGTAAGCTAACATCTGTTGCCAATCTTCCTCCTTTTTTTTTTCTTCTTTTGCCCTCCCAAAGCCCAGGACATAGTTGTATACAGTTCTAAGTTCTTCTGGTTCTTCTCTGTGAGCCCCTGCTGCACCATGGCTACTGACGGATCAGCGGTGTGGTTCTGTGCCTGGGAACTGAAACTGGGCCACTGAAGCAGAGCACGTGGAATTTTAACTGCTGGGCCATCAGGGCTGGCTCAGTCCACGCTTTACTTTAAGCACAAGTGAAGAAGGGAAAAGAGCATCCAGAAGTCACCCCAGTCTGCCGCCATCTGCAGGGGCATTGCCCAGCCAAGCCCTGCCGCAAGGCTGGCCCCTGACACGTGGCCTGAGGGCCTGGGCCATGGCTCCAGTCCCTCCCAGGAGAGATTGGAGGGAATTGCCCTGGTCACAGTGCAATTCAGGCAAAATGGGAATTAAGTGTTAGATCCACCTTTTGGGGAAGTGGGATAAATTAACACCCTACCAAGAGTGTGTGACTCTTCCATTTCCCATTGGGATTTCTGTTTTTTAAATAGGCAATTTTATCCTCCCTCTTTGCCTAATGTCTGCTTAGATCACTTTGAGACTGTTGGTGTTTTTCAAGATGAATCTGCAAAGGATGGATAGGGGGTGGGGAGGAGTGTGCTCAAAATGCTTTGTGGAAAGAAAGGATGAAAAAATTAGTGAATAAATAAATCTGGAAGAAGATTCCCTACAGTTGAGCCCAGTGGCCTTTCCTTCTCTATTTTATTACATTTAGTCTTTTATTCATAATCTACATCACTCAGAAATCTAGAAAACTTTCTGCAGAGAGAGACTATTTACTTCTATACTGAAGTTTATACTGTTATACTGAAGTTCTGCATTGCGCAAAGACTATAATTTTAAGAAAAAGGCATTGAAAATGTGCCAGTTCATGAACAGGATGATGGTCAAAATCAACAGTAAACACATGAAAATGCTTTCTCACTAATGAAATGGAATCTTGGAGTATTTCCACTTGTTTCATGTCGTGTTCTTTTTCTTATTAAGCAGGATGCTAAATCTGAAAAAGTTACTAGAAAGAAGAAAAGTTCACTTCTCAAACAAGATCAGAAAGAACAACAACAATGGAATGATCTGTTATTTTCTGTTGAAAAAGAGTTGAAAGAGAATTTAAACTCTGGAATAAGGAAACTGGAAGATTTTTTAAAATCATGTAAAAGTAACTCAGTGAAAATTCAGGTTGAAATGGTAGGGTTAAGTGCCTGCTTTAAAGCATGGAAAGAACATTGCCGGGATGAAGGTATATGATTCTATATTATATGGATAGAGAGTAGTGATAAAAACATTAATGATGCTAGTATAGTTATTGAATGCGTGGTTATGCTAAAATCTTTACATACATTATCTGATTTTATTCAGCCATACCCTCTAAGATAGTTATTATTATCCCTATTTGGCAAATGAGGAAGTGGAATTGCAGAGAGGTTCAGAGACAGGGTCTCAACAAAAGAAATTGAAGAGAGTGGGTAAAGAAAGGACTCTTTCCGAATGTGTGGACATAATTAAGGGCACCGACCACCAAGGCAGGAGGAGGCCCAGCAGTGGAAACAGGGCCCGTCAAAGAAGAGAAGCCATCACCTCCTGGGAGATCTGAAGTTGCTGTTGGGAGGTGATTCTCCATGGGTCTCTCATGTTTCTGCATGCCTTGCAAGCAGAAGCGCTGACAGCTTTTTTTCCAGACTATGTTTTCAAGGATGTTTGTGTAGTCAACAGCATTGCAGGATAGAGACTGTATCTCCTTCTAGAGTAAAGGCCAGGTTTGTTTACTTGCTAGTGTAATAAAGTTAATGTCTCCCTCCAGGTCAAAGGGACAGGTTTGCTTGAAGTCCATTAGAAAAGATTTGGGTTTTCTAAGTTCAGAATTCCTTAGCTGTGACACAAATCCAGTGTGTGCGCAGCTTCCACTTGGGCTCCCTATCTCCCTGGTGAAACATAAGGGACCAGGAGAACTGACACACACAGGACGTTTATGCTGCTAGCTGTACCATGCATAATAAAGTCCTTTGTCTCTGACCCAGGAGTCTTATGTCTTTTGCCAGCATCCATGAAGCTATGGCAGAGTAAATGATTAGCTTGCTAATAGTGTCAGATTGCAGCCCTTTCATAGTTCTTGACAGAACAAGAGAAGAGAGTGTTTTTCAGAAATCCTCCAGAGCTGTAGCTATAGGACAGTAGATGCCCAATAGCAGCTGCAGCCTGAGGTAGTGGAACACGACCATCTCCAAACTATGACCTAGCAGAGAGGGAACTGGATAGAAATGGGTCCTGGCTGCTTAGTATTCTAAGGGTTCCCTGAAGTTTCTGTGGCTCTCCGTGCTCTGCTTTATCAATGTCTCCAACAGGTAGTAGAGAGTCATTTTTGCAAATCATCATTTGCAAATATTGTCTGCACACTATTTTCAGGTATTATTTCCTCATGTGATTCATATAGTCTGTGCTTTCATTCTTTATTTTCCTAAAGTTTGAAATGTGGAAGAGATAGCTATGGGAAAAATCAGAGAAAAATGGGACTGAGTACAGATGTAATTTTGATGATAGATGAAATTACCACATCTACATCTCTAAACTGACAATTCTTCTTCAAGTAGTTCTAGTTAATTACCTGTCTCGAGTGTCTCCTACTCGGATTCCTTTTATGCACGGCCACATGACTCCTCTTTGTATTCATGCTCTATCTCATTATTCTCTTACCCAAGAAAGACAGTCCCTCAGTGAGCCCACAGGTACCATGCTCATTTCCATCTCTAAGCCTTACCTTATGTAATTTTGCTTATCCATGATACTACATCAGTTAGGAATTGCCATTGGCTGCTATTAACAGAGAGTTAACAATGGCTTTAAAAAGATAGAAATCGATTTTTCTCTCATGTAAAAGAAGTCCAGATATAGGCAGTTCAGTGCTGCTGTGGCAACTCTACACTGTCACGAGGGACTTAGGCTCCTCTGTCATCATACCACATCATCGCTGGTGTGTGGCTTGCCTTCCTAAGGTTATGAGGTTGGCTGCTGAAACTCCAGCCATTATGGTTGTATCCAGAATAAAGTCAGAAGAAGAAAAAAGGCAAACATGTACCATCCCAGTTGTGTTTCCCCCATATAAGGAGCCCTCCAAGAAATTCCACCAACTTCTGCTTACATCTCAATGGCTAAACTTAGTCACAAAGCCATACCTACTTACAGGGAGATTAGAAAATACGGGCTTTTAACTGCGCACATTGCCATCTCCGTTAATATAAATATTGATAAGGAAAAATGGCGTAATGGATGTTGAGGAGGCAATTATCATCTCTCCTACAGATATCCTCCTCCCTGTCTCCATCTGCCTAAATTCTCTCTGTCCTCTAAGGCCAGTTTATGGCCCATCTTTTCATGAAGGCTTCCCAACTACTCCAGCTCACGTGACACCTACTGCCTCTGTCACTCCTGCTGGACCCTGAATTATAAATCAGGTTTCATACTCATCTATGTCAAGAGCAATCTCTTGTTCCTCCAACCAGACTGAAAGTTCGTGGATGTAAGAACTCTGTCTTAAATTTCTTCTGAACCTCCTTAAAGCATAGATCTGTGGTTTGCAGAAGCAGGCGTTCAGTAGTACATGTTGAAGAGAGAGGGCATTACAACAGCCCTGACCTTGTGTTAAATAGTAGTGGAATAGAAATAAAGAGGCTATATGTGAACATATATAGAGTCTGTATAGAATTATTGGGGTGTAGTGAGGTTCTATTTTAGCTCTTCATGATTGGAAGTTTCCACTGATTGTTTCATAAACACAAATATAATATGTGGTTGAGAGAAGACCTCAGTAAATGTTGCTGATGTTTTGATCAGGTATCTAATGTCGCAGAGTTTTTTCTATGCACATAGAAGACACATGAAAATAGCGTGCAGGTTATTTCTTTATTTTCCTGTGAAAATTCGTTCAGAACTGAGTTCAAATGGTTCTTATCTCTGCTATGAATTACAAAGTTTGTGTCTTTTTTGTTTTATTTTTTCCCTACACTTAAACAGCTATTTTGAAGCTATTAGATGATATGGAAGTGTGGATAGATGGAGTATTAATTTTATTTAATCGTGAGTTTAGTTTTTTTAATTCCTTAAAACTTCCACTAAAGTCAAGTAAAATAGTGAGTTTAATCAGATTGTGTTAATTGGTTGACTAGATAATTGTCATGAGTGATCAAGCAATTGTTATTTCTGATGCTTTTTTTAACGGTTTTACTGTTTCTTCAACAAGGCAGAATTTCAAAAGATTTAAGTATAGCTGTTCAAATGATGAAAAGAATCCATTCGCTTCTGGAGAGATACCCAGAAATTTTGGAAGAGGATCATAAATTTATAGCCAAATGCCTTAAATATTTAGGTTTTAATAATTTGGCAAACTCTTTAGATCCAACCCTGGTAAGATAACTAGAATTTCTCCTTACCTTAACTTTTAACCAATTTTAATATAGTAGATTAATTAATTGATGTCATAAAGGATCTCATATATACAGTTAACTGAACATATTTCCTCTGCTTCTAGTTTATTAAATAATAGATTTGAGACTATTTATTACTAAACTAGCTGCCAAAATTTGAAGTAAATTAGAATATGAAAATTTGTACAGATGCTTTCTGGAAGCAGGGATTAGATACCAGATGATCTCTGGATGGCACTTTGAACCCTCTTGGTAACAAAAATGGATCCTGTACTTAATTCTAGCACCATATCTAAAGCCTGTAGGGAGAATGAAGGCTAGGCTTTAACAGGCTTCCAGCTTTCAATTCTAGGATGAACTTTTTTTTAACAGTAATATCTGCTGTTTTATTTATCCCAAAAATGATATTTTAGATGATAAAACTTTTCTTCCTTAAATATGAGACTATTTAAAAGCATGGTAAAAATGCCTTGTGCATGGAACATTTAATAAATAAACATTTAATATTTATTAAAGGTTATTTATATAAACTTAATAAATTGTATAGTAAATTTAATTTATATGAATTTAATATTTTTTTAAGATATCAATAAGTATTTCTTAAATGTTTATTTAATTTTAAGATGATTTCAAATAAAATAATGTATTGAAATAATAACAGGTAACAGGAGATGATGAGAAAAGGAAGAAAAAGAATAAATATGCAATTGACATTGGACCTGCTAGGTTTCAACTACAATACATGGGCCATTATTTGATACGAGATGAGAGAAATGATCCAGATCCCAGGGTCCAAGATTTCATTCCTGACACATGGCAGGTAATGACAGGAAACATTGTATTTTCTTAATCAGTGTGATTTCAGAGCTTCTCTTTACTTTGTCTCTACATGCTATATTTTACTTAAAGTTTTAAATTTTGTGTAATATAATTTGAAACTGTTTCATCCAAAAGGTGAACTGTCGACTTTTTTCCACTTAAGGATTGTGACCCTTCATCTAATATATAAACTGTTTTCATGTGGATACTTTGATTGAGTCACATAGACATCTTTGTCACATTAGCTTAGAGGAATTTCCAAATATTGCCTATGGCAACAGAAAAACTTGTATATAGATATAAATATGTACAGGAAAATTTCGGTGGTCTAATCTGGGAGTTTATATGTAGGTATCCAACAACACCATCTGTGACTGGATAAGAAAGATAATCTGATTGTGCATCATATGCTCCTTGTGTGCTAGTAATACAACCTGTCACCATCCAATTTGGGCATTTTCTGAAAGTTAACTTTTTCTATAGTGATCAGTCAATTTTGCCTTGGATTCATGTAGGAGGGTTGTAGGCAAATGGGCTGAAAACGTTTTAAGTGAACAGGAAATTGTGCAGAATCCTTAGTCAGTAATCCCACATTTTAGCTCTTCTTAGACAAATTTATTTAAAATTGAAAAAGGTTGGTTAACACATGAGAATAAAATATATCCATGTAGGAAGTCAGAACCTGATTTTCTTTTTTTCTAGAGCATGGGGAGCAGTTCCGCCCTTCAATATGGGTCATAAGACAGCAACATATTCTTTATTAGGCCTACACAAATTGTAGTTCTTCTGCTCAGTTCACGCTAGTGTGTCTCTGAGAGGGAACCGTGAATAAAGAGAGTAGACAGGCAGGTGTGTTTTCCCGTCTTCTGCTTATCATACTGCGAGCAAACAGTATTAAGACTCTTTGACTAGTCATGTTTTGACGTAATACAAGCAGATGCCCAAGCCTTGAGTACCCGTGAAGCTCTTGCACACCTTCAAAGGTAGTAGATGGTTTTCTCCTGTGTCTGGAGAATGTGGCTCGAGTTCCATGAATCATTGACTTTTTCTCCTTCTTGGCCTTTATTTACATCATCAGGAAAAGATATATTGATATCTCTCTGTGGATGAAGCTAGATTAACCATGGCATGACTAATTTCTTGGAATTTAATTTTGCAAAGCCTTTTCTGAACTTAACTAAACGAGAAGTAATTGGAAAAAATGTTTTCCAACTGAAAAGGATGCTTCGCTCAGTCTCACTTTCGATTTTTCAGAAAGAAAACTCTCCCTCCAGGTCAAAATGTAAAATAAAATTTCTTTTCTGAGGCAAGGATGTGAGTAATCCAGGCATTCTCATGAATCATCCTTCTGAGTGTTTACCAGACCTCATCTTCAGAGGTTCAGAGTTCTGGGTGCAGCATAATACAGGCACAGGACCTAGAGAGGGTACAAGTGATATTGTCTTTGTGTTGGTAATATGCTGTTTGCTTTCTTGACAAAAAATGGTGCTCTTGACCCTGCAGCGAGAGGTCCTTGATGTTGTGGATAATAATGAGTCAGCAGTGATTGTTGCCCCAACATCCTCAGGCAAAACCTATGCTTCCTACTACTGCATGGAGAAGGTGCTGAAGGAGAGTGATGAAGGGGTGGTGGTGTATGTTGCACCAACAAAGGTAACGCTCAAGCAACTTTAATTTTCTCTTTCGTTTCTGAATCTCTCCTTTAAAATAATGCTCATGGTCATGTGGTAGATCTCGGCCCCTTTACTTTTTAACTTGCGATTTCTCCTTCCAGTTTCAAAGGCTGCAACAACACTTTCCTTAGAATTAGAGGGAAGAAAAAGTCTGGCCTCCAGATTTTGATGGCTGCTCTCAAATTAGGCTTTATACTTGGCTTCAGAGAAGCATCTGCCTTTACTGACACACACCTTCTCTTGAAGCCTTGATTATGCAGGAAGTTTTTTCTGGTGTATGAGGATCTTTTCCTGGATTTTCTTTTGGGGGAAGCTATGTTTATCTTCCTTTTACCCTCTGTTAAGTGTTCTCATTTAAACCTTATTTCCTTAGCCGAGTAACTCAAATACAGTCATCTAGTACTGAGGGATAGGAATAGGGTTAAGCTTTCTAGGCGCGTAAAATAATATACTTGTGGACAAATTCTGTTTGTCCTCTGAGGTTTTACATGTCTGTTCTCTACTGAATGACTAACAGGTCTCTTTCCTTGTCAATCAGGTCCTTGTCGGTCAAGTGGCAGCAACCGTTCAGAATCGTTTTATCAAAAAGTTACCGCCTGGCAGTGCTCTATGTGGCACTTTCACGAGAGATTACCATTATAATACACTCAACTGTCAGGTATGGCATATTCGTGAATGAATTCGTTATTAAATTACAGAACAGTACTTAGATTTCTCTTTTACTGAGAATCTACATAGTCACAAACCCTTGTGGAAATAATTTCGTTGAATTTGCAAGAAATGCAATTGCCATATGAAAAATCTGAGCTTGTTCCACTCTAAAGAGTGGGAACTAGGATCATCACTCTCTAAGGACACTTACATTATGACCTAAAATATCAAGAAATAGATTATTATATCTCATTTTAATTTATAAAGGGATTTAAGTCGATTTAACAAAACTACTACCTTATTAAATAACTACCCAAGCTCTTTTTTTCCATTCAAAATTACTTGTTCTTATAAATAATAAAAATTTAACCCTATTCATAATAAAAATTTATCTCAAAAATATTGTGTTTTGACAGTGTAGCTGTTGTTAGGTAAATTATAGATAAAGATAGGTTTTCTCCCTTACTGAGCTCACAGGTAAACAATTAAGACTAGACAAAATATGAAGGAACTATTAGGTTTTTTTTCCCCCATTTTCATTAATCCAAATGCTCATAAATCTAAGTACTTAAACTACAAATATCAAAGCCACACCATGACCTTAAAACTGCCCTCACCAGCAATGTTCTGTCCTAATTCCCAGTAAGTACCTGCAGCGACTTTTTAGATTCGTATTACCATGCCTGACACAAAAGAAATGCTCAGTAAAGTTAGCTACACTAATCGTTTATATTTTTAGGTACTTATCACCGAGCCTGCATGCTTTGAAGTTCTGCTGCTTGATCCTCATTGCCAAAAATGGGTGAAAAGGCTCAGATATGTTATATTTGATGAGGTAGGTTCTGGGCTATTTCTCTGGGTTGATATCCTAGTGTGTATATGCTCTATAATTTCAGATTTGAAAATGTAGGGCACTATGATGGTAATTATCTAAGTTGTTGTTTCAGCCAGGGTACCAACAGAAAACGGATTGCATATTCAAATTAGCATAATTCTTAGTGAGGTGTCTTTACAGAGGGGCTGTTTACAAAGGTTTGTGCAAGGAAAACCACAAGGTGAGTGCTGTCATCCAGAAATAATACAACCCCAAGCTGTTAACTATGTGAAAGAGGAGGGGTGGAGGAGGAAGCAGTATGGAACACAAAAGGAGAGAAAGTCTGTAGAGATAGCCTCTTTGGGAGGAGCAGTGACCTTGGTGGAGGAACATAGCCAGTCAAGGTTGACCTCTTAGGAAAGGAGCTAACAGAATAAAGACCTTGACCTGATTGTTTTCCTTCCTTCCCATGTCTTGCCTGAACTTTCCAGTGGCCAAACCCAACAGAAGCTAGAGAGCTAGGAAGGTCGGTTGAGCTGGTTTCCGAGGTCAGATTCCTTGGGCAGAGAGCAAAATGGAAAATGATTTAGATCTGGAGGGACATAGCAATATTATTATCAACATGATTTGAAGGTGATGAAATAGAATGCAAACTTTATATATCTTTGCTTCAAGGAATTTTCAGCTTTAAAGAGAACAAGGTGACAAACCTATAGTGAATCTACCTTTTCCTTGTGTGAAGTTGGGAGCAGGCTATCAGGCTGTTGTTCTGCTTTGTTTGGTCCTGAAGTATTCTATTTCTTTTTTATTCACTGGGTTGTATTCTGTCTTGCTGACCTTAAACATTCCTGTTCTAAGGGGAAACCAAACTAAACCAAACCCTTGATCTTCACAATGTGGAATCTTGGACTGTGGTCTCATCTCCAAATGCATAAGTGTAATGATGTTGAAACTTGGGTAACTCAGTTTTCCTGATTTATGCATATGTAAAACATGCCTACAGGAAGGCTTTACAAGTTACTGCGTATTTTAGAAAGTTCAGAGAAATTGTTAGCTGATAAAAATATAAAGTCAGCATTTGGTAAAGTGGTTTGCTATCTGACCAAATCAAAGTCAGAAGGGATAAAGAAATATACTGGTTTATTTATGTATTTATTGTTAGGCTCTGATAGTAAGTCTTTCCAGTTGAATCCCAAGGAAGGGTCACAATTTATTTTATTTAATTAAAATCAAATTTTGGGCCTCCTCTCTAAGTCTTAATTTGTATCATTTAGACAAAGGTAATTGATTCATTCGTTCAACAAATATTAATTAAGTGCTTACTATGTATTAGGCACCGTGCATTTTCCCTGGTATACCGGTAATGGCCTTATGGTGTAGTGAGGGAGAGAGTAATTAAACAAGGAAACATACCAAGGAAAATGTAAGTCAACATTATGATAAGAACTCTGAAGAAAAAATCAGTCTGCTGTGACCATGATAATGGCAAAATGAGAAGTAAGGACAGCTTTGGATGGGTGCTCAGGAAGGTATTTCTGAGGGAGTGACCATCAGCTTCCCTTTGCAGGGTAAGTAGGAATAATCAGCTAAGAGAGGTGGATGAGGGTTTAAGTAGAGGGAGCCATGTGTGTGAAGGCCCTGCGGTGGGACAGGTGTGTTCAGGGAATGAAAACAAGGCCAGTATGTCCAGGGCAGAGTGAATGAGGGGTAAGAGTGGCCTGCAATGAACTTGGAAAAGTGAGCAGGGGCCAGATTGTGCAGGGTGTTACACTTCCAGTTAAGCAATTTGTATTTTGCTCTAAATGCTTTGGAAAGACATTGTAGAGCTTTAGTTAGTGACATGGCCTGATTTGACTTAGGCTAAAAATCCCATTATGGCTGTGATGTGAAGAGCGTATGGGGAAAAAGTGGAAGCTAAGAGAACAATCAGGAGGCTATTGTAGAAATCCGGGTGATGGTAGCTTGAATATCAGTATGAATGGAGAGGAAAATATGGCTTCAAACAGATTTTTAGAGTTGGAATTTTTGGCATTAACGATGGATTATTGTGGAGATTGAAGAAGAGTTAAGTGTCAGTGACCTCTATTGTCTGACTTCATCATTGTTTATTTAGGTTTGCTTAATCATGTGAAACTGGAGAAATGTGCATGACTATTTAATGCTTCTATGCTTTTTTCCATTTACCATTTTCAAATCAACTTTTCAACTGATATTTTTTTTTTTCTTTACTAGGTCCACTGTCTTGGTGGAGAAACTGGAGGAAAATTTTGGGAGCATCTTCTTGTCATGATTCGATGTCCCTTTTTGGTTCTTTCGGCTACCATAAGTAACCCTAAGCTTCTTACTGAGTAGGTATAGGTTTCATTTTGGACAGAATGGTAATTATATATTGAATGGTTGAATAATATACTATCTATATGGTCTTTAGTCTTTAAGGTTATTTCTATAACATTATAACTTTCAGATAAATTTATTACCTTATCTTTGAAACTTCAGAGAGTATAGCTTCTCTAAAAATATTTTGAAGATATGTTTCCTGGAAGGGATAGAAGGAAGACGTCTTCCCCAAAAGAACATCAAGGTCTCCCACAATCAGATATGAAACTGTGTCGAAAAATTTCCAAAAATTCTCAGATAAGTGTCATCTGAAGTGATAGCGTTGTATCCCTTTTTTGTTGTTGTTCTTATCTAAAAAGTAAAGCTAAAATGGAAATAACTTGGACACAGCCATTGACCCTGAGGTTTCCTAACATTTTTCCACCTTGTCAATGGTGATTGTAAGAACAACAAAGCCTTATTACTTGAATATCAAGTATTGTTTTGTTACCAGACTTGATTTTCCCTAGTAACAACCACCCACTGCAATGATAGCAACAATGACAACAAACACTTACATCATGCTTCCTATGTTGCAGGTATTTTAACTCATTTAATTCTTACAACAATCTTATGAGGAAGGTACTACTATTTTGCACCATTTTGTGATGAACAAACTGAGGCATAGAAAGGTTAAGGAACTTGCCCAAAGTACACAGCTATGAAGTGATGGAGCTGAGATTCAAACTCAAGCAGTTTAAATCCAAAACCCATGTGCTTAAGTATAACTTTTTAGGCATGTGGAATTTTCTTTGCTTAAAATATCTAAGTTCTTGGTAAATAGTTCCATATTCTGCTTAAATAATATGTATATTTATTCTTTAAGGTGGCTGCAATCAGTAAAACAGTACTGGAGACAGGAAGACAAGATGATGGAAGAAAAGTTTATTTCTGAAGTAAAGTCTGACCAGTGTCTCAACTTTCTCAAAGACAACTTGCATAGAGATCAATCATATGAAGTTAGACTCGGTAAGCTTGCTCTAGAAGCATAGGGATTGTTTTATTTTGCTTTAAACTTATGTATAAATACTCATCATTATATGCCCACTAATTTGGATATTCTTTCTCTTCATATTTAGTGCTCTATGGAGAGAGATACAATGATTTAGAAAAGCATATCTGTTCAGTAAAAGACAATGACATTTGTTTTGATCATTTTCACCCATGTGCAGCATTAACAACGGATCATGTACGTATAAAGCCATATTTGTCCTATTAGAGGAATACTAGTGTATATCACAACTGGAAAGTTGTTCAATTAACCTTCATAAAATTGTAGCATGTATTCTTTACAACAGAGAATCTTAACCTTAGGTCGATGGACATCAGGATGGAAAGCACTCATGCTAAGCATCCAGGGGGACTGCAAACCCCCTTACAATTTTGTGTGTGTACTGTTTTCTAGATTTCATTAGATCCTCAAATTATCTGGGACATCCAAAGTTTAATAACTACCTCTAGAGAGGAAGTAATGAATAATTCTAATCTGGGTTCTTTGGTTTGTTTATTCTTTTTCTTTATTTCCAGACATTGTCTTTCTCTACCCAGTTCTTCTTAGCACATTTTTCTGCCTTCAACTTCTCTGTGACTAACAGTTCGGCTCCAGCTGTATGGGCACCCTTGTTCATGTCAGAATCTAATCACCATCAATTGATCTAAACAGGGAAGAGACACTTCCCACTAACATGAAAATCTTGACGTGACTTTTTCCACGGTGGATCGATAAGATGAAGGCCTTAAGAGATCTCAGTTGTGGCACAGAGTTGTGAGTGTGGAAGGATTTATTAATTTCTGGTGCTTTTCTCTCTTCCTTTTACATCCTATTCCCATGATGAGGTCATTTAGGCTCAAGTTGCCTCTCGAAGCTAAAATGACATTAGCCAACAGATGGTCTTTTCATTAAGCTATGTTCAAAATTCTACTGTTCCATTAATCTTCCTAAAATAGAATTCTGATCCTCTCCTGCTCATAAGCCTTCAATGTTTCTCCATTGGAAACAAATACATTTCAAACTTCTTAGCTTGGCGTTCAAGGCCTTCTCTAATCTAGAGTCACTTGCCTCACCTGGAAGACTTCACGTTGTATGTTGTACCTGGAATGCTTTACCCCAGAGGCTAAACTCTGGCTTTCCAGATCCTATTCATCTTTCATGTCTCTGCTAATGAGGGACTTTATTCAGAAGTCTTTCTATGATCTCTCCATCTTGAAGTGATCTTCTTTTCTGATAACATATAGCATTATTTATATATTTTTAAATGACAGCAACTATGGTCAGCCTACTATTATAATTTTTTTTGGCATGCTTTTTCTTTTAAACTAGATTCTAAATTTTCTGATGAAAAATTTTGTACATTTTCACCTCTGGATTATCTTACAGATAGCTCATAGTGCCTTATATCTAAAAGCTGCTCAATAAGTATTTGTGGAATGACAATGACCAACATATGTTGAGCATTTAACTATGTGTCAGGCACTTGCTAAACATTTATATGTATTTCTCTTTTCACCTTCGCAATGTCTTTATAATAAATGCGCTATGATTATCCACAATTTACAGATGAGAAAGGAGAAGGATAGAGAAGTTAAATAGCCCAAGGACTCAGTTAGTAATTGTCCAGCTAGGAACCAAACTCAGATGGCCTGATTCCGGGGCCTAATGCTCTTAACCACAGTGTTACACTGAACAATTTATAGGTTGAATGCCTGAGTGAGTGCTGAATGGAATGGACTACACAGACTCTGAGCTGTGATGGTAAAGGTTGTATAATATCCAGCTGAAGAGATTCTGTCTTTTGGATGGTTTCAAATAGAATTTTATTAAGTAGCTTTTCCTTTGCTTTGCACTGACCCAAACCAAATGCTATAAAACTCATTCTTGCCCCTCATCATCAACTCCACGCCTAGAGAATAGATATATAATAAAGACATCATTTTTTAAAGCTTTCCAATGATTTTTCTGACATTTTCAGCATAGAATTCCCAGTCATTTTCTAATTGAATAGTATTTTGTAATTTTTTAATGGTTTATTCTGCTTGGTATGGTTCAAGACACATTGTCTTTAATCAGCTGTAAGTACAGTGGCTAGGCGTACTTGGTGAGATCATCATTTTGGGCCACGTGCCTTTTTCTACTTTCAGTAGCTATTAATAGAGTAACTGGAAAGCAATGTAACCACTACAGTGTGCTCTGACCCTGTATGACTTCTGACCCCGAATGGCTGTGCTCTTGTAGGAGTCTTCTTAAATCTTGACTCTTACATCATACCTAGGGATAGATACAGAGACCTATGCTTTTTTAAATGTTTAGACAACTGTGGTTAAGTTTCTGAGGTGTGTATTTACATAAGACGAAGTTGAAATTGCTCGATCATGAAGGGAACAGATTAAATTGAAGCAAAAAAGAAGAATGAAAGGGAACACATCCAACTTTGATCCTCTCCTCTCTTATTCTCTCACGGAAATAGTTTCAAAAAGGAAGGGATGGAGCAGGATGAGTGAGCTCTCCTTAATCCAGCTGTGATGAGAGATTGCCTTCAATCTACATGTGACTTGTTCCTGGGCAAAGAGAAGAGCTGCGTAATCTTCGCTACGAATTACTCTGCTTTAAAAGAATAGCTGCTCATTTCCCTGAGAAGCTGTCAGCACCAGGCAGTCTTAGGAAGAACTGTTTTCCAGTCTCTTTCCACTCAGTTCATAAATGCTTACCAGCACCTGTGACTTTGGACTCATTATTTATCTTATTTCATTTTTATTTTTTCAAAATAAAATATGAGCATTGTGGTATGATATAGTTATGTTTATGAATGAAGATGTAATAGAAACCAATGATCTTTTCTCTTGTGTATCATCTTTTATATCACTTAGGTCAGTTTAAGGTATACCAGCTAGTTATCTGTGCAGGAGAGAGCAACTGAGTTTAGTATACCCTTTTAGTGATAGAGTTGATGAACTGAGAGAGTATCTGTAAGCTGATAATGAATCAACTTTACAGGTAGGATACTAAAAAAGCACCAGGCATTTTAATAGTGTATTATATACATTATCTCATTTAATCTTCACAATGAAACTGTGACATGTGAATTATCCCCAAATTATCCCTATTTTAAAGATGAGGAAACTATGGCATCTGTAAAAGGATGAGAGACACTTTGGAAATTGCATCACTATTATTCCAGAAACCAAAATAGAAACATAACATCAGTAAGAACCTGATAATTCTTAGAAAACTAATTACTTAAGAAAGGGATAGTCTCATGGACAGACTGTGTAGTCACCCACAAGGTGTAATTTATGAGATACTGAAATCCTCACCTTCCAAGACAGTGTGCACATTTACTGGTCTATTTAAATGTAGTCCTTACCATCTAGCTAACTTCATGGATCCAATGTGAAAGTTGTTAAATGATGGTTCTTTATATTTATGCTGCATAGCATAGTATGAAAAGAAAATCCTAATATATTTAACTCTTTTGAATCTCACCACAATCCTGAAAGACTACAGTGCAGATGTTGTCATTCTCATATTATAGGTGAGAAAAACCAAAACCCAAGGAGCTTGTAGTTGGAGCTATGATTAGAACTCCAAGTATGCTACGCTTTCCACTGCACCAAACATCTCTTCAATTCTTTCCAAACTCTGTTATTTTTGGAGTGTCTCCTTTAGTCCAGTAGCTCCAATATTCCATGACCTGGTAATAGGTACTTTTTTTAACACTGTGGTTTCTTCTTCAGATAAGTTGGGGAAAAGTGTAATGCCATGTCTCTTTCTTGGAGCTTCACAGTGCACATTAACATAACAGAGGTCTTGAAGTAAAGCTTCTTGGTTAACTGTGTTTGATAGGGTATTTCCCATGGACTGTCTACCCTTAACATTTTTTCAAAGGTCCTGGTTTGAGAGCTGTTATTCTAGCCCTTTTGCACACAATAGATTAGGAGTAGTGGTGTTTGAAACTCCAGGAATCTATAATGCACTCTCTGAGGGCAGGATTTTTTTTCTTGTTCCTGAAGCAGTGCCTGGCCCATAAGTAACATTAAAAGCCTTTGTGAGAGGAATAAGTAGTGCACATGTTCTCAAGGCTTAAGACAGAACCAGCTCAGTAACCTGGCTAGCCGTCGGGGGAGAGATTTCTTAAGGTGTCTTAAGATTGTCTGAGAGCCTTTGTTTTCATGAAGTTCACCCAGCTTTTATATTGAATCTCTATCTAACAAAGCTTTATCCCTTTTTGCATGATCATAGAATCATCTTTATTTGTAAAAACATTTCAATTTCAGTTTCAACTGAGACCACACTGAGAGTGTTCATATTTTCCAACTGCCTAGGACCGTCAACGGTGTTCTAGAGATGTTTCATAGAGAAGTGTCAGTTTGTTGTCTAGTACAATTAGTCTTAGGAAATAATATGAAAACTTATTAGTGGACTCTGGGGTTTTTCTGCTTCAGCGGGTTAGGGATACTTCCTGGTTAAGATTTTGTTAACAGTTAGATCCTTGCAGGGGTAGAATATTTTAGTTTATTGCCCTTTAATGTCTCTGGATTCATGAATAGAGACATGACACATAGGATATGACATAAGATGAAATGAAAAGAAAGTAAGTATTCCCAATTTATTCATTCATTCATCCATCCATCCATTAATTAATTTATTTCTTCACAGATCGAAAAGTATGGCTTCCCTTCTGATCTTACGCTTTCCCCTCAAGATAGTGTCCAACTTTATGATACCATGGTTCAAGTCTGGGAAACTTGGCCCAGGGCTCAGGTAAATATATGAATATGTATGCATGGAAACTACTTTAGTTAATGCTATTGAAGAATATGGGAAAATTATTCTACTTAAGCACACTTATTCTCTAAATTAAAATTGAAGTTGACATTGGAAATAATTTATTCTTTCTTTCCAGACATTCTTCTTCTTGACTTTCTTACATTTCGTAATATAGAATATCCTATAATTCTTGAAAATATTTCTTTTTTTAGCACTTGTGATACTTTGGTTCCCTTTTTGGATTTATATTCTTCTATTTTCTTTCATTATGCTTTCTTCTGTCTGTCAGTTTTCATTGTTTCCTTGGCTTTGTTCTATATTCTTTCCTTTGAAGAGTTCATCCATCATCATAGGTTTTTGTGTTAGAAGCTATGGGGAGATGAAAAGATGTTGAACAACCCCTATCCTCAAGGAGTTTGCAATTTGGTTAAGGAGATTTGTAAATTTAAATATATAATTGTATTTTTTATGTAGATTGCATAATTTGACTTAATTTTGTGGTAATTTTTTCCCAAGGAATTGAGTCCAGAGGAATTTGTTCTTTTTAAGAATAAAATAGTCATTAAAAAATTGGATGCTAGAAAATACGAAGAAAACTTAAAGGCAGAACTAACACGTTGGATTAAAAATGGCAAAGTAAAGAAGGTAATTTTCACACTTTGGGGCAAAGATCCTCTCAATTGTTAACTGTTTGGAGTTATATAACTTAGCCAATGCCAGTTTTTCTTTCACTTTTCATTTTAGAAATTTCACTTAAACACGTTACTCAGTGAGTCTAAGGTAGAAAAAAAAGGGAGGGTAGTGGTTTCATCTCTTAGCCCAGTGCCCACTAAGACATGTGCAATAGCCTTTTGACTCCTTCAGATTGTTATGATAACTAAAAACGGAGAACCAGTTAATATAGAAATCAATATTGTTGATGTTGCTTTCACAGAAAAAGGACTGGCTCCAGAATAATAATAGTTGAGATGATTGCGAGTTAGTAGGGGAGCTACCCTAAATATGTTTTGGACAAATAAAAAGAAATTATAAATAAAGATAACCAATGTCTGAAACTCATGTAAATGACGATAGAGGAGGAAATATAAATATATTTGAAAGAGGCTCAGGCAAATTGGCAGAGGACAAACTCTTAAGTGGCTACTCTGAGAAGGAGTTATCCTTGAGCATTAAGATTGGTGGACTTTTGATTCTTGTCTACTGACTATGTGCCATGTTTATTTGCCCTTTTCACTGCAGTGATAAAAGAAATAAAGTTAAAGATGGTATTGATGTCAGGAAATACTACTACAGCAGGTATTTTAGCCTATGTTTTTGGCAAATAATATTATATTCCATTAACTGTTAACCAGGAACAAACTGGAAACCAAAGTCCTGCCCGCCTTCCACCCCTCCCAAATGATGCCTAAAAAGGAAAATAGACTGTATTAAGAAAATGTATTCATGATAGCACATTATTATTTGTTTTACCAAAGATTTTCTATTGTAGACTATGTAAAGGAATTTAGTGTTAATTTTTTGATGTAAAATCATGTTTATTTCTTTTCTTATTAAAAACATAGTAGACGCTCTTTATAGAAAATTGTAAAATTTGGAGGAGTAGAATAAAAATTACCACCTGCAATTTCGTCGCTCTGAGGTAAACAATTTGTTGCACTTCTGTCCAGTCCCTTTTGTAACTCATATCCTGAATTTTCAGTTAAGTGTTATAATGTAAGCATCTCTCTATATTATTACAAGCTACTGGTTAATGTAGTTTAAAAATTCTTTTTTATTTTAAAAGTTTTTCATTTTGCCTGTTGAAAAATTACAAAACACAGAAAATTATAAAGAAAAAAATCTCAGCAATGGGTGATTTATGAAAGAGTCTGTTTCATTGGACCATTATTTATGATACTATCAATGGGCTGTTCCTTCTTTTTTTAAAAAAAATGTGATTTTTTTTCAAGTTTTTTTGTGTATAAAGAATGATTTTGTGTCATATTGCATAAAAATTTTTTCCTCATCTATATATTTTTTCAAGGTTTTTGATGACTTTCTACATTTTGATTTTCTTCTTTTGCCACATGAGGAAGTTTCTAATTTTTATAGAGTGCAATATATTGAACTTTTCTCAGGTGGCTTCTCTATTACTTTAAGTTTGAAAAACCTGCTCCTACCCAGATAAGTCATGAATACTCTCTTACGTTTTCTTCTGGCTATTTTATCATTGATTTTCTATGCTCTTTAATATATTTGGAAGCTATTTTACTCTCTAATAAAAGGTGAGAACTTCAGTCACTCTCTCCAACAGGTGAAGCAGCAACACTTGCTGAATAATCTTTATCCTCTTGACTCATTTGTAGTGCCTTCAGAATATCGTGTATCTATTCCAGTCTACATTTTGAAAAATATTCATTTAGACTGACTTATCTATTACTCTGTTGACTTTTTAACATAACTTGAGAATACATTTTAAAAGAAATATTTTTAAAAACTCACAAAAAATTTTCTCTGAGGAATACTTCAAAGTTCAACCAATTAAATAATTCCATTTTTTGTCCTATTTAAGCAAATTATTTTTTAAAAATCATTTTTTATTTGCGACTCTAGGCCAAAAGAGTACTGAAGAAGCTTAGCCCTAATTTGGTGTCAAGTTCAGACGATATGGTAAAAATGTTTCCCCTTCTTGTTGAAAAGTTAAGACAAATGGATAAGTTGCCTGCGATATTTTTTTGGTAAGTTATTGAAGCTTAATTTTTGGGAGTGTGAGAATTTTTTATTTTATTCTATTTTGAACTAATCTCATTCATAGAAAGTGAGTAGAAGTGAGCAAACTTTTACTGTTTTGGTGAATATCTTTACAAAACCAGTATGGGTAGATTTTATTTTTAAAGAAATCCTTGTGAAATTATTTGTGCTTATCGCCCTTTTAATTCCTTGACTCCCGATTATTTTGACCTTTTTAGCTTTGTTAGTTTTCCTATAAAAAAACAACCATAACTTGAATTTGCACCTTTAGAAATGCTCCTTTAGCAATCAAATTGCATATTCATGTACAGATGTAAAGCACATAAAGGGCTCCCAATTTATTGGTATGTTTGGTTTTTAATTTATAGTTAGGAAAACTAAAACCAGGATGCATATCTGAATACTATGTGCTATAAGACAAAGAGCTTGAATAGATATTAAGTGTCTAACTTTGATAAAGAGAACTGAAGTGGAATTTATCAAGTGGATTATACTTTGTACCCTGGATCAGCTCTGGTAACAACTTTGGCATTAGAGCAGAATAAATTATTTAGTCAAGATAACTTTTAATTATTTTAACTGTGAAAGCTTTGTGTAAAATAAATTCCCAGCACCTTGATCCAATGGTAATAAATTATATGCATAGACAAATACACAAACACATATACATGTAGCTATCTTAAATGATAGCACTAAAGCCACATATGTGTTATATATCTCAATGTCCACGTTGGTGGTAGATAACTAAAACCAGATGATGGTAGAAATAAAAAGTATGGCTGAGGACACAAATTTGGGGAATTGCAAGAAAATTTCTCCTTCCTCTTTGTGATTGGGCCAAAGTTAATAAATGAGGTATTCTGCCAATACATGACAATATTTACCTAGATTGCTTTCTAGTGTGGCTCTCAATTTTAGTTAGAAACAAATGTATTCTTGTATCTCCGGCAGAGCTGTAGGTGTAACTTCGAGCTAGGAATCTAAATAGGAACTGGCTTTGTTACTTATGTACTCATACAAATTTAAAATTTTAAAATAAATCGCTTTATAAAATACTTAAATATTTTCAATATCTGGTAATGGGATTTTGGCAAGTTGCAATGAAACTTTCAGTAAAATATACTAAAGAAATCCTAAGTCTCATCAACTGGGGCATTGAGAACTCTGTGTGATGATTGGTTTAGGCTCAAGTTAGCCAGCCAGCTTCCTGCACAACCTCTTTGAAGCTTCCGGGTTTAATCTGAAACTGACCCCTATACCAGCTGGGCAAGGAAAGACTGAAGAAAAAGGCAGAGCACTCCAGATTGGTAGGCGGAAGGTTTAATAAGTAAGGGAACTGATGTATGAGGCTTGTCTTGGATGGCCACAAGACGAAGAGATTTCCATACCTGCCCATCAAATCTTAAAAGTTTATATAGAGGCTTTTGCTGGGTTCACTCACATAAACAGGTGTCCTTAACTGGCTTTACTCACGTACACAGTCCAGATAGTCTCATCACCACATTACTACCTCAAGGCTGTATTGTTGGCGCAACTTCTGGAAGTGGGGAAGGCAAGCTGAGTACATATTCCAAAGACAGGGGAGGGAGTGGGAGCATCCAATTGCTCAGGTCCAGCTCTCATGTCAAACTGGCCATCATGTCTTCCTGATGACCTCCTGAAACACTTCCCTAATCTGGACTCTAGAAGAAATACATGGTGCTGGCAAGGTGTGTGTTTAGTGTCTAATGCCCATGTAGAGAGTGCTTAAGAGCATGCTCTCTCAGACCTCAGCTTAAATCCCAGCTCTTCCCTCCATTAGCTATGTGACTTCTGGAAAATTCCTTACTGTCTTTGAGCATCATTTGAACAATGGAGATAGTAATAACTAATTCATTAGATTGAGGTGAGAATTAAATGAGATACTATTTATAAAACACAACTCAATAGTTGAAAATGTGATTGGTTCAGGTGCAACTACAAGACCTTGTTTTACACTGGATTTGGACAAACATTATCAGAGGGATTGAAGAAGGGAAGGTATTTCTAGGTGACCTTGGTTGGTTGATTTGTTTGCTTTAAAGCAGTAGATGAAACCATTTAATGCCATCATGTAAGATATCATTTGTAACCAGTAATTTACGCATATTGCATGTTAACTTGTATTACTATGAACAGGGAGGCAAATTTAGCATTGTGATAATAAAACATGGCCTCTGGAATTGGGTTGCCTGGGTTCTAATCCCAAGTCTACCATTTATTAGGCTATATGATCTTGGATAAGTTTTAAAATTTCCTTTGGAATCTGTTTCCTCATCTGCAAAACAGAGATAATAATAGTAGCTTTCTTATAAGGTCATAGTGGGAATTAAATGAGTTCATATATTTAAGCCACATGGAACAGTGCCTGGAACTTGGTAAGCACTTTGTAATTTTCTGCTATTATTATTTTTGCCTTGTTTATATATCAAATCTTCTTATCACATACATTAGACTGTGATTTTCCTAGTCTTCTTTTTAATTGAGATATAGTTGACATAGAATTTTACTAGTCTTTATTTCTCCAGGACACCTATTTAATCTTGATCAGCGAAACAACATTCCTTTTCAAAGCCTGCATTATGAACCTGGTAGTAAGTCCATGGCCTCACAAGTAATGTTGAAAAAATTCCTTGGGTGGACCCAACTTAGAGTGAATACAATGGTACTGGCCATTAGGTACATTCAGCCAAAACATTTCCCCAATGAGCTACTTATGATAGTGGTACATGGAAATATGATCTAAATGGAAAAATAGTCTTTTAAAGGCATTCTTCTTGTTTCAAGTTTTAAGAGTGTTGATGTGGAAGAAAGAGCTAAAAGCGTGTGCGCTTTTTTGGAGAACCCAGAGAGAAAAAGCTGTAGCCAGACTGACCAATGTCATAGCTATGCCCATGATATAAATAAAAAACTTACCAAAGCTGAAAATAAAGTGAAAAGACTAAAGAAAACGTAAGTATTTACTTAAATAAATTGGCCAATAAGGGCTTGAAGTACTTCATAAGACACTGTCAGAAACATATGCAGACTGGGCCACCAAGGGGTTCTTGTTACTGGTTCACTTTGTTTGCAAATAGAGTAAATCTGGAGGGGTGGATGGGTGGGTGCCTCTTAGTTGTGTATAGATAGGGTTCATTTAGGAATCAGGAGGGGTAGGACCAGAGCCTGCAAGCCTAGCTAGATTATCTGACCTGACAGTATGTCATTTCAACTCTCAAAACTTTTCATCTTTTCCACACGTGTGAACAATGTCTCTTAGGAGACCCTCAGCCAACTTGACCATAGCCTACATTTGTCCCCTTAGGTCACAATGTGGAGGTTTCCCTGATGTAGTATCACAGTGGGTGAGCAAAGAAAGGCCTATAGAATGAATTACTATACCAATTTTGTGCTGAGGTAGCACCTCACTGTGGTGATTACTCTTCCTTGTTCCCAATGTCTAATTAAGACATTGACTGACATTGTCTGACTGTTCTATGGACCAAATGTTTCTTCTCTCCATGCCGTCCTCTCCGTCTTTATTCCCTTACTCTGCCCCAGTTAGGCCTTTGACATCTCTTCTCTGGGCCCTTGTAGAGACCTTCCTGTTCCAGGTTCACCCCCTCCCATGTAACTGACATGCAGTTGCTGATGTGATCGTTCTAATGGGCAAATTTAACCAAAGTACCCCACGCACAACGTCTCTCTCTCTCTTAGTTGCCTAGTAAAGTTGATAAAGTGTAGGCTCAGTAATGTACACAAGGCTCTTCATGACTTGGTTCCAGCCTCCATTTGTGGTGTCATTTCCTGTTACCCCTCTCTGCTAAGACTCAGTCTTGTCCAGGTCTCCACTCATGATGTGCTCCTATCACCTGAATCTGTACCTGAAGGGCCTTCCTTTCTGTTGACCTGTATACCTTGTACACATTTTTTTTTCCACTTCAAAATCTATCTTCTCTGAAATTTACAATGATTTCTCAGGGTAGATTTATTGCTCTTTTTCTTTTATTCCCGTTCCAGTTTGAATCATTAGAGCAATTATAGCACTGTATTTCAGTTGTCCGTATATCTTTCCTTTCCCCAGATTGTCAGTTCCCCTACAAAAACTGTGCATTTTCCTTTTTGTATCCCCAGTGCTAGCAGATTGCCTGGCACATTGCTTCATAAATACTTGTTGAAAGAATGACTGAATCTTCCCTCGATATTGAAACAGCTTCCACAGCTTCCCTAATTTTGGATATTTTTCAAAGACTAGAACAGGCTCTCTCTTGATCCCACCACTGATTGTGTCTTCTTTCTGTTTGTTGTGCAGATTTTCCCAGGCCCATGGGAAGGGAAGGGACCTCAGAGAGAGGTGTTGGAGCTATAGGCCTTCACAGTTACTGATTCTCTTTAGTCAGACCTTTTTCAGGACTGGGAACAACATTTCAAGTTGGATGTGTAATGAACAACATGGACTATGAAAATAAAGGGCATTTGGGCTATAATCAGTTTCCCTCTTAGGCCCAGTCAAGGAGGGTCTCTGGTCCCAGTGTGGAGATTTAAAGTGCCAGGGGTCAGTGGAGCCAAAGAAATGTGCCAACTTGTTCTTGACTGTGCCATGCTTTCCTCTTGCTTTTCCTGTGGAGAGCTGAAGGAACAGCAGTTCTTCTGAGAAGAATGAGACTTCTGTTATAGGAAGAGGGAGAAGAGATCATGCAGAGAAAAGGAAGAGGATATGGGGCATCTTGCTGATGAGAGCCCATGACTTCCAGGGCAAACATGGAAGTGCATGTGAGAAAGGAGACTAAATCAGGATTGGGAGCATTTCATCTAAGACTCAGTATCTGGGTGATGGAGGGTCATCTGGGAAGTCTTAAGCTTCTTGTGGTAGCTGAATATGAACTTTCTTTACTTAAAACTTTATTTTTTAAAATACTAGCTTTGGAAAAGACAAGGAAGAGTCCAGGAAGTTGAAACTAAAACTAACATATGGAGCTGAATATGTTAATATCCTCAACAATTTGAAGGAGTTTCTGAAAATCCCTGAGGAGTGCTTGTATGCTGATGTCAATGCGCTGCACACTGAGGTCAGCATGGAAACTGGCTCAGGATGCCAGAGAATGATGATACTTTGTCAGTCATGATTTTTTTTTATCATGGTGATCATTTAATCTATCATCTTTGGACACTAAGTAAAATCCCTGTTAGAAATGTGGTGTTTGTGCAATATCTTTGAAATATTATTATTTCCGTGTGTTATTTTGCTTGGTTTGCAATTACTGTCCACATTTGATGTGTTAAATTTCTATAGGTGATTTCTTCTTGCTGAGTAGTTTGCCTGTGAAAGTGTCCACCTCTTCTTTTATTTCCCTCTACTATCCGGGATTACTACCTGGCCTGATTCTAGAATTCAGTCCCACATGCTGTATTTTAATGTTAGTCACATTTGGGTATGTGTGGTACAATACATTTTGAATAATATCTACAGAATGTCCCAATCTCAGAGACTTCTATCTGACATCCAAGACATTCCATTAAACAGATATTGAAATACCCAAATATGGTATGGCATTTAAACAATTTTTTTTATTATGTAAGTTATTTATATTCATTGCAGAAATGGCTGAAAATACAAAATGACAAAAATAAAAAAATATCAGAACTCAGAGATAGTCACTGTCCGAGATTTTTTTCCTGTGGAGACTTATAAAAATGCCACACCCAAATTAGACATTTCATATATTTATTTATTAATAAGATAAGATCATATTATATAAATTAGTCTTTAATCTGCTTTCCTCACTTAGCTATTTATTTCTTATTAACAACAATAGAGCTACATCATTATTTTGATAGCTCTATGGTGTGTGGATATGGATGACTATAATTTCTTCAACCAATCTTCTGACCCTTGGCTGCATAGGTTATTTTCATTATTTTTTCTTGTTCTTATAAGCAGTCTGTCCCTTGGACATTTTGGCTGACGGCTGGATTTTCTCCTCATGGTAAATTCCTAGAAGTGGGATTGTCAGGGTATGGATATTTTTTAAAGCTTTGGATATAAGTTGTGAGTGATTCACAGTGGGAAATAAGAATTCTCTGATCATTGAGGGTAGGGAACCACTCTGCCTTCTTGGAGAAGCCTCTCTCTGCCTGCAGAGGGCTCCAAAGTGTCCAGTAGAGAATTCATCTCCCTCTTTCTGGCAACAGCAGATCATACACTCAACCTGTCCGGGGCATCTTATTTACAAACAGCACCCTTCTCCCTTCGGTTTATGGTGATCTCTTCTCCGAGACAGTCTGTTGAAAAAATGGGAAGATTGCTTCCAGTGTCATAAAATATAACCTATACTCATGTAGGGTCGGTGTCAAAAAGCAGCCTCGCTTTGTGATTCTGTGATTCTGTGATTCAGCCTCACTTTGTGATATCCTGTGATTCTGATATCCTGTGATTAAAATTAAATAAAATACATTATCCATTGTTCGTTCTTGTTTTAGACTTTGGAGGTGGTGTTTAAACGAGTGCAATTAACGAGAAAAGGCGCAGAACTGAAGGCTTTAGCACAAAGGGGTATTGGCTATCATCACGATTTCATGTATTTTAAGGAAAGAGAGTTTGTTGAGATACTTTTTGCGGAAGGGTTTATCACGGTAGGTGATTTTTTTACATTGAAAAAATAAAGCTATGCATACAAGATGTTGAATATCAGTGAAATATGAAACATTATACCAACTGTTTATCTCATCTAAACAAAGCGTCATTTTATTACAACTCACTCGATAGCTTCTCCATCTAGTCCATTTATTAGGGGAATTTAAAATTATTTATAGACTAAAAGATGATACCTATAATGAAATATTATAGCTGTGGTAATCTGGAAGAAATCCTTTGCTTTCTTTAAACACATACTGCCTAAGACATACTTTTGGTCAGACCTGTTTTTAATGTCATAAACCTCAGGTCGGCTAAGAGGAGGACATCTCTTTTCCAGGAATTGGAAAAAGCTTTTCCTATACTAACAAAGTCTATATAAAGCTTATAGCTGTGGTATCTCTAAATGAACTTGGAAAGGGTAAGGAATCCATAGCTGGCTCATAATCAAACACTTGTGCACATACCAAAAAGACAGTTTGAGATACTTTTTGCGGAAGGGTTTATCATGGTATTCATGTGCCTCAGAAGGATGCAACATTCTGGTTTTTGGTGGGGATGGTCTCCATAACTTCACCACGAATGTTTATATGATTACTCAGTTAATTTTCTTTTTGAGTGATTTGTAAAAACAGGCACCAGCTTTATTGGCTGCATGCACTTGTGCACATGTGTGTCAGTATGTGAAGGGTTGTGTAGAAAGAATAGTAAGGAATATAGGATATAATAAATAAAGGCTGTGAAACAAAGAAATATCATGAACAGCTCTGCTCAGTTTTCCTTTTAGTGTGTATGTGTGTGTGCGTGTATGCAAGATACAGTTTATACAAAATATATAAATATACAATTTATTGGTCATTTTAAAGGCAAGAACCAGAGAGAAGAGTTTATATAAAGATTATTAATTCAGGGCAAGGATCTCACCTATTTTATTCATCACACCCAGTATTGTAGAACTTGTAACATAGTAGTTGCTCAATAAAAGTTAATGAATGAATGAGTAGCCTGACTATTATAAAAGTGTTATTCTGGAAATAGTGATAGCTTTGCTACACAGAACAACTTTAAAAATGGTACTCATTATAGTTAAATGCTAAATTTTAGTGATTTGAGTCTTTCCATCTTTTTTTCTTATTGATGAACTTTGTGAACAAATAACGGGTTGAATTTAGATGGGTTTATAAATAGCAATTAGAAAGTATTTTTGTTTTCTCTATATCATTAAATAATTAAAATAACTATGGCATAAATTAATATCAATGTATTTGAGAGGAAGAGAGGACAATTGTATGTACCCTGCATTAAATAGATGAGTGGGTACATAGGATGTTAGGAAAGTAAATAAGGGAAAAAAATGTAACTGAATTATGCTTCAATTGCTTAGATCAGTTATCTGTTGTCAAAATCAAACACAAATAGAGACCAAACTTGAAACCGGTTAGTTGTACAAGCAAAACTTAACTTATTTTGCAAGACAAGCAAGGTTAACTTGATCTGGATTCCTTCTTGCTTATGCCTCTGAGAATCATAAGTGAGACAAATAGTTACGCAAACTTGATGTGAGGTAACCACTGACCAATTACCTTTCATTTAAGAAAATTCTAACATTGTAACCAATCACTGTGAAGAATGAATACTCTCTGCCTTCACAGTAAATAAGCTGCTTTCTGGGCTTCCTTTCACATTTTGGTTTGAGTGTTCCTGGTTTGCACACTGTCTTTTTGGTATGTGCACAATAAACTTTTACTAATTTCTGCTTAAGTGATTTTTTGATTTCAGTTCCATTTTTTTAATGAACTGTTGACACTAAATAGATAAAACCTCCATAAACGAAGGGTGAGGATAGGGTAGGATGATTGTCCAGAGTGTGTAAGGAAATGTATTATTACCCTGTCTTAAGGAAAGTTGTATGCTGGTGTTTCATTCCTTCATGCATTTATCGAATGCCTATTTATTGTGCGTCTACTAGATACACATGATACTTAAGGTCTAGGAGGAGCAAGTAAACATGGTTATTTTAGAAATGGTGGTCTAGGAAGTCCGTTTTGATATTTTTGCAGAGATCCGAAAGAACCCTGTAAATGAAGATTTGAAGGAAGCCATTTTAGGCAGAGCAAACAGCAACAATTAGAGCCTGAAGCAGTGGTGTGCTTTGTATATTCAGGGACTAGTAATAAGAACAATGTGGCTAGTACATAGCATTAATAACATGCTGTTTAGTTAAAGTTCAAGGAGCTTTTCAGTGAGTGGAGCAGGAAATATATCTTGTGTCCTTATAGATGTGCTCCATTTTGAATGAACTCTTTTATTCTTTCTGTAGGTAGTGACAGCTACTGGAACACTTGCCCTAGGAATCCACATGCCATGTAAATCTGTTGTGCTTGCACAAGACTCAGTCTACCTGGATGCTTTAAATTATAGACAGGTAATTCTCTTACTCCAACTGCTGAAAGAAGAGTGTGCTGTGATGCACCGTGTGGCATTTTTATCTGCTCACAGGCCGTAGTTCATGTTCTTCCTTTCACTTTCTGTGTGACACAGTGATTTTGAACACAGTTGTCTCCTATCTTATTGCTTCGTGCCATTCGATTTATCTACTTCCTTATTTTCTCACAATTAGTGTTAAATGATTTAATAGTCTTAGTGTAGTTTTTAGTCTTTTTCTTGAGAAATATAAAGCTGTTCTGATTCTTGATCCTTCTTAGCGCCCCTTTATTTTGTTTTTCTGGGAGTATGTAAAATGTTCTGAAATTTCTTGCATCATCTGTTTCCTTCAATTCATCTTTTTCTGTGTGTGGCACTTGGTATCATCAATTTCTAGGTCTTTTGAAAATTCTATTTGACTCGGGTATATTTTGACTTACTACAAGTTCAGTATTGAGTATTTTGGGGTTATTTACTGTCTACTTTTCTAATTCCAAAATTTTGTTGCTGTTCATCCTTTTGGTGTGGGTTTATGGTTAAAAAAAATCCCTTTATTATAATTGTAGTGGAATTTCTGGGGAGAGAGATGTTACCTGGAGATCTCTTAATTAACTGTTTAAAAGTCAAGAATAGGGGCTGGCCCGGTGGCACAGTGGTTAAGTTTGCACATTCCACTTCTCAGCTGCCCGGGGCCTGCCGGTTCGGATCCCAGGTGCGGACATGGCACCGCTTGGCAAAAGCCACGCTGTGGTAGGCATCCCACATATAAAGTAGAGGAAGATGGGCATGGATGTTATCAGGGCCAGTCTTCCTCAGCAAAAAGAGGAGGATTGGCAGCAGTTAGCTCAGGGCTAATCTTCCTCAAAAAAATGTCAAGAATAAAACTATGTTCTGTATTATAAGGCAAGGGAGGAAAGAGAGGTAAATGAAAGAAAAACAAGAGTGAGGGTGAGAGAAAGAAAAATAAAAGGGAAAGGCCAGGTGACAGACATACAGAGACAAGTGGACAGCGATGATGCACTTGAGCATCTTCTCATCTCCCTTATGACACAGAAGTGTGATATCCTATATTGCAAGTCAGAAGAGAGAGAAAAACTACCTCTTTCCACTCACTGCAAAAAAAAAAAAAGATACTTACCAAGTCTCAAAATGTAAATTTTAAATATTTTCTTATTCTTAATATTTTTCTCTTATAAATCATAAAACTCTCCCAGATTAGAATGTGGAGATTGTGATTTTACAGAGAAAAGGAGTTCACCCCCATTTCATGACCTTTTAGGATATTGCTGTTGAAGCTTTAAAAGCCGTGTTGCCCTTTTCTCAAGCAGGTGAGAACAAGATGACCTTTCGACATGTAGTTTTTGAGCTGAAAAACAGTAAGACCAGCCCCTGGGCTGAAATTTTCGACTCTTGCTGTTTCTGAGCAGTAAGTGAAGTTTCTCTTAAGGGACTCTTGTTTCCTTTAGAATTCAAGACCCCTTTTTCCTCATCTTTACCCACTTCTCTTTCCTGGAAGAAATCCAATGTTGTTTATTTACTGCGGCCCTTATATGAATGAAATTGTTTTGTTATACTACTCTGATGACTTGGTATTATCTCTTAGAGAACAGAAAATGCCTTTTCTTCTTTAGTGGGTTTTGTTTGTTCCTAGAGAGTCAAGTGGCAGACCTTTTTGGGAACTCAGGCCTTGAATTTACACACCATCTAGTCTTCCCAAATATCGGGTTGACTCTGGGCAAATGAGTTAAATCAGAAAACTTTGATCACGTTTATAAATCTTTTATAGTTTGTCTCTAAGAATGTGCCATGTAATGATAACCAGAAAGTGTTAGTTCTGTTGCTTGCATTTGAGAACACAACATTAATTATACCAAAAATTCTTCAAACACAGTTCAATTTCATCATGATCCTACATCTTCAGTCTTAGTTTTAGCTGAGTCAGTATTTTGGTTTCATGTCGATATTTTGACAAGTCTTTCAATTTGGAGTAAACTTTCACTGTATTGTATATTTAAAGGGAAGCTTGAAAGAAAGAACACCCATCTGTGGATTTATGGTCTCACTCTACAAGTGTGTTATTATTTAGAAACATTTGTGCCAATAGATGATCCAGTCACACACACAGACCAAAGGGAATATCTGAGACTCCACCTTCCTTGCCGCATCTTGTCCAAAGCTGGTTGCCAAGGAGCTGACTCCAGTCACTTTGTTCGGTTGTGTCCGAATCTTGTTCTTTCTCTAGATCTCTTTGAGTGTCTGCTTAGGGGCTGTGCATCTTCTTCCCTGTGGGCTCAATCTTTTGCACTTTCTTTTGTAGAGGAATGTAGTTCCATGGGAATGTGCTTTTTTTCCTAGCGTAGCAGGTAACACAGACTCAAGTATGTATTTTTTAACAGCCTTTTAAAACAAATAATACATTTTACTGTATTAATTGAAAATATTTTTGTAGATTTTATGCTTAGCATGCCATTTTCTCCTTTGGGTCTTTCTGTTTTCTTTTTTAATTAATTAATTCATTCATCCAAATGGCATTTATGATGTGTCTAATATGTGCCAGGATCCTCTCCTATGCGTCTTCCTCTTGTCACTCAAGTTCCCGCAGGACTTTATTGTCTGAGGAATACTTGTTACTTTTGCTCTCCCTGTAAGAAACTGCTTTTCTTGAACATTCAAGGAGAGGGGATTATACAAGGTTGTGAATACAGGAGGATGTGATCATTGGGATCATTGGGAGCCATTGAGTAGGCTGCCTTCCACAGTCTGCCCTCTGGGCCCTAATGATTCACTTCCCTCCCACAAACAAAAACGCATTTACCACCTCCCAAGGTCTCCAAAAGTCTCATTCTTGGCAAAAGCCTGGGGTTGCTTTAGTTGCCCTTATTGCTGTCACAGTCTCTTTATTTCCTTTCCCTGCCTTCTTCACTGCCACATCAGTGTTGCCTTGGTTCTGCCTATATTCAGACCAACCTGTTGCCCTGTCCGTCTCTTGCTGGGACTGTTGTGCCACCCCTCTGGTGGCCTGGTTCAAGTCTTGCTTCAAATTCCTCTGCCCTGGATCCTCACGGTATATCTGAGGCAGTGTGGGTAATGATTAACAGAGTGTGGTCTGGTCCTAGATTCCCTAAGCTTAAATCCTTGCTTCACTATTTTTCAGCTGTACAACCTTGGGAATGTTAACCTCTAGGGACATCAGTTTCTTCATCTGAGAAATGGTGATAATAATAATTTGTATCTCATGAACTTGTTATGAGGAATAACTGAAAAGTGTACAGCACTCAGAACCATGCCTGGCACATAGCAAGCACTCAATAATTGTTAGCTGTCCTCAGTAGGGTCCTTTACATCCTAACCACTGAGTGTATTTTAGATTTATCTCATTTTCCTTCCTAGTGTGAACACGCTTCTTCTAAGAAGCCATTTTATAATGTTGTCTTTAGCCGATCCAGGATGACAAATGTTGTCATAAATCTTTTTAAGTACATAGGAAATTATTTAGGGAAGTTCTACACTGTGATTCTCCTCTGTTTCCAGATGTCTGGACGTGCTGGAAGACGAGGTCAAGACCTGCTGGGAAATGTATATTTCTTTGATATTCCATTGCCCAAAATAAAAAGACTCATCACATCCAATGTTCCTGAACTGAGAGGACAGTTCCCTCTCAGCATAAGCCTGGTCCTGAGACTCATGCTGCTGGCTTCCAAGGGAGGTGACCCAGAGGATGCCAAGGCCAAGGTACCGTACTTGACCCTGTCTGAGCTGAACTGTCATTACTGGCCTGGCTGTGGTCAGGCCTGCTGTTCTTTTACAAGTCTGGAACAATAACTCTTCATTTTCATTAATCTTTTAATGATTTGTATTTTCCTGAGTATTATATTGTATTGGGACAGGAAAAATAAAATTATTTTATTTTCTTTCACCACCAAAAACAGTATTTAGGGCATTAAGAATTACTCAGGGTTGTTTTAGTGTGTGATAAACAATATAGTATAGTGGTTAAGTACTGGCTGTAGACTTATCAAGGTCTAGAATAGATCTCTGGTTCAATCATTTACCGACTGTTTAACTTCAGGAAAGTCACTTACATTCTCTAAACCTCAGAATTGTGAACTGTAAAATGGGAATAATCATGGCAGCTTTAGAATGTAGTAAGAATTAAATGAACTAGTGTAAGTCAATGACTTTTTAGCGTCAAGCTGGGTTCATAGTAAAGACATAAATTTTAGCCTTGGTTCTCATGTTTTCAGTTTTTTTCTTTTTCTTTAGTTTTCTTTAAGGAGAAGAATGGGCAAACAATGTATTGATTTCTCCATCCTTTCTAAATGTTTTTTATTTTTTCCTTTTTAAAGGAGATTAAGTGTAAGTTAGAACCAGTAACAAAACTTGGGTAGTGATTGCCTATATATATTTGACGGCATAATGGATTTACATATATCTTAGATCCTGTTATGTTGTCAGCATTTGCCATTTAATTAATTAGTTCTTTGGATTAATAAGAAATTTCTATATTTAAAAAATCATTTTAAAAAGTATAACTGAAATGAAAGATTGATTCTACTTTCAAAACATCTCACTCTTCCAAAACATAGACAAGAACAAGGACAATGGTATTGCTGTTATTAAAATAAAAATTATATTTTTAATATAAAATCACCCAAGTTTATTAAAAAAATATTTGGAAAACATAGAAAACTTGAAAGAAGAAAAAAATCACCCATACCTATTTCCACAATGCAAAGAAAACTGCATCATTATTTTGATAGATTTTCTTTGAGTCTTTTCTACCTAAACATGAATGGATGTTTGCTTTTTAAATAATGAGCCCGCTATTATCTCTTTGACATCATCTCCTACTACTTTTCCTATCCCTCATAGAGCTTCTGTCGCTGTCTGGCTTTTCGTTCCTTAATATGCCAGACACCCTCCAGTCTTTGGATCCTTGTTCTTTATCTTCTTTCTGCCTGGAATTTATTAGAATACAGCATGATGTATAGAAAGAACTCAGTAAAAGTTGTTGAATTGATGGATAAATCCTTAAGATGATACTCAAAGTCTTTTGTGAAAAATTCATTTAATATCCACGTGTTGATTTTTTCCCTGTTTGAACCTATTTCCTATTTTTGAATTGTCATGTTTATCTAGATCTTATGGTTTGTCAAATATATAGCGTAGGCATTTCTTCAGGGCTCATGCTCTGTCCCCTCAGGGTTTGTTCAGATATCTTTTATTATCTGCATGTGGATCGTCAATTGATAGACACTTCTTCTAGCCCAATTCTCAGTGTCCAGCAGGATTTCTGTTAATATTTGCTGAATTGAGAGTGATTGTCTTCTGCTTCCACTTCCGGGCTTCCTGAGTTGTTGATGATATGGATGCCATTAATCACTGAACTGTCCTGATTGCATTGCCCTCAAGATTGTTCCCATTTTGGCAACACTGCAATTATGGAGTCTACTTCTAAGGATAAAATTTGCCTCCGTGACTCCCTCACCCCACATGCTACCCTGTTATTTTCTGACAGTTGAAACCTTGGACTGAGTGTAGGGTCTTAGAGATGTTATAGGGAAGAGCATTTTGGCTTCTCCAGAAAAGTGATGGTTGTCCAATTTTATAGTTGGTACAGACTTTCCCTCCCTCCCTCTTTCCTACCCTTCTTTCTTATCTATTGGCCTTATAGGAAGAGGAAATTCCTCCATGATTCTAAAATCTATCAACCTAAAGATTCTAAGTCCTGTTTTTTGATGACATTGGGAAGTTTTTGGTCCTTTTTTTGAGACCGCATGGATATTTTATTTAAAAATTGAAAGAATTAGTGACAGGGAGGGCTGCACACCTGGACTTAGTTGTGGGGCTGGAAGTGACCAGTTTAGGGTCTTAGGAGACAGATGGGGGAGATGACAGAGTTAGGTGAGACTGGGGAGAGTGGAGGTACAAGGAGAAGGAAGGTTAAAGAGGGGACCAGATCTTGGGGAAACTATCCTGGGGAGAGCTGCGTTGAAAGTGCCCACAGTAGCCCAAGAGGAGAGCAACACTCTGGGCCAGGCTGTCTGTGCTGCCCACTGGAGAAGGGGACTTGGCCTCTGGGAGGGCAAAGCTGCTGTGTAGGATGAGCGATCCCCCAGCACCCTGATTTGTGTGGAAGGAGGAAGGCAGTTAGAGACAAGAGGAGGTGGAGGAGACTGGGGGCATCGCCTCTGCTGCTGGAGAGGGTGGAATTGGGCAGTTGATGTCCTGGAAACGAGCAGGAAGGAAGGCCCTGGGGTGTAAGGCTGCAGGTGGGCTGGGAAGGCAGATCTTGAACCTGTCAATACCAGTAGCCTCCTTTTTTTCCAGACAAAGTGTTGCGAACCCACCTGGGCACGAGGCCTAGTCTTGTGGAAACGGAACTTAGCTTCATGGGGCGGACAGCTCTGGCCCAGGGTGGTATGTAAGTTTGGCTCAGCTTGGTAGAACCTAGGTCTGAGGCCACACCCCTGGTTGGAGGTGAGGGTGTTCTAAGGAGTGATTCCAGACCTAAGGTGCCATCCTAAGCCATTAATGGTGTGGCGTCTAATATATCTGACAGGCGGGGGCTGCCGAGGCAGGGTGTTTGTATGTCTGCAGATGAAATTGACCCACACTTTAGTTTCCAGGAGGCAGTGCTCTCCTTCGGACTCGTCCTCTAGGTTTGCTGCTGTCCTCTTCTGTGAGCTCATTCTGCCCCTCCTCTTCCCTTTAACTCTCTCGAGGTTATCCATTCACTTAAAACATGGCTTCTGGCAATCTGGTAAACCTGAGAACATTGCTGAAGTCCCTGTTGGAGTTGATATTGTTCGTATTCATGAAGGGGGAAAGGCACTCCCCGCTGAGACTGGGTGGGGAGGATTTGTGTTTCTTGCCGGTGGAGAGGGTGGGGACAGAATGAGCACCCTTGGGTGGGCCCCCACCTATGGTACCAACTGAAAGTTACAAAAATGCCTCATGGACCATGGTTTGTTACTATAGTGTTCATCATGGCGATCAGATGGCACCAGGACAGATGGAGCTCCTGGCCAGTGTGAGTCTTAGCGGTGCAGGAGGGGAGACCCTGAAGAAGAGAGCCTGTCTAAATGTATGCCTGCGGATTGGATGTCCAGAGGCTTTGGAGGAGGAAGTTCTCCAATGTCATGTTTCTAGGCCTTGCCTTGGAAGCCCTGTATTTGAGAGGCCATCATTTAAGGTTTTCAGATGAGTTTATGAGGGGACAATCTTAAAAAGGCCAAGGCAGATGCAGCTAGGCCATCAGCAGATGTGTTTATTTGACTGTTTGATCTGGGAACACCAACCTCTGGGCACATGAGTGGCAGCAGGCACCCCTCCTTTTCTGGGGTAGAGGTTTTCAGATGGCGCATCTTCTAAATTGAGCCTCCTGCCACAGTGTTTCTGTGCTACAAACCTTGCTTTGAGAAGATTCTTAAGCTGTAGAACATTTTAACATTGATGCCACAATGCAGAGTGATGCCTTATAGACGGAGCTTGCAGATGGAGCTCCATGACCCTCTCACCTACAGACCTACCTGCTTGCCCGTACATTGGCCAGAGGAATTCTTAGTGTAATGATATAACCTTTGTGGGAAAGTGCTCAAATTTGAAATGCCTTAGCAAATACCTAGATGAAGCAGACTGGCAAACTGAGGGGGTTGGTCACTGTGTTGTGCTACAGTCTGGGGAGGGTACAAGTTGGTCATATCTAAATTCTGTGTTGGAAATGGCAAGTCTAGTTTGGGTATTCCAATCGCATTGCCGATTACTAAGAGAAAGGAATGGTTGGGGTACTGATAGTGATGTTTGACTCATCTTGCTTTATATGTTTTTCAGCGTGAATTTCACTTGATTAGATTTCAAAGTAATCTTGGCTAATGGTTAATGGTGTGGCATCTAATGTATCTGACAGGCAGCGGCTGCTGAAGTGGGGGATTTTTATGTTCAAAAGGGAGGACCCTGAGCTGAGAGTTGTAGCAGGGGGAGCACACAGATTTGTACCAGTACTGGGAAGGGTGGAGGTGGAGAAAGGGAGAAGCTTGGTTAGATCTATTTTGCAGAGGGTGGAGGTGGTAGGGAATGTGGGTTGAAGGGAATTTTCTGGAGAAAAGATTAGTTGGCAGAGCTCTAGGGAATTTTCATAGGGCTCATAGGCAAAGAAAATGCTAATAAATTGTTAATACTAATTCAATTGTTGCTTGGAAGCACAAAAGTTGCTGGGGAAATTTCTAAAGTGCTTAGAACTCTTAAATGCAAGGAAAAAAGCAAAATTGTTTTGCTTTGCTGCAAGGTGGGGAAAACCGAAAAGGGGTAACTGACAACCTGAATGTCAGTCACTTGAAAGATGGGTGTCCAAAACTTGCATCAGCAGGAGATTTAACATCCTTCACTGCTTTGCAAGCTTCCTAAGTGGTTTATCTGAAGCTGTGAAGGTGCGTGATATTGAGGAACAGTCAGTCTTAGAAAAACACTTTAAATGCCCAAATTGTGGGCTTTGAAAGTATTCAAGTTTGAGATTTTGATGTGCACTTAAGATGAGACTAGATGTACACTTCCGGGTTTGTAACTCATATTTCTGTTCACTGAGCTATTTTGTGATTGAAAATTCTGAGCAAAATGAAACTGCAATAATTTCTAAAGAAATTTCATATGTTACATCATACTTTATAAACATATCTCTTATCTTTGTGGTCAGTATTAATAATAGGAACAGTTTTGCTTACTATCATCTCTTCGTGGTAACTGACACAAGGAGAACCAAATAACTTTTTGGGGTTGCTGTAAACTTATTGTAATATTTGCTGGCAAACAATCCATATATCTTTGCTAAAGTTAGACTTAATAGCTGTTGTATCTTTAGTTTGAATGTTTGTGCTATTTAAATGATCCAGTACTAGTGAGGAAACTATCAGCCGAAATTAGGTTGGGGGATAAAAGCAAAATGGGAGTAGGGGGCCTTTACTAGATGTGGTTTGTGTGTAAAACTTCTGGGAAAGATCTGGAAACCCTTTATGATAATATTTGTTTCTGAGATGCATCTATTAAATTGGTAAAGTAAGACCAGTAGCTTTTTATCGCGGCCTTCTTCACCTTAAATTTCACTTAAAAAATTTTAAATCCCCAATTCTTTTTGCCCTTGGGATTTTCCTGTCTTCTGGGTTCTTTTTTTTTTTTTTTTTTTTAACATTTAAAAATTCCTTGGCATGGTAGTTCTGTTCTTAACCAGTGACTTGGGCAGGATAGAATTACGCTCGTTGGAATTTAAAGAGTGTTAGTTATGCACTTGTGGGGGAATATATTCTGATATGCTGTTGTGAAATTGAAACTGTAAAAGTAAGTAGTTCAAGTTATATATTGTTCTGTGTGGTAAGAACTAATCCTGTCGCATCATGTACATGATTACTAATCATTTTCTTCCCCCATACAGCACAAATAAAGGTTTGAGGTCTAAACTCGTTAGAAAAAAATAAAAATAAACAAATAAATAAATTGAGAAATAACTGGGTGGCTAGATAGTTACCATTTTCATTGGAAACCACACCATATTTCTAGTCTGTTGATTGTAATCTACCAAGTTCATTTTGGTGACGAAGATTGGCCCTGAGCTAACATCTGTTGCCAATCTTCCTCTTTTTGCTTGAGGAAGATTGTCACTGAGCTAACGTGTGTGCCAATCTTCCCCTATTTTATGTGGGATGCTGCTGTAGCATGGCCTGACGAGCAGTGCTAGGTCTGTGCCTGGGATCCAAACCTGGGAACCCTGGGCCACTGAAGCAGAGTGCACGAACTTAACCACTATGCCACCGGGCTGGCCCCCAAGTTCCGTTATTTTTGATGGAATATCTCAAGATTCAGAACAACAATTTTATGACTTGTTTTTAGAATGGGCTCAGAGAGTTAAACTTACAGATTGGATTGGCTTTCATACTTTATTTTTTCAAGTCGCTATTGGGCACCACTGTTCCAGAGAATTACCAGATTGTTTGCCAATATGTGTTATTTTTAACAATTCTGCTTTATGTGACCTATTTTGTTCAAGAAATATTTATCATGTATAAACACAGTCAAGGGGATAATATAGAACCAAATGAAATTTGCTTTCACATAAGTTATATACTGGGAATGTTATGTGTTATCTATATTGTATGTATGCGTAATATTTCTCACATATCATTATTCACAAATGTTGGATAAAACTGGATAAATTAAAGTACTCTTCCTTATAGGTGCTGTCGGTGTTAAAGCATTCATTGATGTCCTTTAAGCAGCCCAGAGCCATGGAGATACTGAAACTTTACTTCTTGTTTTCTTTGCAGTTCCTAGTCAAAGAGGTATGATTATGCATTGGCTTTTTGTTCTGTGAGTAATATTATGTAGGTTTCTTACCATGCCAAACCAACTGAAGCCTTGACAAACTGCATCCAATGATTAATGTTACTTATCCTTGATTTAATTATTAAACGAGGTCAGGTAATGCTTATCAGTCACTCATACTGGTATTAAATGGTATTGAAGAGCATAGTAAACTGAATCAAACTGTCCTTTTCCCCCCCTATCTTTTAGGGCTATTTAGATGAAGAAGGCAATCCAATGAGATTTGCAGGACTTGTATCACATTTGCATGGTCAAGAACCTTCAAATTTTGTTTTTGTCAGTTTTCTTATGAAAGGCCTTTTCCATAATCTCTGTCAGCCAATCAAGAAAGGTAAGATTGAGGTTTTATCTAGGTAGTCCAGAAATAAGAACATGTTTGTAAAGTAGCCAAAACCTCAGAAATACTTCCTTTTTCTTCTTCTTCCTCCTCTTTCTTCTGCTCCTCCTCCCCACTCTCCTTTCCTTCTACAGAGAAATGCTAAGTAAATGTTCAGATTTACAGATGCCAAAAAGTTAGATGCTGAAAGTCAACTCATTTTTATTCCATCTAAGTAATATAGAACATCTGGGGAATATTTATGTATCATCTAACTAATTAAGAATATTTTCAGAAGAGGAAACTGAGGCACATAGAAGTTGAATAACTTTTCCATGGTCGCATGGTTTTAGTAAGTATCAAAGTCCAGTTAATTAAACCTAGCCACCTCTTAACAACTACGGCATAGTGCTCATGTGTTATAGGGAATGGAGAGTAAGAAAAGAGGACCAGAACCTAAAGCTAGTATTGGGAAGCATGGTTAGGCAAGGCTGGGAGCTTAGTTTGGGGCTAGATTTTGAAACACCCTAAACAGCAGCCCAAGGAACCTGGATTTGTTTTTTTTTAGGCATTGAAACTCCATCAGAGATTTTTGAGTAGGGGAGAGACATGATTATAGTAATGGTTCTGGGAGATTGATCATTCTCCAGGATGGCCTGAAGTGAGGAGAGTCCAAATCAGGAAACCAGTTAATAGAGATTCTTGGGGGATGGGAACTAGAGTGAGGGTACTAAGCATGAAAAGGGAGGCACAGAATATAAAACTGCTGCTTTTACCAAGAATAAATGTATGCATAGCATGGCAGATATGGTCAGTTTCTGAGGTGTATATTTACTTGAAAAGTTTTCCTTCCACAAAAGGAAATATAAAAACAAATTTAAGAGCCAACCAGTGGTTAAAGTTTGGCACACTCCACTTTAGCTGCCTGGGTTGAGTTCCTGGGCATGGAACCTACACCACTTGTCTGTCAGTAGCCATACTGTGGTGGTGGCTCACGTAGAAGAACTAAAAGGACAAGCGTTTAGAATATACAATTATGAACTGGGGCTTTGGGTAGGGGGAAAAAAAAGAGGAAGACTGTCAATAGATGCTAGCTCAGGGTGAATCTATCCCAGCAAAAAGACCCACAAAAACAAAAATAAAAAACAAATTTAAGCACAAAATACAAGGAATCAACTTTTTTTTCTTATTTGCAATGATATTCTTTCTTTGGATAGGCTCACAGCTATTTTCTCCGAGTGTGATGGAAAAACTCATATTAGTATTGGCAAATTTGTTTGGAAGAAAATATATTCCAGCAAAATTCCAAGATGCTAATTTCAGTTTTCCTCAATCAGAGGTGAGGTTTATGATACTTGTAATGATATAATAGTGATAGTTATTAAATGTATGCCACTGGAAAAGAGTTAGTATTTATAGGGTTCAATTAATATAAGTGATTCTACTTGTTTTTGCAACATTAAGTTGGTCTTTCTATAAGCAGAGTTCTATTTAATTTTGTTTTACATTTGTAACAATTCTGAAACTTTACTATTGAAAATTTTGCTATGTTGATTCACAGATAAAAATGAAAACTGATCCTTCTTAAGCTACATCCTTGTACACCTTTGTGCCTGTGGCCCAGTTAGTGATGCATGCTGTGGTTGAGAGCGGCTGAAAAGAGAGGCGTGCAGTTTTTGAAATTCTTCATGACTTCTGTGGTTGACTAGTATTTATTTAATTAGAAGAACATCTCTAATCACTGTTGCAAATATTATTTACTCACTTTGCTGTTGATATAGTCCCCTATTTTTATTTGGATTCTACCAAGTATTAATTCAAACATCTTCCCATACTATCTAACAAACAATTAACATCTGAAGTTTTGCATTTTATTGGGGCAAATGACAGCATTCAGTGGCAACAGAGAGAATGTAGGCAAATAGTCATTTAAATAAAACAATAGCCCTGTTGCTGAACCTAGAGTTCCCTTGAGATTGTTCACACCTAGGAATGGGAGTTCAGGGATGGGGCTCAGCCATGAACCCTAATGTCCTCCTGAGATGATATTGAGGTGATCACCTAAGAAAGAATCCCCTAACTCAAGGGTTATTTGAGAGACTGGAAGCAGAATATTTTAGAAAATTATTTATTTGCAATAATAAATATATTTGTAACATTTTCTCTGTTCTCAATTTCTTTTGAAAAACAAAGAAACGAGAAAAACAATAACAAGAAAATCTCCATTAGACCCTGAGAATGTAGAAGAAGCTTTTTTTTTGATCAGATAACTCTGATGAATACGTAATAAAAGGAAGACTAGCACTAATTTATGCTCTCCAATCTCATGACCCAGTGGATATACCTCCAGACCTGTGGACCTGACTCTAGTTGCTGACATATTTTCACATTACAGACCACTGAAACTATTACTGTTTTTTCTTAAATGCACCCACATTTTAAAGTATTTCAGAAGAAAACTTCATATTTACTACCCTGTAAATGGAAAGCCAGAATATCTGGCTTAGAATAAGATAACCATAAAAATAAATGCAATGAACATGATTCTGAGCTGAGGCTGCTCTTTCTTTAGCCAAAAGGAGATGATCAAGTTTTAGATATTAGAGGCCTACTGTCTCTGGACTTTCTGGGGTTAGCAGAAAGAGGGAAAGAGATTTGGAAAGGGGACAGATTTTTATTTTTTAAAATTGATTTAGTATTATTTAATACTTCCTCTGTGTGTCATGTTAAATCATCTCATGTACCCGCAATGTTAAATGTGCCACAATTTGGGAATAACTGTTCTATATCTGTCTGTGAAAACTGTGGAGAAAAATCAGAGTTAGAAGACATGGTTGCTGCCTTGTGTGCTCTTGGGTTAGGACTATATGGCACATGCACGTGAGACTCACAACGTATGGCACAAGACTCACAATGCAGCACCAATGTGATAAGTAGCACATGTGCTCCTAGCACAGTGTCTGGCACCAGCACAAAAGCAGGCACGTTGAAGGCATTGCAGTTTATTTGCAAAAAACTGATGGAGGACACGTGCCTTTGGCCCTCTTGCAGAACTACGTTTATTGATTCGTCCCTTGGTCTTCATTTATCCACAGATAGAGATAATAAGATGAAAAACAACCCTAGGAAAATTGTTATCCTATCCATTGTAAGGATTTGGCTGGGGACATTATTCATCAGATGTGCACAGTGCTTTTTGTAAGAATCCGCCAGAGAAGTTCTTATTTGCTTTTAGTGCTGACAATAACTGTTTATGTTACGGACATTGTGAAATGTATAACTGATGAGGTTTTCTTTCCACACTTGGCTGCTAGGAATCTTCGAGTATAATTCGCGGCCTGTTCCTGTTTTCCTTCCTTTTTACTGCATTTTTATTTATATGATCTTATTGTCTTATCTTCACCCTTACGAAATACCATAATTCTTGGAAAAGTGCAGGGTATGAATAAATTAAATAAAAGAAAATATCAAGTGAATAATAAAAACAGTAATTGAAATAGAAGAAAACTGTGAAGTTTGTAATGTCATAGTTTTCCATTCATGCTATTTAAACTGAATAAAGAAACTTCTAGTCTTAATTCTGAAAAGATTTGTGTTTAGCTGTGCAATTTAGAAGCTGATCTAACTTGCAATACCAGCTACTTCTTTACCTACTACCTCTGTGACTTAGAACAAGTTTACTTCTGTGAGGCTTAGTTCTCTCATCTACAAAATGTAGATGAAAATGCCAACTTCATAAGTTGTTCTAAAGGTTAACTGAGGAACACACAAGAGCTTGGCAAAGCACAGCGCAGTGTTGGCACATAATCAGGACTCAACATGGAGTTGATGCTATTACTACACTAAGTTGTTACTTGCTCTCTTAATATGCCCCTCAAGTCCTTGAAATATACGCAAATTTAAGGTCAGCTTAGGGCATGCATCTAGTTAGATAGTGCTTTTGATTAGGTAGAGTCAAAGCCAATTTTTTAAGAGGAAAGATATTTGTGTTTACAGATGTTGGTTGAAATCCAAATGCGATTTTACCTTAATCTCTCGAGTGAATAAAGTAAGCGCTGACTTCAACGAGTGAACATTAATCTGCAAAACTATGCTGCAGTAGCTTCTCACCAAGCAATTGAATTGTTTAAATCAAAGTAAAGAGATCTTTCTGAAAAGTATTTTGCCTGTAGGTGATCCTTGATGAACTCCCGGAGGATTTTAAGGCTGCTTTACAGGAGTATAACTTGAAAGTGATGGAAGACTTTGCCTCTTTCCTACTGATTGCTTCCAAGTTGGCAAACATGAAGAATGAATATCGACTTCCTTTGTCAAGAACCAGTAAGCAAATTTTAGTTCCATTTTGGAAGAATTTAAGAAATAAATAACCTTACCTAAGAAAGTTTCTGGATATTGTATGCTTCAAAGCTGGTAGATGGAGCTCGTTACAGAACAACTCTATTAACCTGGATATTTAATCCCTAGAGAACAAGTTAGCCCATTATAGAGTGTGGCAATACCTTCTATTTACCAAAGGAAGAAGCTTTATGATTACTAACCATTGAGTGGACAATGGAAGACATAAATAAAAGCCATTCATGAACTATTTTGATTTAAGGTTACCTATATATCAAGGCTGGAAAATCAGACAAGAAAATGGGGTAGATAAAGGAGAAAATAGACACCATTTCTGCTACTTCGTTTTTTTCCTGAGAGATAGGGTGGCTTAGTGGTTACAAACGTAAATTCTGGAAGCAGAGTACAGGATGCAAATCCTGGCACTTCTACTTATTAGTCAGTCACTTAACCTTTTATGTCTCAATGTTGTTATCTTAAAAGTGAAATGGAATAATATTACTTGCCTTACAGGATCATTGGAGAATTAAGTGAATATATTAATGTTTGCAAAGTTCTGAAAACAGTGCATGGGACATAGTAAACACTATATAAGTCTATTCTATCCAATATAGTAGCCACTAGTGTCTTGTCACTCTTTACATTTAAATTGATTAAGAGTAAAAAAAATTAAAAATTTAATTCTTCAATCACACTGGCCACATTTTAAGTGCTCAAAAGCCACATGTGGCTAGTGGCTTCTGCTTTGGATCTAGCAGAGATAGAACATTTTCATCATTGTAGAGAGTTCTGTTAGAGGGTGCAGATATCACTGTTTGCTTCTGTTATTATTTTTCTTTTTTATAAATTTTATATCAGAAACTTTCTAGGGGAGAATAAATGGAGAGAAGCAGCTAGAATAAGGGTAAAGAGTTAAGCCATTGAAGTAATTCCGTGATTCCCTTATATCCTAACATATTCTTAATAGGAGTAAAGGACAAGGGTGAGTCTTGTAGCTCCCCAAGACTTATTGATGTAAGAGACAGAGGCAGAGAATAATGGTGGAGCAAGAAGAGCATCACAGAGAAAACATGATGTGAGTGTGAATGTTGCTCCTCCATCATAAAAGGGAGCCACATCTGCATGTAACCTGGCACCTTACAAGTCCAATGAGACTGTATCTAGGACATGGATGGAATATATGTTTCATCTCATATGCCAGCTCCAAATCCACTGGTAGTACCTGTCTAAACATTGTGTCTAGAAGGATTTTGAGGTTATGTCTGAATTTAGTAGGAAAAAGTAACAAGTAATAAAAAAGAGTAATGGCAATAAGTTAATAGCAACATTGATTGAAGGAATACTCTCTGCCAAGCTGACTTAATCACTTTATCTACCATATCTCAGTCAGTCTTCATTATGATGTGTGCAGTGGGCAAATGAAAGTCAACCACTGTGACATGACTTACAGTAAGTTCAAAAGGGTTAATATTTTGATTTTTAAGACCTAACGTGATCCAATCCAATATGGCCAGAATTCACAGGTAAAGAATGTGAAGACTGTCAACTTGTGTCTCATTTAATGAACTGCAAGGAAGGAAGAGTAGCCATTTCACCATTTGTTTGTCTCTCGGGAAACACAGATGGTGATTTGCTTCGACCTGAGACTCTCAACCGTGTAAGTGGAGAATGTATGTTATGGATAAAGCATGTTTAAGAGAGAATAGAGTTACACTGCTGTGCAGCCTTGATAGGACCTCAAACCCCAAACATTGAACATGTCCAGTCATGCCAACAGCAATGTCCAAGAGAATGATGCTCTGTCGGCTGGGATGATTAATTCTCTAAGGAGTTGGCCTGAGGTCAGAGCCTGCTCCTTTGTGGGAAATTTCCAGATACCCTCTATTCTCTCCTGTTTGAAGACTCCAGGTTTGATGCGGGAAAAACAAGAGGAATTAGTTCACATTTTCCCAACACTGATTTTTTGGGACCTCATAGTGCTGTCACTACAGCAGGCTCCATGGGTCCTCTGGACACAAAGCTCTAGAACCTCTGGGAGGTTTTGGACAGTGTGAGAGTATCTGAAGAGTTTAGGGTTAATCTGAACTCCGAAAAAAAAAGTTCAGCTATGATAATATTTAGTAATATAGATTGACATTTGTGCCTTAACTCGATTTGATCCCTAGGTCAGAATGTCACATCTCATGTAAAGTAGTGGTTTTCAAGCATTTTTGCTTATGTAATGTCTAAAAGAATTTTTTAAAATTATGAATCCTCCTTCACAGTTTGGGTTGATATAAACATTTTTTTGAACCAAAGTTTATAGTTGCCAATGTTGTAATCTCCAATTCATTATCAATATGGATATTTAAAAATGGAACTATTATATCACTTTTAAATTTATCCAATTGAATATAAATATCAAAGCTATTTGGCACCCATAGCAATAAATTACAAAAAAATAAAAAAACCCACATGGTCAAACAACTTCTTTAAACTTTCAAATTATGGCGGCCGGCCCTGTGGCCGGATGGTTAAGGTCCCCCGCTCCGATTCGGCTGCCCAGGGTTTCGCCCATTCGGATCCTGGTCATCCACATCGCACCGCTCATCAAGATGTGCTGAGGCAGCATCCCACATAGCACACCAGAAGGACCTACAATGAGAATATACAACTATGTACTGGAGGGCTCTGGGGAGAAGAAGGAAGAAAAAAAAACTGGCAACAGATGTTAGCTCAGGGTCAATCTTAAAGAAAGTAACTAAATAAAGTTACAAATTATGCATCATTTACTTTTCTCCTTGAATTTCTATTTTTTCATCCCACTTCCCCCACGGTTTAATTTTACACATCCAATAGCAGTGTCCTTTGATTCCTCCTGATTCCCTATGCTTTAATTGCATCATATGCCCAGAGCCATGGGGACTTAGTTTTCTGTTTGTTTTGCTATTCTTCCTTTTCTCCTCCTCCTCTCTACCCTCTTTCTCTTTTTCCTTTTCTTTGGTAGTCAGAGACCCAAAGAATGTTTGTACTATTCAGTTGTATTCTGACCTGTGGGCACACAGATACACTAGCTACATGACTTTCCTTCTAAGGTCATTCCATGCACCAAGAAGATGATAATGAAAATTCTACCTTAAAATCAGCTTCAGTTTATTATTCTTTAGTGAATATTGCTAACACTGTGGTGGTCGGACATTGAAATTGCCCTCAGTATGCTGTGAGGGTTCCTACTTCCCTCTTGGGCTTTCCCATTCCCTAGGCATGCTTCACATGGCACCCCTTTTCCTCATCATAATGGACTCTTATTTCCATTGACCCTTAAAAGAGTCCACCTCTCTCCACCTCCTTCCATGTTTTGCAGAATGTACTTTAAGAAACTGAGAGTGACAGAAGAAATCACAAACTATAAACAATTATCCTTTAGATATAAATAGTGAATTAACAGGAAATGCATTTCTTCAGGTCATTTTGCGGACAATTGGTATCAATGGCACTCAGGCTCCTGTGCTATGGTCACAGAAATTAGATAACCGAGGAAGAGGAATGCCACTTAATGCTTACGTGCTTAATTTCTATAAACATGGTTCCTTGACGAGATTATGCCAAGACAACGGGTAGGTTTACGTGTCTGTGTCTATAAAATCCATCCATCCATCCATATATAACCACATTTTATTATATATTTATATGGTACATTTATTTAAGAATTTATATTCTAGTATATATTTTATATTCTATATATAGACATAGGTTTATATTAAACATATTTTTTAAAATAAGAATTTTAATATGACTTTTTTAAAGAGTTTAAAGTGCAAATTAATCTTTTGAAGCATACTAGGTCTATTTCTAGTAAACTCATCTCTAGTGATTAAAAACTCAAGTCTTATTTTGGTTTTGGGTGTCCCACCAAAATCTTGGTTCTTGGGCTGACTCTGTTGAATATAACTCTGAAGGCAAAACAATGTGATAGAGCTCAAAAAGATATTTTTATTTATTATTATATTTTCTTATGATCGAATGAAATTATTTGAAACTTGAGTAGGAAACAATAATCAGTGATTTCCAGGAGTATATAAGGATCATTTTTTGTAAAATAAATTAATTCATGTTTACTTGTTTTCCACAAATGTGACTTGGAGGGAAAACATTCTGGAACTTATATGTGAGGAAGTTAGCTTAGCAGTTGTCTGTTAGAATATAACACTTGTTCTAGTTCCTTGGTAGGGAAGTCATTTTATAAAGCAATAAAGAAGAATGAATACTTTGGATTCACATGGGGAGCAGAAAGAATTTATTCTTGGAATATGGCAGGTAGAAATGGGGAGAATCATGCTGTTAAACAGTGATTCAGGAATTCAATATGTGTCATATACATTTTTAAGTAATTTTGATTGAAATTAGTTTTTAATGTTCTGCTTTTCTTGAAAAACCTTGAGCTATGTCTCGATTTTTCTTGTATCTAATTCTTATTTGTGAATAAAGTAGAAACGAAATTAGTAAGTAATAAAACTGTTTTGTTTGTACCTTAATCTCTAGTCCTCATTGACCTTTCTAAGCTTTATTTTTATATTTCGGCCATGCCCACAAGACGGTCAACTTCTATTTATTAATTTTTGTGATGTTGACAACTGTGCCTCTGAACTTCATTATGATTAATACAACACAATGGTTCATCAACTAGGAGTGTATTGGCAGATAAATTACATTCTTAGAGCCACTATGAAAGTGTGAGTTCAATTTTTTTGTGTTTTTATACTTCTTAATTTAGAAATTTTGTTCTCTTTAGGATGCCTATGGGACAGATTCTAAAGCTTTTAAAAGATTTTGCACTCAACATTCAGACTATCAGGTATGTTCTATACTAGGTTTGATTTTCTCAATTATTTTATGATAATTAGCAAACGTTAATTAGCAAACTTTGACCTCTTCCTTTATATCCAGTTCATAATACTCATGAAAGAGCACTTCAGAGACTGCATTGGGTCTCCTAGGTTCTATGTGATTCAGTTCCCAAAAGACCCTGCAGGCCCTCTTCTCATGACCCTATTGTTCTGTTTTTTGTATTAGGATTTGTCTTATATCCATTTGGAAGGAAGTTCCATCCAGACCAGAGCCTCAAAGGCACTATCAAATAGCCCATAGGTCCCCAGTCCTGATTACACTCAGTTTCTACAAATGCTGAGCATTTCCTCTGAATCAGAGAAACAGAACATCAGAGGGTCACATCTTAAGGGCTCCAGTAGGTCTGTAGTTTATATCCACTTCAGAATATTAAGTCTTTCTCATACTCAGTGCTTTTCCCAGACCCACCTGACTTTGGAATCTCCTATTGACTTCCCATGTCCACCTACCTAATTGCCCTATAGGGACCCAAGTAAATATGAACTGTCTGTGGACACTCCCATCCCTATGCTCCATTGGTTATCTAGTTTTTGTCGAGGTCCATCTTCCCTAAACCTTCAGTCCTTATACTCTTTGTTCTTTATCGCATATATGTGGTCTCTCACTTAAAGTAAATTCAACCTTTATTTTGGGATCCTTGCTAATGAGGATATGTTTGTGGCTTTCTTTGATCTGAACTGAGTCAGGCCCCTTGGGAACTCTCTCCAGAGAGTGTGAGTCTTAGGATGGCCCTGCTTTGTCCACCAAGGCTATTTCTACTTAGCAGATTCAAAGCTACAACCTCTTTCAGCAGCCTGAGAAGATCCAGAGATTAAACATATCTCAAGAGTTGGAACAGGGAAAATAAGTCCTTCAGTCAGTCATCCATCTATCAACCATAAAATATTAAGATATGACCATGTTAGAGGCATTCTTCCAGGCACTTTGGTGTCATGGGAGAAACTATCTTGCAGACAATTGTATGTGGTAAGTGCTGTGATTGAGTTACACACAAAGTATTGTGTTAACACAAATAACTTTATGACTAATATTACTAGAATCAGAGAGAGCATTATAGAAGAAGGAATTTTCCAATCAAGTCTCAAAGAATAAGGGAGAATGCATTAAACAGATAAAAAATGTGGTGGTTGGAGAGAATTTCAAGCAAAGGGAGTAGTATGTCCAAAGGTACAGAAATGTTAAAAGATCCCGCTGCATCAGGGCCAGGCCTCACGCTCAGCATGGTGGAGTGTGGAATATGGGGGTTGTGATAGGCATGGGGGAAGATGCTGAGTGGTGAGTGAAAAGTCTTTAAAGGGAATTTGGCTTTACATGGTGAAGGTCTTAATTGTCACATCATGGAGTTTGTATTTAAACTTGTGTGGAGTAGTGAGACAGGGGAAGTTTCTAAGGATGAGTGTGACATCGATCCATGTTTTAGAGATATTATTCTGGCTGGGGTATGTGGGTCAACTCAAGAGATGAAGAAACTGAAGGCAGGGAGCTAATGTAGGAGGGTATAGCCATAATCCAGGTGAGAGATGATGAAGGTTTGAATTAAGGCAGTAGCAGTAGGAATGGATGGCAGGGATTAGAAAAATATTTAAGGGGTTAAATTCATGCAATGGAGCAAGAGATATTGATGATAACTGGGGTTTTTAATCTGGTTAACTATATTAATGAAAGTAGGGAATATGAGATGACGATGATTTGGCAACAAAAAAATACGAGCTGGAATTTAAAACTATTGCATGTGGTGTCTATAAGACATTCAAGTGGAAATGTCCAGCAATCAGATAGAATTATAGATCTGCAACTCAGGAGGAGTGTCAGACTCAGAGATAAAGATGTGGTCATTCTTAGTGTTCAGCTACTGAGAACGAGTAAAAAACTGAAACTGTGCTCTGGTGTAAGTAAGGTGGCCTATGATAACAAAAAGGAGGAGGTGTTAACTCACAATTGCTTTCAGTGCTTGACTGATATGTCAGGTAGCTGAGAGGGCCATTTTTCTCTCTCTCCATTCTTGTTTACCCTAGGTTCCTAGTCCTAAGATATATGGATAGCGACATACACTTCTTTTATTTAATTGGTGACTATGAGTTTAAAAAATAATGGTCACAGTAGTAGAAAATCCAGATGATGGCTCCAAGGATATGTACGTAGAGAAGAAAAGGAGTTGAAAAACTGCCACTAAGGTCTAGGGACATGGAATTCTGTGGTCTTTCAGACTTATAGTGCAAGTTTAGAGGTATGATAGCGAGGAACTGCATGGAGGGGCATCTCTTTATATTTTCTCAAGATATATGATGTACTTTGTAAAGGCTTAAAGGCAAATGTTCATCTTATTATTATTCCATAGATTTTCTCTGCATGTTTACATTTGGTGAATTTTAGGGTACTTAATTCTGATAACCTTCTTATAACACTGAAAATTACCAAAATGTATTTTTATTTTCTCTATTGTACAGTGATTTCTTGAGTGAACTGTGTAAAGATGAGCATGACAATGTGGTCTTGGCATTTAAACAACTGAGTGAACTCTTCCAGGAAAAACTTCGACAAGTCTAAATTCAAATGTTTCCAAATCACTTGGAATAATAGCATGAGAATTTTCAAGTCCAGTTATGTGGTTTTCATCTCTTTCCTAGAAAGATTCATTTGAACTCATGCAATAAAATAGGAAGAAGATTCTTCATTGAGTCAAACAAAATTGAATTCAAATATTAGTTCTGCTGTTGTCTAGTTGAAGGATGTTTGATAAGTTATGTAATATATCTAAGCCTTAGTTTCCTTTTTGGCAAAATGAGAATAAAAATGCATACCTCTAGGTGTTTTGAGGGTTACAGATGATAATGTATGAAAAGCGATTGGGTTAGAGTGGTGACTCAATAAATGGTAGTGTTATATTTTTTGTAGTTAAAGTTAATGTATAGCAGAATTTTAGTTTCACAATGTCAAGTTTTGTGTATGTTCCTAGCCTATTAAATTTTTTCATTAATGATCTGTAAATCACAAAAGACTCAAATCAATTCTGAACAACAGTTACATAAGTAGACTTCTGAGATTACAAGAAAGTCACTGCTGTGGACTGTGTTTGTGACCCTCAAAATTTATATGTTGAAATCCCAGCCTCCAGTATGATGACATCAGAAGGTGAGATCTTTGAGGGGGTAATTAGGTCATTAGGGTGGAGCCCTCATGAATGAGATTAATATCCTTATAAGAGACACACGAGCTTGCTCCCTCCTCCCTGCGCTCTGCCATATGAGGCTACAAGAAGACAGCCATGTGTAAAGCAGGCAGCAGGCTCTCACTAGCACCTAACCAGCTGGCACTTCTCACTGATCTTGGACTTCCTAGCCTTCAGAGGAGTGAGAACTAAATATTTGTTGTTTAATTCACTCAGTCTACGGTATTCTGTTATAGCAACCTGAACTAAAACAGCCACTTAGCATAGTTATAAACTGCTTTCCTATTGAAAGCAGAACATGTTGATTCAACCGTTTTTCCAATAGCAATGATAGATTTTGTTTCAGTCCCTAGACTTTCTAATTTGTTCTTCCCAAATGACCAAAAGTACACTTTTATATTTCCTGGATTAAGGATTTTGTACATGACTGAGAAAAAACTCTTACCCTGTGAGGCAAAACAAATGTGGAATTCAGAGCATTTCCCCATTCAGTGTCATAATTAAAAAACAGCCCCCTTAAAGTAACAACCACAACAAAAGACAGATGAACATTTAAATACTCTTAAGGCTGTAATAAATGAATACAGTATTCTGAAGGAGAAAAAATATCTCCAATGAGTCTAATCAATCGTTGGTTTATAAATTAGGAAATATGATTCTTAAAGCTATTTAAATAGTTTCAAACAGTTTCAACTAGCAAACTTGAAGGGATTTTTTTTTTTAATGTAAATGAGGTCTTGGGTATAAGTTCTGTGATGCTTTAAGAAAACAATTAGCTGATAAGTTGGTGTTATTGTCATTGTGTGTAATAAGTGACTGGACACCCATAAAGAAATAAAGAATGTTTAGTTTATTTACTTTCAGCTTTTTGTGTTAAATTTGTTTGTCATTCAATCAATTTGTACATGTGTGCATTCCGTATTTGGCTTTCATTATTTTCTATCTTTACCTTAGCCTCAGGTCACAGACTACAAAATCTATTTTAGACTTAGATCTTGAACACAGAACATTTCCTTCTCAGAGTGAAAGACATAACCTCTTCTATCATCCAGAATGTCTTACTTACTTACTAAGACACCATCTATACTCTCAGATTACTTGCAGATATATTACATAGGCTTAAAAAAACACAAGTGTTTGATTTTGTCTAGCCTCTATTCCTTAGAACTAACTCATATTTGGTTTATATTAAGCATATGCCAAAATGCATATGACTATGTTCTTTGGGCTAATTCTATTTTTTTTCTTAAAAAATAAACACATAGTAACAAATATGGTAGATATTAATCCAACTATATCAATAATCACTTTAAACATTAATGGTCTACATACAGCAATTAAAAGACAGAGATTGTCAGAGTGGATCAAAAAACAAGAACCAACTATGTGTTGTTTATAATAAACCTATTTTAAATGTAAAAACACATCTAGATTAAAAGTAAATGGATGATATGCCTAGTTTCCTGTTCCACATGGAAGGAGCTTGGGAATTGCCACTCCATCCCAACAACAAGTAAAAAGCTGAACAAACTGAAAGATTGACAACTTGTCATGGGTCTCCAATAAAAGTGAGATCATAGGGCAAACTACTGCCCCCCAAATTGTACAGACAGACAAGCAGATACACAGAATCACAACATACCCAACAGACTGGAGCAGAAACCTCAGTGGGAAACAGTGCTGTGGTAAGAAAACATGCATTGAGACTGCCGAATTGGTGGAAGCTAGATGTGGACAAGTCTGAGAGTTAAATACTTCAGGGGGACCCAGTCATGAGAGGATGTCCCCTATTCTTTTGTAAGTTTTATGCCCAGGAGCTTGACCAGGGTCTTATACCAAATATTAGAGAAAAATCTCCTTATGTTTCCTGCAGGACTGGGGGGGGGAGGGGGAGGGGAGGAATCACTTTAAAATATGCCAGAACATTTTGTTCTTCTTAACAAGGTCTGCTCTCAGGAGAAATTGGTTACCTGCCATCCTAACTTACTGGGATTTTATCAGAGCCTAACTGACCTAGAGGAAGGGAATACTCAACTCCAGCCCACTCTAGCCATTCTGTCATCACCTAGGAGAGGAGAAAAAAATAAAGACTTGTGAAGATCACAGTCCACAGGCATAGGCTTTCTGCAAGACTGAGACCTAATCACAGGACTGTAGAATGCTTCTTCTTCCCCAACACCTTACCACCATGTTACTAAAGGCTCGTTTATAGCAGTTCCTTTTACCTGGTACATTGTGTCCAAGTACCAAGAAAAATTATGTGCCATACTGAAAGGCAAACAACCCACAATTTGAAGAGACAGAGCAAGCAGAAGAACCGGAAATGGTGAGGATGTTGGAATTATCAAACTGGAAATTTAAAACAACTATGATGAATATGCTGAGGGCTCTAATGGATAACGTAGACAGTGTGTAAGAAAAAATGGGGAATATAAGCAAAGAGATGACAATCCTAAGAAGGAACCAATAAGAAATGCTAGAGATCAAAAACACTGCAACAGAAATAAAGGATGCCTTTGATGGATTTATTAATAGAATGGACACAGCTGAGAGAAAAATCTCTGAGTTTGAGGATATTTAAATAGATTACTCCAAAACTGAAAAGCAAAGAGAACAAAGACTGAAAAAAAACGAGAACAGAATATCCAAGAACTGTGGAACCACTACAAAAGGCGTAACAGGCACATAATGGGACTACCAGAAGGAAAAGAGAGACAGAAAAGAACAGAAGAAATGTTTGAAAAAACAATGAATGAGATTTCCCCACATTAATGTCAGACATCAAACCACAATCGAGGAAGCTCAGAGAACAACAGCAAGCAGGATAAATGCCAAAAAAGTTACACCTAAGCATATGTTTTTCAAACAACAGGAAATCAAAGATAAAGAGAAAATCCTGAAAGAAGCCAGAGGAAAAAAACACCTTGCCTGGAGAGAAACAAAGATGAGAATTACATCTGACTTCGTCTCAGAAACTATTCAAGCAAGAAAAGAGTGGAGTGAAATACTTAAATTGCTGAGAGTAAAATATCTACCAATTTAAAATTCTGCCCTTGGTCAAATAATCCTTTAAAAGTGAAGGAGAAATAAAGACTTCCTCAGACAACCAAAATTGAGGGAATTTCTTGCCAGTGAACTGCCTTGCAAGAAATGTTAAAAGAAGTTCTTTAGAGAGGAGGAAAATATTATAGGTTAAAAACCCAGGTCTACATAGAGAAATGAATAGCTTTGAAGAAGGTGTATGGGAGGAGGACATTTCCTCTTCCCAAATGTGGGTTCGTCTGGCCGGAGAACGAATTAAATTCACATGAGACAGAATAGCAAGAGAAAATTAAACAAAACTTTATGAGGAACCATGGCCCGGGGCCTTTCTTCACGAAGGAAGAAAGGACACCGAAGAAGTGGGGTGCACACAGTGGTTATATACCCCCAAACAGGGTGTTTCACATATGATTGAAATGTCCCTTTTACAATAGTCACAAGGCTGTTCTGTCAGCACAGAACTCGATGGAAACGACAGATAGGTCTGCTGTCCCAGTGAACGCCGCGGGGGTGGCAGGCGTGTTGCCTCAGGCTGCGGGGTGGTCACAGATGAGCGCTGCAATTGGTTCCCAGCCTAAAGAAAGATGCTTAATCTTTAAGGAGATGCCAACGTTGGGAGGGGGAGGGAAGTCAGTTACAGGAGGTTACCAGAGAAGCACAATAAAATGCAGATTTTAAGTCCTTGCCTTTGGCATTGATTAAGAGTTTCTAGAGAGAAGGTCATCTCCTTTCTTCTTCTTGGTACAGAGAGGGAGGCACCTTTACAGATAGAGATTTACCTTACAAATGTAAGTGTGTCCTAATGAAGGGCAAGTTCCATTCCTCAGAGCCTCCTTCCCTGTCCCAGTTTATCAAAAGCAATCAGCCTCAAATAATCCTGATGTCAAAGAGACATATCTTGGGGTGGCCAATTTCAGGTCCCCACAAAGGAATAAGGGAAGAGAAAACAAAAACTTTAATTCTTCTTATTCTTAATTGATCTAACTGGTAACAGTTTGTTCAAAATAATAATAGCAATAATTACTGCATTATGTATGCCAATATATAGAGGCACATATATATGTGTATGCTTATACACCTTTGTGTGCTTATATATAAGTGAAATGAATGACAGCAATGAACAAGGGACAGAAGGGAGGAATTAGGATTATTTTATGATTATAAAGTATTCACACTACCTGTGAAGCAGCGTAGTGCTATTTGAAAGTGGACTTGGAATAGTTGTAAATGTATATTGCAAACTCTAAGGCAACCAGTAGAAGCAGAAAAAAGAAAGAAAAGTATAACTGACATGCTAAAAAAGGAGAGACAATGGAATTATATAAAATACTCGATGAAAACCACAAAAGGCAGAAAAAGAGTGAAAGACAAAAATACAAGCAAAGAACAAGTGCAACAAATAGAAAACAGTAACAAATATGGTAGATATTAATCCAACTATATGAATAATCACTTTGAACATTAGTGGTCTAAATATGTCAATGAAAGACAGAGATTGTCAGAGTGGATCAAAATAATACCCAACTATATGCTGTCTACAAGAAAACCACTTTAAATATAAAGACACATATAGATTAAAAGTAAAAGGATAGAGACAGATATACCATGCTAACACTAATCAAAACAAAGGAGAAGTAGCTATGTCAACTTCAGATAAAGCAAACTTCAAAGTAAGGAAACTCATTAGGGATAAAGACAGGCATTACATAATGATAAACGGGTAATTTTTCTTAGGAGACATAACAATCCTTAATGTGTGTGTGTCTTAACAACAGATCATCAAAACACATGAGGCAAAAGTTGATAGAACTGCAAGGAGAAATAGATGAATCCACTATTACAGTTGCAGACTTCAAAACCCCTCTGTCAGAAACGGACAGATCCAGCAGGCAGAAAATCAGTAAGGACATGAATGAACTCAATAGCAGCATCAATCAAATGGACAAAATTGACATGTATCGACTACTTCATGCAACAACAGCTGAAAACACATTCTTCTCAAGCTTACATGGAGCATTCACCAAAATTTACCAAATTCTGGGCCATAAAACACACCCTAATAAATTTAAAAGATTAGAAATAGTACAATTTCTGTTCTCAGACAACAATGAAATTAAGCAAGAAATCAATAACAGAAAAATAGCTGGAAAATTCCAAAATATGTATAGATTAAACAGCACACTTCTAAGGAGCACATGGATCAAAAAAGAAATCTCAAGAGGAATTTTAAAATATTCTGAACTAAATGAAAATGAAAATACAATTCACTAAAATTTGTGAGATGCAGCAACATTATTGCTAGAAGAAAATATATAGCATTGAATGCATGCATGAGAAAAGAAGAAAGATCTAAAATAAATTTTTTAAGATTGCACATTAAGAAACTGTAAAAAACATGAACAAATTATATCCAAAGAAGGCAGTAGAAGAGAAATAATAAAAATTAAGCAGAAATCAATGAAATTGAAAAGAAATTAATAGAGAAAATCAATGAAACCAAAAGCTGATTCTTTGAAAATATCAATGAAATTGATAAGCCTATAGCCAGTCTAACTAAATAAAAAAGAGAGAGGACAAGTTACTAATATTGGAAGTGAAAGAAGTGGGGCTGGACCTATGGCCAAGTGGTTGTGCACTCTGCTTCGGTGGCCCAGGGTCTCACTGGTGTGGATCTTGGGTGTGGACCTAGCACCACTCATCAGGCCGTGTCGTGTTGGTGTCCCACATAGCACAACTAGAAAGACTTGCAACTAGAATATACAACTATGTACTTGGGGGAGCTTTGGGGAGAATAAGAAGAAGAAGCAAAAAAAGAA